CCCTTCTTCAGAAAAGAAGGGTCTAGGCCTGAAACATCAGCCTTCCTGCTCCTCTGATGCTGCTTGGCCTGCTGTGTTCATCAGCTCTACACCTTGTTATCTCGGATTCTCCAGCATCTGCAGTTCCTACTATCTCTGATACTATTTAAAGGTTGTGAAGTTACCCTTATCATCCTCTGTGTGAAAAGATTTTCCTCAACTCCTCTCTAAATCTCCTGCCTTCACCTGAAAAGTGTGCCCTCTTGTTATTGAGTTTTCACCTGAGGGAAACAGCTGCTTTCTCTTTATCTGGTCCATGCCCCTCATAATCTTGTACACCATACAGATCAAACCGGAAACGACACTACTCACCATAATGGACCAGACAGTATAAATTCCAAGAGGAGTTGAATAGCATTGCTTCATCGGAGGCTTCACTGATGATATCACTTAGCACGGTGGCGAATCGTCTGAATGAGAACAAGCCAGCTCGGTGAGCGAATCAATAACCTCACTCACAACCCAAGCTACAAATCTTTGCCAAAACCTTATACACCTTCACTAAGTCCCTCCTAAACCTTTTCTGCTCCAAAGAAAACAACGCGAGCCTATCCAATCTCTCTTTATAGCTAAGATGTTCTATCCCAGGCAACATCCTGGTGAATATCCTGTCCACCCACTCCAGTGCAATCACACCTTCGTATAGTGTGGTGGTCAGAGCTGCACACAGTACTCCAGTTGTGGACTAACTGAAGTTTTGTATGGCTCCAACATAGAAATTGGAAAAATTGTCTCAGCTGAATTTCATTTTTAATTTTCAGCTGGTAAAACATGAGTTTAATTCTAAATAATTATCCATTTCTTTTATATTTGCTACAACTCAAGAATCATAACAAAATAATCTGATTGTGATCCTAGTTTGCACTTTAGTCTTAAGTGATGATATATGGTAAAATTTACAATATTAACAAAAAAGAGAATTACTGACTGACAAATATTAAATATTTGAATTTATACATGAGTGCATTGGAGAGGATGCAGAAGAGGTTATAAGGAAAGATTGAAAAAGTTGGGACTGTTTTCCTTGGAGAGAAGGCTAAAAGGATATTTCATAGAATTTTCAAAATCAGAAGGCATCTAGATAGAATGGATAGGGAGAAACTGTTTCCACTTGTAAGTTGATCAAGAACTCGACGGCACAGTTTCAAAATGTTTTACTTGGGTCTAAAGGGATCAAAAGATATGTGGGAAAAGAGGAATGGGCTATTGAGTTGGATGATCAATCACAATCATAAATGGTGGAGCAGTGTCAAAGTGACAACAAATGGCATTAGGCACTGCTAATAAAGTCCTGCTGTAGGCTCAGCAATGCTTTCTTCTTCTGGGGACTTATTCACGGGAGACGCTGAACCTGAATATCTAGGGTCCAAATGAAATGAAGGCACTTTGGACAGAGGACAATCATGTGCAGAACGTGCAAAAAGCAAACTCTTCGGCCTGAATATTGCCTCCCAGGTCAGGAGCACAGAGTCTGGATAATTCCCAGCCTCATAAATCTGACTGCGATAATGTTTCCTGGAAGTGCAGATCTTTGTTCTGGGATGTGGACTGGCTGTTGTAGTGGGGGACCCCATATACAGCTTGGAGGTTGTTAGGGTTTGTAGGGGACCCCGGGTTGAAAGTCTGTTGTTCCTACGGGAAATGGCCAAACCTCTCTGATAATTAAACTCAAAACACAAGCCCTGATCTGTTATGTCAAGAGTAGGGGCTCCCCTCTAATAATTACCCATCCCCAAAGCATCCAAACAAACTCATCTTTCCCCTTGTAATCTTTAAACGAGAGGTTAAAAGGAAGAAAATCCCCTGATCTTTACTCTACAAGTAACAGGAAACAATTTATTTATTTAACCCAACAATGAACAAATTAACAAAATTACTAACAAATCAACAATTCCCCCTTAGACTACCAACTACTCCCCAGTTGGTCTAAATTCTACTGGAGTGCTGTTTAAATAAAAACAAGTCCCACTAATATAAAAACCGAGAGAACTGCAGATGCTGTAAATTAGGAACAAAAACAGAAGTTGCTGGAAAAGCTCAGCAGGTCTGGCAGCAACTGTGAAGAAAAAACATCAGAGTTAATGTTTCGGGTCCAGTGACCCTTCCTGAAGGTTAGGAGCTTTTCCAGCAACTTCTGTTTTTGTTCCCACTAATATAAACCCAATTAATAAGAAGCAAAATATTACAACTTAATCTCTGCAGGTTCACACAGACTGTCTTCTGGAATATTCTGCCATCTCCACTCTCTTCACAGACACCTTTCTTCCGTTAATTCTGCTGTCAGGGATGTTTCATCTCTATAATTTCTTCAATGTGGACTTTGAGCTAAAATATAGTGGTGCCTTTGATTAATTCGATGGGCTTTCTCTGAGAGCTGAATGGTACTAATGCTGGGAGGTGGCAGATGTCTCTCTTGGAATTTTCCAAATGCCCTTGTCTTACATACCTGTAATGACATAATCAAATTCTTATGATTGGTTTCAGGTTGTCAACACCATCAGATTTAAATTTGATTCGCTTTCTGTTTCTAGTGCTTTGTTTAAATTAATCGGCCGAATTCAAGGTCATTGTCACAACATCAAAACAATACTGCTGTTTTGTCTGCCACCTGTAAGGCTTTGATACGCCTGTTTCACTTCTTGAGACTCTCTGTACTAGCAACTTCAGCTGCTGCCCACAGACAGATTTTTTTTCAAAAAGGCACAAATCTCTTAAAGGAACCAGACATTTTTAGTTTCCTGCCTTCCACTTCACAGTTATTCTACCTAACTTCGTAACACTGTCTCAGTGTATCGGCAATTTTGTGAAGATCTTTTTTAAAGGAATAAAAAAGGTTAACATCTGCCAGCCTCATCCCTCACTGCCCTCATGCCACACACACTTCCTATGCCCGATCTATGCCAATTCATATGTCTCTTATATTCTCAAATCAGTGCCCCATGGACCCTCCATAATTACCTATGCCTGACTAACCACCTCCATGACCTTCAAAACCCCAGTGCCAAATGTCATGTTTGACCTTACATCTCCCAAATCAACTTACCCAGTATCCACCATGGGCAGATCCCAAGACCTCTATGGAACTTAAAGCACGTTCTTAAGTATCTATTGATGAATTCACTATTTCCAAAATAAAAACATTCTCATTGATTAAAAAGACCCACATATTACTTATCACTCCACTTACCCTTTTATAAAAATAAGTATTAGAGTTCTCAGTTACAATTCACAGAGTTTATAACCATTTGGAACTGTCAATCAAACTTTAAAATGGCAGGCACTCCATTATGATAATGTACATAATTAAAATCAGTCATGCAGTGTTAATCTAGTAATAGTAGCCCTCAGTTCTTTGTTAATAGACAGTTATATAGTAAGCAATGGGATTTTTTAGCATTCCAAACAGTCTTCAGTTATTTAAGAGGCAGAAGTTTTAAATACCTTGACAGCTACTTTTAAAGTTTACAACGTGACTATATGAATATGGGGCAGGAGTAGGCTCTCAAACTTTCTCTGCCACTACATAAGGTCAAGGCTGAACTGATTGTATCCTCAAATCTGGATTCCCACATAACCCCCCACCTCATTACTTTTCACCCCCTTGCTTGACAACAGTCCTGTTTACCTCTGTCTTAAAAATATTCAAGGACTCTGTTTCCACCACCAGCTTTTCAGGAAGAGATTTCAAAAGACTCTTGAGCCTCTGAGACAAAAAAAAATTGTGTGCAACCTCTGATTTTTGACCAGTGACTCCTAGAACTAAATAAAAACCGAAAGAACTGCAAATGCCGTAAATCAGAAACAAAAACCGAAGTTGCTGGAAAAGCTCAGCAGGTCTGGCAGCATCTGTTGAGAGAAACTTTAACTCTGAGTGGAAGTTTTATCAGAAGTTACAATCTGCTCCAGTTCATTTTAGTTTAAAATGAAATGCAAATTTAGATTGTGAAACTGTTAAGTGAATAGGGATGAATGCTAGAGATGTGGGAGTGAATTTTTGGTAATGTTGCAGCTGTTTCAACAAGTAAAAGAGCTAAGAATGATTTGAAGGAAAGAACAATTGATTCCGATGCTTAAACATTAAAAAATTATGAGATTCTCTGTAACTAAATCATTTAACTACACATCCCTTTTTGTCCTTCTGGATATTAAACATTAATTCTTATTTCAATCTCAAAACAGATGATGGGACAGAGGAGAATTAAACTGAGATGTAATAGTAGTTATGGTTAAAAGGATGAGCTTAATCACAGTGTTTTGCATTTTTTTTAGGCATCGACTTTTGGGCACATTACAGAGAGTTCATTCAGGAGCCACAGTGAGGTTGTTTCCCTTTGGAACCATCCAGTTAAGAACAAAATCCTTGTGGAAAGTAAAGAGAAACTCAAATCTGCCTCGTTTTGGCTAAAGCATCAGAAGAAGGAATTTAATTTCACAGCTAAATACACGAGCAGAGAGGAGGTGAGGTCTCCAAGTTTGTGGAGTGGGGAATGCAGCCCAGTGCGATGTTGCCTGTCTACATGTGTGATGTATCTTCACATCCAACATAGGCACTAGGAGCAAGTCATTCATTCGATGGTTCTTGGGCTTCTGCTCTGCCTGGAAGCCCATTTTGAATATTGACCAGTGTCTGAATGGAGGACAACTCCTGATGACAGTTCGAAAACTACTTCTTGATAGATAAAGTCTGTGCCCTCTTAAGTGCTCGAATGACCATTTTCTATGTAATTAGTTGGTACAAACCTATAAGGTCACTTCCTAAAATTCTATGTTGAATATTTGAAACAAAGAGAGTCATACAGGGTTACAGCGCAGAGAAAGACCCTTTGACCTATTGAGTCTACGCTGGTTAGAAACACTCTATCAGCCTTAGATTTCGGACACCCACCACCCTCTGTTTTTGTTTTAATTCATTCACCGAATGAGGGCGCTGCTGGCCAGACAACATTTACTGTCCATCCCCAATTGACCAGAGGGCAGTTAAGAATCAACCATATTGCTGTGGGTCCAGAGTCACATGTAGGCCAGACCAGGTAAGGATGGCAGTTTGCTTCCCTAAAGGACATGAGTGAACCAGATGGGTTTTTCCTACAATCAACAATGGATTCATGGTCATCATTAGTCTCTTAATTCCAGATTTTTTTAATGTATTCAAATCCCACCATCTGCCAAGACATGATTTGAACCCAGGTTCCCAGAATGTTACCTGGGTCTCTGGATTAACAGTTCAGCGATAATACCACTAGGTCATCACCTCCACTGTGAAAACATTTTCCCTCACATCGCTTTTAAACCTCCAGCCCCCTACCTGAAATCTATGCTCCCTGGTCATTGATCCCTTCATTGAGGGGCAAAGTTTCTTCCTGTCTACTCAATCAACACCTCCTATTATTTTATATATCTCAGTCATGTCTCCTTTCAATCTCCTCTGCTCTAAGGAAAACAGCCCCAGTCTGTTCAATTTCTCTTCATAACTGAAACTCTCTAGTCCTGGCAGTATCCTGGGAAATCTCCTCTGCCCCCTCTCAATGCTACTGCATCCCTTCTATAATGTGAATTCCAGAAATACACATGATATTGTAGGCAGTTCCGGAATCCACATTATAGGAAGGATGTAATAGTCCTGGAGAGGATGCAGAGCAAAATAATGGCCAATTTTAAAGCTGATTGCAACCTGAAATAATTCCAGCAAGGCCAGTATCTCTTCACCAAACTGCCTTTTATTTACATGTGCACAGTACTTGGACTCTGATCATCTAGCACAGAGCCAGTCCCTAGAGTGAGGAAGTTCACTGAGACTCCTGTTTATATCTGTCAGCCAGGACTCCCTGACTGGGGCTGTTAACCTAGACTAATCAGGGAACTCTCACTCAGTAAGATCCACCTGACCAACCTTGTCCCAATCACTACACCACCCAACTTGATACTTCTAATTACCCACTCAAGATCATTTGCAGAAGCACTTTGTCCTATTTCTTAAGTGCTTTTCCCAAACTATCCTGTCTTTGTGACCTTAAACTGTATTCTGAAACAGGAACCTGAAATCTACAAGTGCCAGTATCAAAGAAGGGCGACCGAATGCACAAAAGCATTGTGAAAATGTTCTATCACTTACTTTAAAATTAATGTTGCATCAAACGTACTATTGTCCTGACAATCTTTAAATTTTAGGATTTAGAACGTCACTGAAATGCAATGTTTGAATTCCAGGGGATTGGATAAGTTTTTTTTTTATTCAAACAAATGGGCGCTAGCTAGCACCACCAGAATCCTGATGTAACCATCCTCGGTTGGCTAAAGCCAGATGTACTCCACACTGAATAAAATTACATTTGCCATCACTGAAGTGTTTTCATGTGTGTCGAAGGCAGAATCAAAGGAAAACGTTTTGTGGCTTTGGCAAAATCGTTGAGCTCTGGCAAGCCATTTGCATAAATAAGTAACGAGAGAGCTACATCTCTAGTTCCAAATGAATCAAAATTTATTGAGAAATCTTATAATTTTTTGTTAATTCACAGCCAAAGAAGAAAAGGAGCATCGCAGTGATGGCTCTTTGGACAGACAATAAAAGCCCACCTTTGATAGTGCAGTTGAATGGACAAATCGAGGAATTGAAGAGGGAGAAGATGTTGTTCCAGAACCGTGCACTAATTCAATTTAGGTGATATTTGCCGTTCCTGAAACCTGACTCTGTCTCTCTGTATCACTGCCACGGGGCTGCTGTGTGGTCTTCATTTCGACAAAGTTTCAAAATAAATTGTGCTCTTGAACGTTGGTAAGAAAAAGGGATATGACGTTGAAGCTTTTCGACTTGTACTCATCAGGATAAAATCACAAGAATATCAGATCTCAAAGGGAGCAACAACTTGCACTGCATGAGTAGAGGGTGCTGATTGGTTTCCAAGTCTAGTCAAAGTCAACTTGCCAGCCATTAAGTAGCCCCCATTTTATGCAATATTTTACTCCCCTTGAAATTTGGTATTCTTGCATCTGTCCTGATGAGTCCAAGGTCTGAAGTTACAACAACAATTGGAATGTTTCTTTTTAGCAATTTCAGAAAGTGTTCTGGGGATCCCAATTGGACACAGTCACACTTTACTAATGTTTGTTAGATGATTGTGATGCAATTTCTTGAGTGGTGATGTGTAAATGTGGCCCCAACAAATGTTGTTAAAAAAAACAGAAAACATTTACAAGGATGATGCCAGGGTTGGAGGGTTTAAGCTATAGAGAGAGGCTGGATCGACTGGGGCTGTTTTCCCTGGAATGTTAGAGGCTGAGGGGTGACCTTTATAGAGATTTATACAATCATGAGGGGCATGGATAGGTTGAATAGCCAAGGTCTTTTCCCCAGGGTAGGGGGGGGATCCAAAACTAGAGGGCATAGGTCTAAGGTGATATAAAAAGGGACCCAAGGGGCAACTTTTTCATGCAGAGGGTGGTGCGTGTGTGGAACCAGCTGTCAGAGGAAGTGGTGGAGGTGGGTACAATTGCAACATGGATGGGCATATGAATAGGAAAGGTTTAGAGGGATTTGGACCAAATGCTGGCAAATGAGACTGGATTAATTTAGGATATCTGGTCGGCATGGATGAGTTGAATCGAAGGATCTGTTTCCGTGCTGTACATCTCTGTTTCTCTAAACAGTAAATTGCATGAAAAATAAAACACACAACTGTGGATACTGAAGAAGTAAATTGCATGACCGTGGCACCCTTTAGCTGCTTTGTCGTTGAATGGTGATGCTATTCTGTCTTCATTCAACTGGAACTTGAATACTGCATGACTGGCATGATTTTATACTGTGAACAACACGCATCAAATAGTTTGAGAACTGATGGAAAGCTACCACAATAGAGGTGTAGAAGGAAGTGAAGGGGGCAAGTTCAAATGGCTGACACAGGCCGATTTTAATATTTAGTCTGGTAAATTTCTTGATTGGATTCCTATTTTGGAGTTCACAGAAAGATAACGGCCCAGAATTTATCTGAATAGGACATCTCCTGTCATGTCCTGTTAAGACTTTTCCCTCACCTCAAAAGGTTCTTGCAGTGAAAGTTGTTGAAAGTGCCGGTTGATGATAGAAACTGGCATTGGGGATCTTGTTAAATGTGAAGTCCAATCATCTACCTTTTATACAATCTAAATGACATATAGAGAAAAACCAGAGAAATGACACAGAAGGGAATTGTGTGAATTAGTGTCAATTCCAGAGCGGAACAAGAAATAGAGCGGGAAAGGAGACTTTGGAGTAAGGAGGAAACAAGAAAAAAGGATGCAGATAGGAAAAGTTAAAATAAAAACCAACATTTAAAATTTAAAGTTCTTTAATTCTATAAAAAACCTGCAAGAATGAGTTTACATAGTTTAAATTCTTCATTTCTCAGTCAGATAAGTTTATTGACTCAAAAACAAAGTTGCTGGAAAACCTCAGCAGGTCTGGCTGCATCTGTGAAGGGAAAAGCAGAGTTAACGTTTCGGGTCCGGTGACCCTTCCTCAGAACTGATGGTGGCTGGGAAAACGTCAGTTTATATGCAGAAAAAGGGGGAGGGGGGTGGGTTAGGGAGTAAATGATAGGATAGAGCCTAAAGAGACAGAAGAGCAGTTGGACAGACAAGAAGCTGATAATGATCAGGCTGGGAGGGTGAATGGTTGTTAATGGGGACTATTAGTGACTAACAACAGATGGTGTGTAATGGCAGGCTGTCTGGTAACAAGGCCTGGTGTGTGGAGTAGGGGGCTGGGACATGGGAGAGTTTAGGCCCTAAAATTATTGAACTCAATATTGAGTCCGGAGAGCTGTAGGGTCCTCAAGCGGAAAATGAGGTGTTGTTCCTCCAGCTTGCGTTGGGCTTCACTGGAACACTGCAGCAAGCCAGAGACAGAGATGTTGGCCAGGGAGCAGGGTGGTGCTGCGAAGAACATAGATGTTCTGCGAAGCGGTCACCAAGTCTACGCTTCATTTCCCCAATGTAGAAGAGGCCACACTGTGAGCAGCGAATGCAGTAGATTAGATTGTGGGAAGAGATAGTAGGAACTGCAGATGCTGGAGAATCTGAGATAACAAGGTGTAGAGCTGGATGAACACAGCAGGCCAAGCAGCATCAGAGGAGCAGGAAGGCTGACGTTTCGGGCCTAGACCCTTCAGAAGATGCTGCTTGGCCTGCTGAGTTCATCCAGCTCTATAGATTGTGGGAAGTGCAGGTAAAGTGTTGCTTCACCTGGAAGGTATGTTTGGGCCCTTGGATACTGGGGAGGGAGGAGGTAAATGGGCAGGTGTTGCACCTTCGCTGATTATAGGGGAAGGTGCCGTAGGGCTGTGGGGGGCTGTTGGGGGTGAAGGAAGTCTGGACCAGGGTGTCCCGGAGGGAACGGTCCCTACAGAAGGCGGACAAGCAAGGGGAGGGGAATGTGCCTGGTGGTGGCATCTTGCTGGAGGTGGCTAAAATGGTGCCTGATGATCTTCTGGATTTGTGGATGCTGGAGGGATGGTAGGTGAGGATAACGGGAACCCTATTGCTGTTGCGGGAGGGAAGAGAAGGGGTGAGGTCGTAAGTGCGGGAGATGGGTCGGACCTGGTTGAGGGCCCTGTTGACAACGGACCTCGATCCTCGGTTGAGGAGGAAGGTGGACATTTTGGAGGCTCCCTTGTCGAAGTTGGCCCCATATGAACATATGTGATGGAGACGGTGGAACTGACAGAATGGGATGGAGTCTTTACAGGAAGTGGAGTGTGAGGATGCATAGTCCAGGTAGCTGTGGGAGTCAGTGGGTTTGTAGTGGATATTAGTGGCCAGTCTATTCCCAGAAATGGAAACAGAAATGTCGAGGAAGGAATGGGAGGAGTCAGAGATAGACCAGATGAAAGTGAGGGCAGCGTGGAAATTGGAGGTGAAATTGAATTTATTGACTCGGTAGGAACATAGATAACAATTATTAAAAAAGATGTCCTTACTCTAGTAAATACCAACCTTAATTCTTTCCATTAATACATAAATGCAGCCATTTAATGTAACTTGTTGGAATATTTAAGCATAAGCTCTAGTTTTCGCAAGGATAATGGCAAGTCATCTAGTGGTTTGTGGCAATGGGCAACTCATAGGGCATCGCTTGTTGACAAATTGCCGTGCAGTTTTGATCCAGATGATAGCATGATTGTTATTTTATTTTTCCAGCAAATGCCAAGCCTATATTCATTGTTTCTGTGTCACGTTTTGTAGACACCCTTTCAAGCTGCCAGTACCAGAGAACATCCTCCTACAGGAGACTTTCACCGTAGACAAGAGGAAGAAACACTACGTTTTGGAAGTGAAAGCCTTGGTGAATGAGAAAGATGAAACAATTCACACACTGGTCCTTGGATACCAGCCTGAGGAACCTTATGTAAGAAGTAAAAATCAACACAAACAGCTGAATGTCTATACCAAGGATTTTTAAGCCAGAGTTGCATTTACCAATGGTGCCTAAGAAATTAATCTAACTATCTTTTGCTTCATCAATGTTGCATTATTTCAAATAGTAATGACTTCTGTAAGAAATTTTAAGATCCTTTGCTCCTGCAAATTATTCCAAGTGGAATTAGTATGGGCCCTTGCTAAACTTCCTATGCACATTCTCATTCGCCATCACCTTCCCAACTCCACCAGAATCAAGTTTGTGACAACAATGTCCATAAGTCAATCTTTCCGCCCTATCACCACCGAGTGGTGTCAGGCTAGAACTAACCCAGTGACAAACAGGCTTGTCACTATGCCATGTTCCCGGAACTACAAAGGGTGCCAACTGCTTGTCAGATTAGGGGAGGAGTTACTCAATCAAAGGCATTCGTGCTTGATCACGGGCATGGACATAGAGTGGAGGGGTGCCCATTGGGTGCCCATGCCCTTATCTAAAATGTCCTGTGTACCCCTTCCCCCAACCCACGGCTGGAGAACCACCCCCCCACTTCCTCCCTAACAATCACAAACCTTGCTCCTCAATTCCTGGTCTCTGGCGTTGCTCTTCCACACCTTCCCATGTGGATCTCTTCCCCATGGCAGATCTAATTCCAGTTAAAGGCGTGCTGGTGTCTTTGGGACTGCCAGAGTTGACAGAAGATACAACAGGCCATTTTTTTTTTCAAAGAAGAGACAGCAAGAGTTTCCCTCCAAGAGACAAGACCACCCACATCGGCAATGGACAATTCTACCCTAGATGTGGCAAAAAGGCTTTTGTTAATCCTCACTGCTTAGTGTTTCTGCCTTAATTGTGCCCCCTCACATTGCAATATGGTGGCTTCTTAACAAACCCCACCCTCTCTTTACTTTCAGGCCGTGCTGCTAGCCTCAGAACATACACCTGTAGGAACATAGGAATAAGGAGCAGGAGTATGTAATTCAGCCCTTCAAGCCTGCTCTGCCATTTAACATGATTTTATCCTGGTCTCAACTCCACTCTCCTGCCAGCTCCCCATCATCCTGTATGCCGCTTTTCATCAGCAACATATCTATTTCTTTCTTGAATCTGTTGATTGATTCTGCCTCCACTGCACTCTGGGCCAGTGAGTTCCACAGATTCACAACCCTCTGAGAGAAATAGTTTCGCCTCATCTCAGTTTTGAACCTATCTCCTCTCACTCTATGTGTATGAGCTCTTGTTCAAAACTGTCCCACACAGGGGGAGGGGAAACATCTGTTCAATATCCACCTTATCAATTCCCTTTAGCATTTTATATCCTTCAATCAGATCACCTCCTCATTCTTCTGAACTCTAGTGAGTATAAGCCCAAGCTATTCAGCCATTCCTCGTACAATAGTCCTTTCATCCCTGGAATCAATGTGGTGAGCCTCCTCTGAACTGTCTCCAGTGCCACCACATCCTTCCTCAAGTAAGGAGATGTAGTACTTCAAGTGTGGTCTCACCAACGCTTTGTATGATTGTAACAACACTTCCTTGCTTTTATAATCCAGTCCTTTTACAATAAATGCCAGGATTCCATTTGCCTCTATTATATGCTGCACCTGCACACCTACTTTCACCAATTTATGCACAAGGACACCCAGATCCCTCTGCACTGACATGCTTTGAACCTGCTTCCCATTTATATAATAATTTGCCTTTTTGTTTTGCTGGCCAAAATGGAAAACCTTACACACATTGATAGTTTATTTTGTGATACTAATTTTTTAATCAATCATACATCATATTCCGAATACAGGACACTTAGCTCCATGTTTAGAAGCTTCATTAATATTTACGTTATTTCTAATAAATTTTTCTTTCAGATCTGTGTCGCTTTAGCACACCCTTATAACGGTGAAGTTATTCCAAAGAACATGGATGTTTGTGTGAGGACAAAGACAGACCACATGGTGGGTACAGCTCGGCTGCATTTGTGCTCTGCAGGAGAACTATAGGGCACACCATTCAGTCCTTCACACTGTTTAAATTAATACTGCTTCAGTTTTCTTTATCTGCCTTGTTTTCTTAGGCCTTGAGTGCCCTCAAAAAAATCTGCACATCTGAAACTTGAAAACTCAAATGGTCTGAGCATTCATGGTCTTTTTGGGAAGGATTCGGATTTCCTCCAAGCCTGTGTGAGGGGATCACTAAATTAATATGGTGCAGAAGGAGGTCATTTAGCCCACTGTGCCTACACTGACTCAATCATTTAATGTTCTCTATTTTCTACTGCCAATCTCCCATAACCCTGTGCACAATTACTGCCCAGAAACATCCAATGGCCAAATATTTCCAAGGTGTTGAATTACATGGTATTGGTGGTGGTATTATCCACAGTGGAAGGCAGTATTAGAATTTCCAGCCAGTACGTGGGTTCCCTGGCTCCATCCCAGCCTCAGCCAATTTTCTCTGGAGTTTAGGATGATGGGAATGAGAGGACCACCTGCCTGCATTGTGGTGGGTAGCCAGTTACATCAGTCAATAGTCTGTTAAGGTCTACTGTCAGAGGCCAAGTGGAATGTTCCTGGCATGCTAGGGTTGGGAGGTAGGAATTGGATTGAGAGGTGGTCTTGGGGACTCAGTACTCCAGGTAGGCCTCAAGTTTCTCCCTACCTGTAACTTTTGCCACATGCTTATCTAAGGATGGACTCTTCTTGTTTACGATCCCTCTGTATCTAACTCATTCATCATTGAACACCTTAATCATTTTACCTCCCCGTCTTCTTAATCAAGAGAATGCAAGAAGAGTTTATGGAATTGGTCCTCATAATTTAACCCTCCAAACCCCAATTTATATTGTAGTGAGTCTATGCTTCATCTCTGGGGTCAATCCTGTTCTTTAGCTACAGAAGCTATATGGCTACTGTACAATACATGTGAAGCAACAAGCTAGATATGAACACTAATGTAACAGCTAGAAGAATAAGATTGCCATTCAGTTGGAATTGAAATAGAAATTGTTGGAAACACACAGTGGGCCCATTAGATATTATTTCTTATTTTAAGAAAAATAAGAAACTAAAGGATATAGAAGCCCTTTTATAGAACTGAACATGACCAGTCAAAAGTGAGTATGCTGATTCCAATCAGGGTGAGTTCTTAGGTGTCAGAATGTGCAAATGTTGTAGCCCGATGAAGATGCTCTAATAATCTTGGACTATAAATGCTGAAAATTGTGTCTGAACAACGTGTGCCATTCTTACTGTGCGAATTGACCAGCAACGTGTGGCGAGGATATGACGACCCAAGACTTGCGAATCGCCACAATTTTGCATGTTATTTTTGAGAAAACACCACCTTGTTCTCAAGACACCCCCTGAGTTTCATGAAGTTACAGCATTTGTCTGTTACTTCCCAATTAACCTCACCACAGAACTGCAGCTCCCATAATTCATTGCGTAGTCACCTTTTTAATGGCATGATAATTATTAATGATTGCCAAGCCACTTCTCTCCGTAAGTGGACAAATTCTATGTGCAGAGTTTCATCCTTTACTATAGTTAGGATTAAAAAAAAAGGTCAAGTACAAAATTTTAAGTACTTTCCCATCCATTTTCTTATCTGTCTCTTTGTTCCCTTTTCAAATTCAGTCTTTCTGACTTTATTTATCTTTCTGCACTTGATTTGACATTGATTTCACCCAATCTAATTCATCTTCAACCTCAGTCTTCGGTTTTTCAATCCTTTTCTCATTGATTCAGGAGACATTCTGTCATTCACTGAGATTGCAGATGCCCTGTGGCCCTTGCTGTGTCCTTGCAGGCACCAACAATGGGGAGAAAGTTTTAGCTGAAAACTATTTAATTAACTGGGCATGCAGTGAGATAGGCCACCCCTGAGCATTGTGGCTAAAGTTGTAAAAATCAATGTAACCTGAAGTTTAAATTTGAGCCGTGAATTATGCTTTTAATTACAGCAATGCTTGTGTAATGTTTTAATTAGATTAAAAATCTGTTTGTTCTTTAGTGGTCAGATCACCATTGATGGATGGTGCTATTCAGATTCACTTAATAGCAATGCTCTTTGAAAATATATAAGTTTGAAGTTTAACTTTAAATCTTAGCAACATGTTTTAAACTGGAGTTAAAAATAGAAAATTGATGTCAATTAGGTAGGGATGTCACATAAAATAAAATAACCTTGGAATATAACTAATAAAATGGGAGAGATGGGAAATAGAACAATGAAAGAGAAAAAGGAGACCATTAGGCAGGAAGATTTTCATTCATTGATTTTAAAATAAATTACAAACATACAAAATTGACAGACAGAAGATGACCAACTGTTTGATCAAGGTGGTCAAACACTGTGCTGGTTCAGGCACATCCTTCTTCCCACATCACCACATTCAACCCTGGAATCTCCCTTGTAATCTCTCAGAATGGCAAAAAGTAACCTCAATAAAATTCTCAGTTGGTAAGTGCAAACAACAGTTCTCAGGTGTATTGCTGTGAACTTGCTCAGACAGTTGAAATCAGTCCAGGAGGTCAATTGGTCTGAGGATTTTTTATAAAGACACACCCATGAATGTGTGCTTCCCTGGTGGAGGAGGAAAATGTGCTGTTTGGTCTCCACCATAAACTCACCAATCCCAGCTCCCAATCCTACTATCTCTTGCTGTAGCCACAAAGGAAAAACACTCTGGAATTAAGGAGAAAATTCCACATATCAGATACAAAATTAATAACTTACATCATGGTCCGATCTCCCACTTTATAAAACTCAAGAATAGTATATAAAAAGTTGGCAATTTAATTAACTTAGCCTGACAATATATGATTAGTAGAATTTAGTACAAAATGCAGATTGCAATGGACCTTTTTTAATTCTGGAAGTTAAAGAAACCTGTATTTTGCAATGTGTTGTAACTGTTGGTATACAAGAATGTTCATAATTAAGCAATTTGTCTATTTTATATTTCATTTTGATGGTTTTCTGTAACTATGTTGTGAATTATGATTACTGGTTTTATTTGTGTCATCACTGCAATTTGGCACCTGCCACCATAATCATTTTTAATCACCCTATTGTCTGTCTGTCTGTCTGTCTGTCTGACTACCTCCGAAATGATGTGACCTTGCCTGCAATCAGGAATAATTGGGGACGTACAGAAAATCCATCATTAACTTCACCAGCTGGTAGTATGTTCTCTGGCCTTGCAAGTCTTTGGGAACAGACAAATCATCAGATATTCAGTCTGTCCTGCTCTTATATAGTTTAAACTCAAGTCTCCAAATCTTTCTCAATGTGTTAAATTTGAACAATCAATAAAGACCCTATCCAACCACTTAGAGATAGCAACTTCTACCTACGCAGCATCCAGAGCTATCAAAAACGGTTTTCTCTACGCATCCTCAAGTACACACTGTCAGCACTCCCAGTTCTACATACTAAGGAGGTGGCCATGGGGCACCCGCATGGGCCCAAGTTATGCCTGCCTCTTCATAGGATACATGGAACAGTCTTTCTTCCACTATTGCACTGGCGCTATCCCCCACCTCTTCCTCCGCTACATTGATGACTGTATTGGTGCTGCCTCGTGCTCCCACAAGGAACTTGAACAGTTTACTAACACCTTTCACCCTAACCTCAAGTTCACCTAGACCATTTCTGATACCTCTCTCTCCTTCCTGGACCTCTCTGTCTCCATCTCTGGTGACGCCTCGAAACTGATATCTATTTCAAGCCCACTGACTCCCACAGCTACCTAGACTACACCTCCTCTCACCCACCTCCCTGCAAGAATGCGATCCCCTACTCCCAATTCTTCTGCCTCCGCCACGTCTGCTCCCAAGATGGGGCGTTCCACTCCCGAACATCCCAGATGTCCTCGTAATTCAGGGACCGTAACTCCCCCCCGCTTCCAGTGATCGAAAGTGGCCTCAACCACATCTCTTGCATTTCCTGCACCTCTGCCCTCACAACCCCTCCCCGCAACAAAAACAAAGACAGAATCTCCTTTGTCCTCACATATCACCCCATTAACCTCCGCATCCAATGTATCATTATCCGCCTCTTCTGCCACCTGCAATCTGACCCCACAACCAAAGATAGATTTCTGTCCCCACCGCTATCTGCCTTCTGTAGGGACCGCTCTCTCTGCAATTGCCTCGTCCGCTCCACACTCCCCACCTGCCCCACCATCCCCTGACACCTTTCCCTGCAACCACAGGAAGTACTACACCTGCCCCTACACCACCACCTCCAAGCCCCATGCAAGGCACAAAACAAACCTTCCATATGAGACAGGGGTTCACCTGCACATCCGTCAACATGGTCTACTTTATCCGCTGCTCCCGATGTGGCCTCCTCTACATCAGTGAGACCAAGTGGAGACTCAGAAACTGTTTTGTAGAGCATCTGGGCTTTTTAGGCGACAAACGACAACATCTTCCAGTCACCAACCATTTTAACTCCCCCTCCCACTGTGTGGGTGAAATGTCCATTCTGGGCCTCCTCCAGTGTCACAGTGACACCACCTGCAAACTGGAGGAGCAGCACCTCATATTGCGCCTTGGGAGCCTATAGCCTGATGGCCTAAACATGGAATTCACCAATTTATAAAATGTCCCCACCCCCGGCCTCATCCCATGTCCAACCCTCCCTCTCATTCCTGCCTCCTTGACCTGACCCAACCCGTCCATCTTCTCCCACCTGTCTGCCTATCCCATCCCACTGACCAATCCCCACCACTGCATACCTGCACTCCATTCCCCAGCCCCACCCCTCCTCTCTCTATTTATTTCTGAGCTCCCTTCCCCCTCCCCTATTTCTGAAGAAGGGTCCTGACCTGAAACGTCAACTTTCCTGCTCTGCTGATGCTGCCTGGCCTGCTGTGTTCTTCCAGCTCCAAACTGTTATCTCTATCCAACCACTTAATTATTTTGCAAACCTTTATTAGCTCACCTTTACTTCAATGCTGCTCTAAAAGTTAAAAAAAAAATGTCCTTGAGCATAACCTTAAGCTAGAAATCACTCTTGCAACTTTTCCAAGGCCAGAGTATTTCCTATCACATGGAGAACAAAACCAGGCTTATTACTCTGGGTGGCAGTTTAATCTACCAATTGCACTTTGTTTAGTTAAACCCGAGCATGAAAATTCTTGGTAGTGATATCAGGAAGTAAATTGTAAATATATGTATAACATTCATCTGTCTGAGCAAGGTGTCTCTTGTGTTATGTCTCACTATCAATATTTCAATATACCTTTAAGAGACATGCTCATGATATCACAGATAACACAGTGTGGAGCTGGAGGAGCAGGCAAGTTGACATTACAGGTCAGGAGCCATTTTCTGAAGAAGGGTCCTGATGTGAAACGTCAGCTTTCCTGCTCTGCTGATGCTGCCTGACCTGCTGTGCTCCTCCAGCTCTACACTGTGTTATCTCTGACTCCAGCATTGACAGTTCATACTGTCTCCTCATGATATCCTTCCTGTATCATAGCATGTGACTTGAGGCTCACAGACTCCATCTGACCGCAGGATCGCTTGAAGCATGACGTGTTAGTGGTTACTATTTGCACCTGAATAACCTCATCCTATCAGAGACACTTGTGTGTCTGTCAATGTGATAATTTAAACGTTTGTTCAGTCATTCAATTCACCTTAACCACACCTAGTTTATTATGTCATGAGACAAAATGTATTGCTGTATTAGGTAAAGATACTCTGCCAGAGACAAAGCCCATATCAATATTCATTTTAAGTAGAATCAGAGATGGTAGGAACTACAACTCATCCCTCACACCCCGTCCACACCGCAACTCATCCCTCACACCCTGTCCACGCCGCAACTCATCCCTCACACCCCGTCCACGCAATAAGAACCAAAAAAGAATCCCCCTTGTCCTCACGTACCACCCCACCAACCTCCGGATCCAACGCATCATCCTCCGACACTTCCGCCATCTGCAATCCATCCCCACCACCAAAGACATCTTTCCCTCCCCACCCTTATCTGCTTTCCGGAGGGACCACTCTCTCCGTGACTCCCTTGTCTGCTCCACACTCCCCTCCAGCTCCACCACACCCGGCACTTTTCCCTGCAACCGCAGGAGGTGCTACACCTGCCCCCATACCTCCTCCCTCACCCCCATCCCAGGCCCCAAGAAGACCTTCCACATCAAGCAGATGTTCACCTGCACATCTGCCAATGTGGTATACTGCATCCGCTGTACCCGGTGTGGCTTCCTCTACATCAGGGAAACCAAGCGGAGGCTCGGGGACCGCTTTGCAGAACACCTACGCTCGGTTCTCAATAAACAACTGCACCTCCCAGTCGCGAACCATTTCAACTCCCCCTCCCATTCCTCAGACGACATGTCCATCTTGGGCCTCCTGCAGTGCCACAACGATGCCACCCGAAGGTTGCAGGAACAGCAACTCATATTCCGCTTGGGAACCCTGCAGCCCAATGGTATCAATGTGGATTTCACAAGCTTCAAAATCTCCCCTCCCCCTACCGCATCCCAAAACCAGTCCAGCTCGTCCCCGCCTCCCTAATCTGTTCTTCCTCCCACCTATCCCCTCCTCCCACCTCAAGCCGCACCCCCATCTCCTACCGACCAACTTCATCCCGCCCCTTGACTTGTCCGTCCTCCCTGGACTGACCTATCCCCTCCCTAACTCCCCACCTACACTCACCTTTACTGGCCCCATCCCCGCCTCTTCGACCTGTTTGTTTCCTCTCCACCTATCCTCTCCTCTATCCATCTTCTATCCGCCTCCACACTCTCCCTATTTATTTCAGAACCCCCTTCCCCTCCCCCTTTTCTGATGAAGGGTCTAGGCCCGAAATGTCAGCCTTTCTGCTCCTATGATGCTGCTTAGCCTGCTGTGTTCATCCAGCCCTGCACTTTGTTGTCTCTTCATTTTAAGTAAACACATTGACGGTCATATTAGAATGGCAAACAGAAGAATAGGAATGTGTGAAACTTCCACTAATTTCTAAACCGTGACATGCAGTGTATAGTGAAAGGAACTCGTTTTCTTGCTGCAGTATTAGTAGTTTGACTGAAATCAACATTAGAATGCATGTGTTTAAAATAAACAAAACTTTCTGGCTAGCTTAGATAAAGCTGCTGGATATTGAAAGCCAAGCACAGTGTTCTTCTTTGTTAGAGTTATTTCTGAACTGCATGCCAATTGTGATTTGTATTTTATACTTTATGAAAGTACTGAAATTTTCAATATCTTGTATCACAGGCAAAATTTGAGGCAGAAGCAACAGTGAGAATCAACAAAAGAGACACCGTCAAGTTCCATGGACAATATCAGAATAAATCCACGGATACAGATTGCTGGCATGTGGTGCATTTTGATGCAGACCACAGTCTTCAGGTACATTGAGATCCTGTATTAAAATTACTCTGGCCTGTTAAATCACTTAGCTTGTTATTCAGGATTTTATGAAAATATCTCTTGTATATCTAAGCCCAGTTTGCTTTATTGCTGGTTTCTCTTTGATGTATAGATACGAGTTCCTCACACTGTAACCCTGGATGGGGAGTTATTCACAATGCAGAGCAAGAATGAGATTTTCAACTATGGAGCAAATTGCAAATTTACCATCAATAAGCTGGATACATCACAGGTTAGAAACAAAACATTGGTTGCATTGTTAATGTTTGTACAATGCTTAGCATCATCTACCAATCCTCGGGTACTGAAGCAGTCCATGTTTTTGTACACCAACTATCAGCTTGACCTGTTAAATGCCAAGTAATATTTGAGCTACACAAGTGCCAAGCATTAACCATCTCCTCAATGTTCAGTGGCTTTTATATCGCTGAACCCACCCCCACCAACATCTTAGGGGTGCCATTAAGCAGAAATCGAATTGGGCTAACCATTATAAATACTGTGGTTACAAGAGCAGATCAGAGGCTGGGGATTCTGTGGTGAGTAACTCTCCCTCTGACTCCTTAAAACACATCCACCATCTACAAGGCACAAGTCAGAAGTGTGATGGAATGTTCTCAATTTGCCTGGTTACGTGCAACTTCAGCAACACTCAAGAAGCTTGACACCATCCAAGAAATAATAGCCTGCTTTTCACTTCCTACAACACTGACCCACAATGTCAACAGTGTCTACCATTTGCAGGATACATCACAACAGCTCATCAAGGTTCCTCTGACAGCACCTTCCAAAACCACGACCTCTACCACTAAGCAGATACATGGGAACACCACCACTTGCAAGTTCCCCTCCAAGCCACACACCATCCCAACTTGGAAATATATCACCATTTCTTCAGTGCTGGATCAAAATCAGGAAGTCTGTCCCTAGTGGCACTGTTGATGTACCCAAATCTGGTGAAATAATTAAAAAGTAGGTAACTATTAGTAGAATTGTGCAGGGTATTTGTTAGAGTGCACCCTGTGTGTACAGTTTTAGTTTCCTTATGGAGAGAGAAATACGTTTGTATCTGAAGCAGTTCAAAGAAGGTTTACTTGTCTGATCTCTGGAGTGAATGGTTGCCTCAGGTCATGAATGTTGAATCTCTATCTATTAGAGTTTGGAAAAATGGGAGATAATCTTACTGGACATTTAAGGTTCTGTGCATCCTTGACAAGGTTGGTGCTGGTAGGTCATTTCCCCTTGTGGCTGCGTGGATTATTGATAGAGCTACAGTGCATAGTTTGAAAATAAGAGGTGAGGTAGAATTTTGTAGAGAAAACAGTGGAGACTGGACCATTGAAAATATTCAAGGTTGAGTTTGATAGATAGATGAATGACAATGAAGTTAAAGGTTGCAAAAGTATAGGCAGTTAATGGAGATGAGGCCTCAATCACATCAACTGAACTGATCATACTGAATGTCAGAGCAGGTATGAGGGGCCAAATGGACTACTCCTGCTCTTATTTTGCCTGGTCTTAAATGCATTGGTAAGAATGTGCAAATTAAAATAGTCTGTGTTGTCATGTCTAGCTCACAAAATATGTTTCATTCCTTCAAGATTATTATGGACTATTTGCTTACACTGTTCACCTCAGGGATATACTTCTATAGTGTGTGAATGGAAGAGACTGGGAGCTCTACTTTGCTTTAGAGAGTTGGCAGGATCAAGGGTTCATGCTATGAATCATAGACACTGTTAGACCTAACATAAGGTCTGCACAAGTAGACTTCTCTTCAGAGCTCCTCCTTTATGTGATCTAGTACATCCCTACTCATGTAGCTTACTAGTTACATATTTCAGAAATAACCCTTTACTGCACACTGTGGTGCAATGAATATTGCTGACCAATCCCTGTGTCTGCCAAAAATCTCGTACTTAAACAGCACAGAAGTAGGTTTATTTGAAAACGCAAGCTTTCAGAACTCATCTCCTTCCTCAGACACAGTGTGTGAGAGAGAGAATAAGACACAGAATTTATAAGCAGAAAGGTAACAACCTAAAACCTTTCTGTTTTCTATTTGCAGGTGCACAGAGCACCTGAATTGTAACATTTGTATGAAAAGGATGGAAGCTGAGCCACAGTTTTGTTTTGTTATCAAGACAATGAATTTTAATTTAGCCAATTAATTTAAACCAGGCCCTTAGATACTAAAAACTATTAAATTTAAATCTGATGGTTTTGACAACATAGGACCAATCCTATTGTAAGAATTTGACATGCCATCAAGGGTATAAAAGAAGGAGACAGTTGCAAAATCGGTAGAGAACCAATTGCCGTCTGATAAGAGATTAGCTCTCTCAGCTCTTAGTGAAAACATCATCTAATTAATAAGGGTACCGCGGCACTCTTACCTAATATTCCAGACAGAAGAATTTACAGAATGAACTTTCCCGACAGAAGATCAGCAGAGAAGGCACAGAACATTTCCGGAAGATGTAACCTGGCTGTAATTTCAATAGACTAAGTTCTAATTCTTTTTATTTGGTTTATGTAAGTGGGACTTGCATTTATTGGAACAGCATACCATAAGAATCTTGTTTTATTCTGAAATAGTTGGTAGTTAGAGGGGAATTGTTTGGTTTGTTAATAATCCAGTGAATTTGTTTACTGTTAGCATTAGATGAATAAATTGTTACTTGTTGATTATAGAGTCAGTGTCAAGAGTTTGTTTCATTTAACCACTCCTTTAAAACCGATTGGAGGTGAGAGGCAGGTTATTACCACTTTTCACACTTCATTTAATGGATTAAAGGACCAGGAGAGCCCCTCTGAGTGTTTGGTTTTAGTTATCAGAGTGGGGTCGACCTCTGCTTTATAACAACTCCGACAAGAGGCTCTTGTGGTGCAGTGGTAGTGTCCTTACTGCTAGGCCTGGAGGTCTGGGTTCAAGTCCCACTTGTTCCAGAGATATGTCATAACCTATTGCAGGTTGATTAAAAATGCCTATAATGTGATTTTGCCAGTAGGACATTCATGATACTGGTCTTAAGCAATCATTTTGTCTGTTTTTATCTTCCCAGTGAGGAAATACTAGACGTTGATTTACCATCTATCCTTGATGGTGTCAGAATCTGAGCATGCTTTATCAAATTACTTTTTCTTTATGTAATTGATCATGGATGTGAGTGTCATTGGCAAGGTGAGCATTAATTTCCCAGTCTTAATTACTCTGGGGAAGATGGGCTGAACTGCCTTCTTATACAGTACGTGACGGGTACCACAGAGTTGTTAGGGAGCGTCTTCTACAATTTTAAGAGGAATGGTAATATATTTCCAAGTCAGGAGGGTGTGCAGCTTGCAGGGGGACTTGCAGTGATGGTGTGACCATATATCTGCTGCCCTTGTCTTTCTAGATGGTAGTGGTTGTGGGTTTGAAAGGTACTGGTCTAAGAATCCTTAGTGAATTTCTGCAGTGCCTCTTATGGATGTTCCACAGTGCTGCCACTATGCCTCTGTGGTGGAGAGACTTCTTTTCATCACTATTTGGATGTGGACATTGTTGCCCTGCCAGGAATTATTGTCCATCCCTGAATGTTGAAGGTGGTGGATGGAGTGCCAATGAAGTAGGCTGTTTCATCCTGAATGATGTTGAGCTCCTGAGTCTTGCTGCACTCATCCAAATAAATGAAGGATATTTCACCAGTCTCCTGTCTTGAGCCTTGGTGATGGCAGACAGGCTTCAAGGACTTATGTGTTGAGTAACTTAACTCCTAGCCTCTGACGTTAATACTGTTTCTAGCCCCAGTTTAATCTATGACAGGTAGCTTGTGGCTTCGTTAAAATATTGAAAGCACAATCCTCCAACACATTTGTACACTCTGCCATGACATAGTTGTATGCTCAGATTACCATTTTTTCAATGTCTTTAGCTCCTCTAACAGAATATAAAATACAGTCTTAAATTGTAAACAACTGGTCTGATTAATCATCGAGGTTAATTCGTTGTTGGAATTACAATTGTTAGAATAACATAAAAATGGCTTAATTATGAAAACTTTGTAATCAGCTTTGAAATAATTATTAAAATAAGCTATTGAAAATCTCTTAAAGTAGTGCTGATTTTCGCTGATCTTCTTTTGTACCCATCTAGTTTTCAGTTCAGGTGAATGGCTCCTCTAATCAGATGAGAGTTTATTCCCAGTTCAGCCATCCATACCAGTCAACAATACCGTACACTTTCCAGGTTTGTGATTCTCTACTGCCTGTAACAAACAGCTTGCCTAGTTTCTCATTGAGGGAGCACACTGAAGTGTGAAAGTGTGTTGGGGAGGATTGCAAGCCTAGTAGAACCCATTCTGATCAAACTTTTATTTACCTCAAAGACTGAAAAATTCAGGAGGTTCTTGTGGCACATTGATAGTGTCCCCACTTTTGAGCCAGGAGACCCTTGTTTAAATCCTACCTGCCCCAGAGTGTGTTCTGAACAAGTTGATTCAAAGTAATTTAAATCAGCTTCTTCTTAAAGGGCAGCAGGTAGTGACATAGTGGTATTCTCATTGGACTAGCAATCCAGTAAACCCAGGCCAATGGTATAGGATAAGGATTCAAATCCTCTCACAGCTGGTGGTGAACTTTGAATCAATTATATTCTGAATTTTAATTAAAGGCTAGCCTAATGGCATCCAGGTAACCATTGTTGTAAAGACCCATCTGATTGACTAATGTCCTTTAGGGAAGAAAATCTATCTTGCCTGGGCTACATGCGGCTCCAGACCCACAGCAGTGTGGTTGACTGTTAATTGTCCTCAGAGATGGTGCTGGCAAACCAGTACATTGAAATGGCAATTGGGGATAGGCAATGAATGGATGAAAGTAAATCCAGGGTGCAGTGGTAGTGTCCCTACCTACTCTGCATTTTAGAAAAGTTCCTAGGGACTTTTATATTAATTTGCAGGAGCATAGAGTCATAGAATCATGCAGCATGGAAACTGACCCTAAGGTCCAACCAATCCACGCCAACCATGTTCCCAAACGAAACTAGTTCCACTTGCCTGCATTTGACCCATATCCCTCCAAACCTTTCCTGTTCACGTACTTATCCGAATGTCTTTTTAACATTGTAACTTTGTTTGTCATTAATCATTAATCTGTGAAAAAATAGATGTTTGACATAATTGAGCAGAATATTATGCAGATTATCTCATAAGTGAGCTTTACAACTATCAGTATAGTATGAATTTATTCCTTTAGTTTGATCTGTTGAACTAATTTTAGTTTGATTTAATTATTTTCTATAACTAAAGACCTATGCAACAGCGAAGAATTATGGAGAGAGCAACTATAATGGTACATTCTACCTACACTCTAATGGCAAAGATCTTGTGGTAACGGAGTTTGATGTTGTGAATGAAAGGAAAAGGAATGTCAGAGTTCTGGGCATTAAAGCTGTCTTACACCAGAGCTTTCTGACTGGGCCAGAGAACAGCCAATTGCAAATAACTGCAAAAGCATACCATTCAAGGTAAAGGATACATCATATGTGCTACTGTCATGAAACTTCAATGCACTTCGCATTGTTCTCGTTTAAAGATGTCCAACTGGAAGACGGATCACTGTGTAAAGAGGTTCTCTTGAAGAGACAGTAACAGCAGTGATTAAGAATGTAGGAGCCGATGTTTAGGAAACATGATCACTGTGTGTAACTTGTCATCAGGGAAATTTCCAATACAGATTTTGAATTTGCAGCTTTGTCAAATTTTCTAACAAGTAATTTGCCAGTTGGATATTGCTTAGTAACACAGTGTGCCAACTTTAACAAGTGTAACTGAATAACATTTCAAAGAAGATTAACTTGGCTCAAAACCAAGGGTCAAGAGCAGAGGCGACATGTCTTTAGAGTTGTAGTTGCCAATGAAAACTGTTTATTATTTAATATGGAGCCAATCATTTCTATGCTTATTGCTCATGGTTCTTGATTTCTGTAGTTACATTTTTAAAAATACAAAACAAGAGTTAAATATTCCAGCTTTATAATGTTGTTTAACTGACCAGCACATTATTGTCACCTGGCTTTAGATGTTTAGTGGTTTCCAGTCTGCAGTTCGATGGGAAAGCTTTTGCATTAGACATGATGGGACTAAAAGAGCACCAAGGTGGCCTGATGTTATCAATGTCTGGTACTGTCCAACATAATATGAACACTGGGCAATTAATTCCACAATACCTGCATGTCGATGCAACGTTAAAACAGCAAATCAATACCAACGAAGGTAAGTTCTCAGCAATTATTTGGCCTTGCACATACACTGCTAACTCAACCACCTTTGCCAGATCGCCTAATCCATGCTAAGATAAAATAAAGCAATGTGTGTTGATGAACTTATCATTAAAATAAAAACTTGTCAAATTAAAATGTACTACATGTAACTCCTTTGATTCCTTATAAAAACAAACACTACAGTTCCTAGTTCTACTTCAAAAGGTCTATAAACAGTTGGGGCTGTCAATCAAGCAGTGAGTTGTAATAATAAAAGGTTGGTGAATCAGTCATACGTGGCTAATCCTGTGATTATAGCCCTTAGCCTTATAACAACAAAGTAAAAAAGCAAACACTGATTTTTTTTAACACTGCAGGCATTTTTTAAATTCATTTATTTAAAGGGAAGGCATTTTAAATGCCTTGAAAGCTCATTTATCAACTCACTTTGACAGCAATTTTTAATCAATATTTTGACTAATGAGCTTACTAGGTTCAAAGAGTTTATGCATTTCTTGCGCACATTCATATCTACTTTTAACATTCCCAAAGAGCATCTGTCTCCAATTAAAAGTGTCATGGGCCATTATACCTTAATTCTCCAAAATGGTACCCCACTCTCCAAAGACTCTAGCAACTGTAGAACGTCTCCTCTGAGATCTAAATTATACTATTTCTGTTTTGGGCAACCCACCAGTGAACATTCGTTCAGCCTGAAGCAGCTACACCTTAACGTGTGCCCTTAACGCCATGAGCCATAGATGTGCGATTTGGAACCTGTCCCCATTCCTCACCACCCGATACAAAAATAGTGGGTGCTATCTCCAGGGGTAGAGTTTGAAAGTTTGGGCCTCAACCCCTGTTTTCATAATGATGGAGATGTTCTCCATCAATGTGAAAATTCAAGTTTTGTGTTGGACTATTTCAGAGCTGGGATACCAATCAGATACAACAGCCATCACTTGAATTATCTACCTCTACGCCATAATAATACTGTCCAACTTCACCACATTTACCCTACAGCCTTATCCATCATTTTGCCACCTCTAGCTTTTTTTAAAAAATAGTCTGTCTCTGTTCTGCTTTGTGTGAAGTGCCAGTAGCCTGCGTTGCTCATGCCCATTACTCTCCTCATTTCCCATAGAACTGCCTTCACTGCTCCACATCTCTCACTGCCTCTCAAGACCTAACTTTCGCATTAAGTTTTCAGTCACTTCCTCTAGCTTTAACATCATGGCTTGGTGCCTTTCCTTTACTCCTTTGTTTTCCATATTAAAGGTGGTACATGAATGCCAGTTGTTGTTGGAATAAATATCCTGAAGGTGAAGTTTTTTGTAGTTTGTCATATAGCTGAGTTTTGTTCTGACATTTTCCCTGATAAAGCAAGTGTTGGTAAAAATGAATGCCCAATGGAAGAATGGGCCTACTGAATGGTAAAGATGAGTTCTTTTTTGGAAAATTTGCAGAGAAGAGGGCTGAAAGGAGATTTGCTAGGGGTTTTCAAACTCATGAATGGGCTTGGTAGAATAGATGAGGAGAAGCTGTTCCCATTTGTAAAAGAAGCAAGAATGATGTGCGAATGGAGCAAGGGTGAAGTGAGAGAAACCTTTTTCACACAGTGAGTAGTTGGGGTAGGGAATGCACTGGCTGGAAATGTGGTGGTGGCAAGTTTAATTGAGGCATTCAAGAGGCCATTGGATGGTTGTTTGGATAATAATTGTGGGCAGGGATATGAGAAAAAGGCAGGAGATTGATGTTAGGAAATAGAACCAGTGCAGGCACAATAGGTCGAATGGCCTCCACCTACACTGTAACAGTTCTGTAATTCTGAATTAAATGAAAATATTTGCATTTAAGATCAGGATATTTTCCTGTACAATATTTCATTAAATCAACACCTTTCTATTGTGATTATTCCATCCGAAATCTGGACTGAGATGTACTCAGTTTTAGAATTTAATGTTCTTAAAAAATGGCCTCCTTGAACAGTGATAAAATGTGAATTTAATCCAAGTGAAGAGGCTTTACACTGCATTCATCAGTGAGGCATTTCCAGAAGTTTGCCTGTTTGAGGAAAGCATATCAGAGCGATAAGAATAGCAATACCTTCAACATCATGGAATATCCCAAGGTGATTCACAGGACGATCACAAAACAGAGAATGACACAGAGCCATATTAAAGAGCTTGGATGACCAAAAACTTAGTCAAATGGGTAGGGTTTAAGAAGCAACTTAAAGGAGGAAAGAGATGTGGAGAGGTGTAAGGAGAGAATTCTAGAGCTTGAAGCCTAGATACCAATGGTATTCATCAATGGTGGAGTGATTATAATTTGGAAAGCGCAAGAGGCCAGAATTGGAGGAGCTCAGATATCTCAAAGGATTTATGGGGTTGAAGGAGATTATACAACTAGGAAACATAATTAATGATAATGGGTCACTTCCAAGGATTATTGGTGATTCCTGAATAACATTTTTTTTAAAAAAATTAGATTCAAAAAGAACGCGTATACTCATTGGGGCTGGATTTTCCAAACAGTAGGCAGCTTGAATCAGTATCATTCCTAACTCCCCTTTCTGCCTTGGTTTAAAAGGCTCATGAAATCATGCAATGTTCATTCCAAAAGGAGACAACTAGATGGAGTCATATCCACCTGACACCAGCAATAGAGTGTAGATGGCCATGGGACATGAGGAAGTGTAAAGCAAGCTGGTTAGTCACTCACCCAGTGCCCACATGAACAGACTTCAGAGGTCATATGGAGGTGGAAAAATAACACACTTCTGACAATCTAACACAGCTCTCACTCACACAAACTCTGTCAAACAAAGGTTCAAAGGAATAGATTCAAAAGTCTTCTTAAGTAGTTAATCTCTTATTAAAAGAACTCACAAAGTTCTATTCAAACACCACTTCAAAAAAAAACTAAGCCTTTAATAGCTCCTTTTAAAAATGATTGAGCTGCAAAGTCAGAAATCTTTGCTGAGATCATTGTAACATTTGAAACTCAGCCAAGCATACATAATGTCATTACAATAACCTTGGGGAATTGCCAACAAAGAACTCTATTGAAAAGCATAACCAGATACTACATTTTTTTCCTGATGAGCCGCAGATGACCTGTCAATCAAAGCAGAGATTATGTTAACACTGTGACGGCTGCAGCTTATTATTTTAATAGTTTAAAGAACGGGGCATGTGAGAAAAGAAACTGCAGATCATGGTATGTATGTCTCTGAGGCATTGACAATGAGGACCTGCACAGACCTTACCTGTCCTTTCATGTGTACATGTTTTCTCCACCAATTTGACTCCCACACTGCGGGATGAGACCCATCAGTTCGAACTCGGCTCTGAGTTCCAAGGTTCTACCAAATTTAGGTTTCCCACCTGACACCCCCAGCCCCTTCTCCCTGCATCGCAAAAACATTGAGTGTTAGAGATGGAGTTGAGATTCCTGGATGCAGATCACGCCACTGTTTTTAATCACCTGTGGAATTCCCCTGAATTCTGAGAAACCTGGCCCCTCCTCTTGAATTTAGTGGCTTGCACATTTGTATTAGAGCACATTCCAAGAAGTCATGCAAAATGTTCTGGCCTTTGCTGCGATAATCTTGCCACAATCCACATGTTTGAAGGTGTTTCATTCCTCCTGCTTTGCTGCAAGTTGGTTTGTAATCCGTTTCTGTTATTCTCACCTTCAACTCAGGTAACCTGAATATTGAAATTGATGACGTCCTTTACAGACTACAGCTTCAAAATAACAACACTTTTGGTGACAGTTCTGCCAATGATTTGATTGTCACCTTCATGCAAAATGGCAGCCTAACCTTCCCAGCAATGGCTGAGTTTCAAGGACACTTAGAGCTGGGTCAAGAATCAAGAGTGGGACTGGCCTGTTGGCAGACCAATGATAAATCGATATGCTTCCAGCTTTTACAGCTGACCAAAGCAAACCAGACCAAGGTCACTGGGAAAGTGAGCCACAACCTGGAAGAATTGATCACCACAGGTAGGTGCCTTCAGTGGTAAATGACAGGCATCCATTTTTGCTCTTGCATTTCTTTACTTAAGAACATTACCTAACAGAGAATCTGGTAGAATTAAATAATTAACTAAAACTGGAATTGAAAACTAATTCAGTAACAGTGACTATGAAACTACCATACTATTCCAGAGCTATTTTAACTAATCCTGTTTAGAGAAAGAAATCTACCATCCATCCAAGACGGGAAAAACTAGTAATGAACATACTGCATTTTGAAATATACAAGACCGATTGGGTCAGAATGGCTCATTCACATGTTTTACTCATTTTTCGTTCCAGGTTTTATTGATTTTCCTTCTGGGTTACTTAGTCAATTCTATGCATGACTCCAGACCCACAGCAATGTGGTTGATTCTTAACTATCCTCTGAAATACCTCTGAGACCAATGGTGAATACTTATGGGCAGTAACTGCTGCCCTTGCCAGTGATGCCCATATCCCATGAAAGAACAAAGTAAAAACCCAGTCATTGCACACTTAGACGAATAGAGCTCCACCCCCTCTCAATGATTAATGTTTAGTAGAAACAGGTGGTTGCTCACAGAGTATCAACTTCCCATAAGATTCAAATGATCTTTGTTGCGCTCCAGGAGGATGATTTGAATGAAATCATCTCGTGTTTTTGGGAAGTATGATTCGGACCACAAGACAACTTTAAAGTAAGCTGCTTATTTAGATGTAGTTCACAAACAGGACGTAATTGCCAGTAATGTTAGCCGTTATTGATGAAATTGTGTAAAACAATGAATTTTGGTTATCACAATTTTGTTTTTGAAATAAGCCGTAGAAGTTTGACTCTAAATAAAGGTGAGGACAGAGGAGAGTGATATTCTGATTAAAGGACTTGATTCCACCCACAGACCATGTGAGATCAGTCTGTCTGTCTCTATCACCTGAACTGCAGGCAGTTCCTCTTTCCAAACTGAAAAGCCTCCAATAGCCCTCCACCTTCAAGAACCCACCCACCATCTGCAATTAGACAGTGAGCATATCTTCTGGCCATAAGTTGGTTACTTTGAGAAAAATTATTGTCAGGCAACTGTTGTCCACACACACTGTGGAGTCCTGATCCCCATTTGACCCCAACACTCAAGTCCTGAAACAAAATGCAAAATTCTCCCCAGGGCAAAGCACGTTTTGGTAGAGTCATACAGCATAGAAACAGACCCTTCAGTCCAACCAGTCCATGCAGACCATATGCCCAAACAAAACTAGTCCCACCTGCCTGTGCTTGGCTCATATCCCTCCAAATATTTCATGTGTTGATAAGCTGATACTTATCCAAATGTCTTTTAAATGTTATAACTGTACCCACATCCACCACTTCCCCGAGAAGTTCATTCCACACACCAACCACTGTGTAAAAAAAGTTGCCTCTCATGTCTTTTTCAAATCTTTCTCCTCTTACCTTTAGAATATGCCCCCATCTTGAAATCTCCCACCCTAGGGAAAATATGTTTGCTATACACCTTGTCTATGCCCTTCATGAATTTATAGACCTCTATAAGGTCACCCCTCAACTTCCTGCGCTCCAGTGTAAAAATTCCCAGCCTACCCAGCTTCTCCTTATAACTCGAACCCTCCATTCCCTGCCATATCCTGGTAAATCTCTTCTGAACCTTCTCCAGCTTAATAACACAGTCAGTTCTGATATAACGCAATAGTTCCATTCTTGTGCAATCTCACGTTATGAGAAAATCAAGCAATAACTGTGCCATTTAAATTAATGGGGCTGGAACTGTGTTATAGCCAATACAGGTAAGGAAAGTCATGTTCTACAAATAGCGGTCTAAATTCTTCAATCATGTTAAAGCCAATTCAGGTTGAAGAAACACGCTTTATATCAGAACTGACTGCATCCTTCCAGCCAGAACTGGACACAGTACTCCAGAAGTGGCCTCACCAATGTCCTGTGCAATCTCAACATAATGTCCCAACTCCTATACTCAAAGGTCTGAGCAAGGAAGTCAAGCATGCTGAATGCTGTCTTAATGAACCTTCTTACTTAACCTTCTTGATCTCGTCTGGTTTCACAATGGAGATTTTCCAAGTTCAGTGAAAGAGGTTTTTACACAATAGTGATATTACTCTGTGCCGTGAGTATATCTCACTGACAGAGGATGACACAACTTATGTAGAAATTCACTTCGTGGGATCAGCTTACAAAATCCAAAAGACAAAATATTGTTTCTAAGGTCTGCCTTCTATTTCACAGCCTGAAATTTCTCTCTCTCTGAAGGAATGTACTGATTTACAATAGAGGACAAAACCAAAAGGAAACAAATTAGCTATGTATTCAAGCTAGGTAGTAATTTGATTTAAATAAATTAAATTAACTATCTTTAACGACTCTGCCTGCTGAGATACAGTTCCAAGGATGCCAGCAATCGTTCTTTACTAAACTAGCCACGATGGTCTAGTAGAACATAGCATTGTCCAATGTAGCAGTGAGCTCTACCGACCCTGAAGGTCACTGTTCTATTGAGTCACCATTGGACACCAGTCATAATGTACATCAACTGGGCTCAATGGCCCTTGGCTGGAAAAGAGTGCCTGCTCCTAATATTACCCAGCACAACCACTCTACTAAAGAGAAATCTGGTGTGATAATGGTATGAAAACAGGATCCAATATGGCTCCAACACACTTTAGCCAAATGTTTGAATCCTAAGTTCATATATTAGAGTACATCGTTTTTTTAAATTCATTCATGACAAATGGGTATGGCTGACTGAATTTACAGCCCAGCCCCAACTGGCCCAGTGAAAGTTGTGAAGAGCCACCACCCTGAGCCACTGCAATCCATCAAAGAGCTAGTCCATCATAGACACACGGAGCTATTAGGAAGGGAGTTCAGGCTTCTTGACCCAGCGTCACTGAGGGAGGTATTCCCAAGTCAGGGTGGTGAGTGGCTTGGAGGGGAACTTGCAGGTGGTGGTGTTTCCATATATTTGCTGTTCTTGTCCTTCTAGATGATAGTTGTCAAGGGTTTAGAAGGTGCTGTCAAAGGAGCCTTGGTGATTTGCCACTTGAACTGGTGATGGAGGAAGTGAATGTTTAAGGTGCTAGATGTGGTGCCAAGCTTGTTGAGTGTTGCAAATAATGTCTGTCGAATGAAGTTGTTATTTATGAGCATCAACTTAACTCTAGATTCTAATGGTTAGGTTTACCAGCTGACGGGAGATTCTCTCTGAATTATGATCACGTGAATAAGAACCGTGCCGTTATGATTGAAATGCAAAGTGGCAGTAAACACTTACAGGCTTCCGTCGAAATGGAGAGAACATTTACTGGTACCCCGACCTACCAGCTAACCACCAATCTGCTGCACAGTGTGAAGGAACTGAGACAACTTGGTCTTCCATTCTCATCCACTGGAAGCTATCATTATCAGGTGAGTTTCAGAGTTATTGACTGCCATGTCTGTTCCTCCAGCTCCTGTGTAGTTATAAAAATGAATGTAAATAATGAGCTCTCCACTGCCTTCCTGTTACACCTCCCACTATTGTCAACTCTTCAGCTATTTAGCAGTTGAAGTTCTCACTTGCAATAAGACCCACAGTGGTTCAATTACCCTCTCCCTGGAGGTGCTGAGAGGGAGAAATAATGGGGTCAGGATTGCCAAATAGAGAAGCGCAATCCCTTCTCACCAACTATACACTTAAGTGTTGATGAGAAGGTCCGTGATTGACCTTCTCAACTTGCCAGTAATTAAGGCCCATAAGTGGTCAATTAATAAGGGGTAGGCGTTAGCCTAGTGGTATTATCGCTAGACTATTAATCCAGAAACTCAGCTAATGTTTTGGGAATCCAGGTTCACATCCCGTCACGCCTGATGGTGGAATTTGAATTCAATTTTTAAAAAATCTGGAAGTAAGATTCCACTGATCACCATGAAATCTTTGTCAATTGTCAGAAAAATCCATCTGGTTCACTAATCGCACCATGGCAGAAGGTGGAATTGGAATTCAAAAAGAAGTCTGGAATTAAGAATCTACTGATCACCATGAAATCATTGCCGATTGTCGGAAAAACCCATCTGGTTCACTAATGTCCTTCAGGGGAGGAAATCTGCCACCCTTACCTGGTCTGGCCTACATGTGACTCCAGACCCACAGCAATGTGGTTGACTCTTAATTGCCCTCTGAAATGGCCTAGCAAGCCACTCAGATGTACCAATCGCTACAAAGACTCAAAGAAATGAAACTGGACAGATCACCTGGCATCGACCTAGGCACCGGAATAGACAGCGGCAGAAACAGCCCTGTCAACCATGCAAAGTCCTCCTCACTAACATCTGAAAGTTAGTGCCAACTTTGGGAGAGCTGTCTCACAGACTAGTTAAGCAACATAGTCATACTCACAGAATCGCACTTAACAGGCAATGTCCCAGACACCACCATCGCCATCCCTGGATATGTCCTGTCCGACCGGCAGGACAGACCCAGCAAAGGGGGCGGCACAGTGATATACAGTCGGGGGGGTATTGCTCTGGGAGTCCTCAACATTGACTCCAGACCCCATGAAATTTCATGACTTCAGGTTAAACATGGGCAAGGAAACGTCCTGCTGATTACCACATACCGTCCTCCCTCAGCTGATGAATCAGTGTTCCTCCATGTTAAACAACACTTAGAGGAAGCACTGAGGATGGCAAGTGCACAAAATATACTCTGGGTGGGGGATTTCAATGTCCACCACCAAGAGTGGCTTCGCAGCAGTACCACTGATCGAGCTGGTTGTTTCCTAAAGGACATAGCTGCTGGACTGGGTCTGCAGCACATAGTGAGCGAACCAACAAGAGGGAAAAACATACTTGATCTCATCCTTACTAATATGCCAGCTGCAGCTGTATCTGTCCATGACAGTATCGGTAAGAGTGACCACTGCACAGTCCTTTTGAAGACAAAGTCCCAACTTCACGTTGAGAATAACCTCCATCATACTGTGTGGTACTATCACCTTGCTAAATGGGACTGACTTTGAACAGATCTAACAACTCAAGACTGGGCATCCAAGAGACGCTTTGGGCCAGCAACAGCAACAGAATTGTACTCCAGCACAATCTGTAACCTCATGGCCCGGCATATCTCCCACTCAACCATTACCATCAAGCCAGGGGATCAACCCTGGTTCAGTAGAGAGTGCAGGAGGGCATGCCAGAAGCAGCACCTGAAAATAACGTGTCAACTTGGTAAAGCTACCAAACAAGACTTCTTGCGTGCCAAACAGCAAAAGCAGCAAGTGATAGTCAGAACTAAGCGATCGCACAACCAATGGATCAGATCTAAACTCTGCAGTCATGTCCACATCCAGCACTGAATAGCGATGGACAATTTGACAACTCACTGGAGGAGGAGGCTCCACAAATATCCCCATCCTTAATGATGGAAGAGCCCAGCACATCAGTGCTAAAGATAGGGCTGCAGCATTTGCAGCAATCTTCAGCTAGAAGTGCTGAGTGGATGATCCATCTTGGCTTCCTCCAGTGGTCCGCAGCATTACAGTTACCAGTTTTCAGCCAGTTCGATTCACACCACATGATATGAAGAAACAGTTGGAGACGCTGGATACTGCAAAGGCTACGGGCCCTGAAAACATTCTGGAATAGTACTGAAGACTTGTGCTCCAGAATTTTCCACTCCCCTAACTAAGCTATTCCAGTACAGTTACAACACTGGTATCTACCCGACCATGTGGAAAATTGCCAAAGTATGTCCTGTATATAAAAACCAGGACAAATCCAACCCAGCCAATAACACCCCATCAGTCTCCTCTTGATCATCAGTAAAGTGATGGAAGGTGTCATCAACAGTGTTATCAAGCAGCATCTGCTCAGTGATGCCCAGTTTGGGTTCCACTAGGGCCACTCAGCTTCATACCTCATTACAGCCTTGGTTCAAACATGGACAAAAGAGCTGAATTCCAGAGGTGAGGTGAGAGTGACAGCCCTTGATATCAAGACTGCATTTCACCGATTGTAGCATCAAGGAGCCCAGCAAAACTGGAATCAATGGGTATCAGGGGGCAAACGCTCCAGTGGTTGGAGTCATACCTGACACATAGGAAGATGTGAGATAACAAGGTGTAGAGCTGAATGAAGACAGCAGGCCAAGCAGCATTATAGGAGCAGGAAAGCTGACGTTTTGGGCCCAGACCCTTCATCAGAAAAAAAAAGATGGTCGTATTGTTGGAGGTCAATCATCTCAGGTCCAGGACATCTCTGCAGGAGTTCCTCAGGGTAGGATCCTAGGCCTAATCATCCTCAGCTGCTTCATCAATGACCATCCCTCCATCATAAGGTCAGAAGTGGGGATGTTTGCTAATGATTGCACAATGTTCAGCACCATTCGTGACTCCTCAGATGCTGAAGCATCCATGTTCAAAAGCAACAAGATCTGGACAATATCGAGGCTTGGGCTGACAAGTGGCAAGTAACATTTGTGCCAGACAAATGCCAGGCTATGACCATCACCGCCCCTTGATATTCAATGGTGTTACTATCACTGAATCCCCCACTATCAGCATCCTGGTGGTTATCATTGACCAGAAACTCAACTGGACTCACCACATAAACACAATGGCTACAAGAGCAGGCCAGAAGCGAGAAATACTGCAGCGAGTACTCACCTCCTGACACCCCAAAGCCTGTCCACCATCTACAAGGCACAAATCAGGAATGTGATGGAATACTCCTCACTTGCCTGGATGAGTACAGCCCCAACAACACTCAAGAAACTTGACACCATCCAGGACAAAGCAGCCCACTCGATTGGCACTACATCCACAAGCATCCACTCCCTCCACCACCAACGCTCAGTAGCAGCAGTGTGTACTAGCTACAAGATGCACTGCAGAAATTCACCAAAGATCCTCAGACAGCACCTTCCAAGCCCACGAAAATTTCCATCTAGAAGGACAACGGCATCAGATATATGGGAACACAACCACCTCCAAGTTCCCCTCCAAACCACTCACCATCCTGACTTGGAAACATATCACCATTTCTTCTCTGTTGCTGGGTCAAAATCCTTGAATTCCCTCCCTCATGGCATTGTGAATAAACCCATAGCAGGTGGACTATAGCGGTTCAAGAAGGCAGCTCACCACCATCTTCTCAATGGCAACTAGGGATGGGCATTAAATGCTGGCCAGCCAGTGATGCCCAGATCCCACAAATGAATTACAAAAACCTGACAACCTCAGCTCACCACCTCCCTGACCAAGTGCCTTTCTAGTGGGAGGGCTAGGTGGCTAACTTCCTTATTTGGAAATAATGGCAACCTATATGTCAGGTGAGGGGGAGACTTTCCAATTGCCCTAAACTAGGACAATTGAAGGCACTTCTGGTGGGAAATTCAGTATCCTCTGAAAGTCAGTCCCTTCTACTTGCTTCCTACCCACTGAATCCTTCCCCAACCATAACCCTAATGCAAGAAGAATGTAAAAAAAAGACTTATCTTCCTGCCACTGGATCCCCTGAGGAGTGGGCCTCGACCCAGTGGAATTTCTGAAACGAGCCTCTGAAACAAAAATACTGAACACTGGAGAAACTCAGCAGGTCTGGTAGCATCTGTGGAGAGAGAAACAGAGTTAATGTTTTGGGTCCAGTGACCCATCTTGAGAACAGACCACTGGCCCTTCAGATTGGCTGGCAGTGTCAAAGCCTGTGTTTGGCAGAGATACTCGCTCTCGCCAGCCTGTTTTAATAAGCTGGTTTATGAGTGGCCGGAACAGTTATCTCGACATCTGGGGAAGTCATCACCTAACACATTCACCCCCTGACTTCGAAATAATATGGTAAATCCTGCCGTTTGTGTCTTCTCAGTCCTTCCTCTGCCTCAGTATTGGCAGCAGCTCTTTCAGTCACTAATTTGGGTATTTTAGATTTGACCATTGTGTACGTTCCTTTCATCTTACCCGCTCCATCTTGGTTTTTATGTCCCTGCTAAAGATCATCCTCTTAAACTGCGTCATTGATTCTCTACCTTCCTCTCGCCATTGCTACTCCTCTTTTTCTCATGATCGTTTCCTAAAGTCATCAAGTGTTCTCAGACACCTTCTGCACAGGAGGTGCATTAGACAAGTGTGAACTATCATCAACATCTCAGTCAAATATTGTCAGATGACTTTTTGGCGTTTACATTGGTGAAATGCAGCAAATTGTCAAAACTATTACATTTTAAGGGCCGATGAATATGTGCAGGCATATTACATCCCATAAATATGATTCCATAAGCCAATTCCATCCACATATTAAGTGTGAACACAAACTGGGTGTGAAATTTAGTGAATTTAGCAATTTATAGCAGGCAAAACAGTGAACAGACCCAGAAATTTGCACAGGAGGACCCCTCTACCTGGGCAACAGGGACTAGTGTGTGCCATTAAGGGATGGTAGGAAAGGAGCAAGATGGAAACACTGTCTGCCAGCAACTAATTTCCATCTTTACCTACAGTGTCTTTAATTCTGTATACCAGCCGTTACCTCTCAATATTACTTTTTTTATTTGGATACTTTCCACAAGACTTTTCAGAGGAAAGCAAGTCTTCAAAAACTCAGTCCACACCTGTAAATTTAAACCAGGCTGAGAATAATAAATTGATTTGGATAAATGCTCCATAGGCAGCAGTTAAAGAGGTTTCAATTGAACAAAGATCTTCATGCTGTTAGGAAGGTGTGGCTCCCTGAATGGCTATAAATCAAGTAAATAAATGTTACTCACTGTAGGTCAAGTGCAACAGCAGTGTCCAACAAAACAAATTCTGTCGGTACATATGGAAACCCCATTTATATATATATGCTGCTTAAAAGGGACCTTTGAGATTTGAACCTCTTCATTTGCAAACCATGTCAATATGTTTATTGGAAAACTGTCATCTCCCTCAAAAAACTTGGAAGCAAGTTATCCTGCCAGCAGGTAGCTATGTAAAAAGTAAAGCAGCAATATCACCGTTCCTTATTTATTTTTCAATCTCTGTTGATAACATACAGGCATATGAAATTAGAAGCAGGAGTAGGCCATTCAATCCCTCAAGCCTGCTCCACCATTTGATAAGATCATAGCTAATCTGATTTTGTCTTCATTTTTCTGTCCACCCATGGTTCCCTTTGACTAAATAAAGAATCCTGCCTCTTCTACTCTAAAGACCCTCTGAGAGAAAAAGATTTCTGCTCATTTCTGTCCAAAATGGGACAGCCCTTATTTTTGAACCATGTCACCTAGTTCTAGTTTCTCCCACAAGAGGAAGTATCCTTTCAACATCCACATTTCCAATTCTCACAGGTTCTTATATATTTAATGATATCATCTCTCATTCTTATAACCTCTAATGGATAAGAATCCAATCCTTTTTTGTATGATAAACCTTTAAATACAGGAATCAGCCAAGTGAACCTTATTGTCACTGTTTCTAAAGCAATAATATCATTTCTTAAATAAAGAAACGAAAAGCTGCAGGTGGCTGTTCAGGTGTGGTCTCACCAATGTCCTGTACAACTGCAGTAAAACATACCTATACTTATACTCCATGTCTCTTTCAATAAAACCGTTCCATTTGCCTTCCTAATTGCTTGCTGCTTCTGCATACTAACATTTGTGATTCTTGTACAAGGGCACCCAGATTGTTCTGTACCACCAAGTTCTGCAATCTCTCTCTGTTTAAATAGAATACTATTTTTCTATTTTTCCTGCCAAAATAGGCAACTTCACATTTTTCCACATTATACTCCATCTGCCAAATTTTGCCTTGTAACTTAAGCTTTCTAAGATCTCTTTGCAGACTCCTTATGCCCTCTTCATACATGATCCTTTCATCCAAGTTATTGACATAGATTGTAAATAGTTGAGGCCCCCAGCACTAATCCTGATGACACTTCACTAGTTACAGCTTGCTGTGTTGAAAAGTATCCCTTTGTGCCTAATCTCTGTTTCCTGTTGACTAACCAAATTCTCCAGACAGGCTAACATGTTGCTCCTTATACCATGAGATCTTATCGTATGAAGAAACTTCTGATATCGCACCTTGTCAAATGCCCTGTACCTCACATCTACAGGTATCTCTGTAGCTGTTTGTTACCTCCTCAAAGAATTCTCATAAACCAGTCAAACACAATTTCCCTTTCGCAAAGCAGTGTTGACTCTGCCTGATTATATTGAGCTTTTCTAAATGCCTTGCTATAACTTCCCTTTGACTGGTGTTATGTTAACTTGCCTGCAGCCTCCTGCTTTCTTTTTCTGTCCCTTTTTGAATAGAGAAGCTAGTTGGTTAAATTTCCACACTGATGGGACCTTTGCAGAATCTAGAGAAAAATTTGCAAAGTTAAAACCAATGCATCAATGATCTGAGCAGTTCGCTTTTTTCAAAACCCTGGTACAATGTCTATCAGAAACTGGGGACTTGTATTTATTGTGCTGCTGTACTATGATTCACTGGGGGTCAGTTTAGCTCAGTTGGCTGAATGGTTGGTTTACGAAGTAGTGTGATGCTGACAGCATGCGTCCAATTCCTATCAGCAGCTGAGTTTACCAGGAAGGACTCTCCTACTCAACCTCTCTCCTTGCCTGAGGTATGGTGGTCCTCAGGTTAAATCACACTAATTGTCTCTCTCAGGACTATGGCGACTCACACTATAATTCATTCAGGGAGTCTGGGTTTCTGCATTAATATGCACATTCACATGCATGGTGTAGTCTGAAGCTTTGGGTAGTGACGACAGAGGAACCAGGAATCTGTCCCTTGCTTATTGAGTGCCTCGGCATGTATGGAAGGATGAATGCACCTTGATATATTGTATGCCAGCCACAGGTCATAAGTAGGTGCCTGCACAATCTCAAATTCCCAACACAATTATTTAGAAAGGGATTATTGCAGTTATGAGCTATTGGGGAATAAATGTAGAATGTACAATTGAGGTGTCTGGTTTACTGTGAATATTTACTTAAGAGAATCAACCTAATATCCCATAAGGAGCTAGATTCCTGGTAGGCTATGTTTCATTTCCTAATTCCATCACTCTTGTCCCTCAAAATGCATGTTATGGAATCTTTTATTCTTTTGTGCATAATTGTATGTCTCATCCCCTGACAGAACCTCAGGAATGGATACATTGCTAATATCAGTGTGAGACTGGAGAAACAGCACCTCCAAGCAGAGATAGAACAGAAGAGCACTGCAAGAACGGGGGAGATTTTTCTGTTGTTTAACCACAACATAGAGGCATTGTCTAAGAGGATACCAGGAACCATTCAGGTAAGACAGTGAATGGCTCATTATTTTCTGAAGTACTGTATTTCCTTCAACCTTCAGTGTCAAAAATCCAAGTTCATAAATCCACCCATGCCCAAGGGTGTAATTAAATGTTAATGAAGAAAACTTTTCCTGATTACTAAATCTGCCTTCAAGAAACAAACAGCTGTTTGTTTTTCTATTCACAGCTCCTTAATTATTGCTTTGGTTCCTAATTTCCCATTACGTTGAAAAGTAATACGGAATTGATGCTATAAATGTAATTTGGCCTAATGCAGGATTCCCACCAGAACTATTTATTTTTTCTGGCCAATTTGTGGGTATATTTAGGAACTTAATGAGATATTTTAATTGGTATTTTTTAATAATAATGCCTTGAATCTTTCTGTGGCAATTTGTGTGTAATTTTAAATCGTTTCAGTCAGGTAAAGTTATGGGTTCAAAGAAATTGGATATCAGAAGGAGTGAACCTTTTCATTGCAGTTACTGTGATAGACTACAACCCTTAAAAAATGGTAGTACGTAGTAGTGGTGATGTATTACAGTTCACCTGGGGAGTCCCCATTGCTGTGACATTGAACACTCTTGCAGGCATGTTGTAGCTTGGAGCTAAAGTTTATAATGGTACAGGCTCCAACATTATTTCCATCACATAGTTGCTGTGACATGATATCATCACACAGCTGACTGGGAATCTCTCTCACTTTTACTCTCTGCCATTGCTGTGTGTTTTGAAGTGTGATCCTTGACCTGTTTGACCACATTATGAGCGTACATTTCTTGGTCATCAAGTCCTAGAGTGGGACACACAAATGAACCTCTGTCTTAGTGGTATGGATGCTACCCATTGCACCAGAAGGCCTCTAGAACAGGAATACATTGTCCACCAGCTTTGGGGCAGTACATCTCCATGTTCATGGTTTGTTGAAACATGGATGATGGGCATTGTTTGATTCAGGACTGCACTGAGGTTAAAGGGTTCTTGTGGCACAGTGGTAGTGTCCCTACCTATGGGCTAGGAAACCCAGGTTCAAGTCCCACCTACTCCAGAGGCGTATAATAATATCTCTAGGCTGAGTTTGGGCTCTTGTGGTGCAGCGGCAGTGTCTCTACATCTAGACCAGGAGCCCTGGGTTCCAGTCTCACTGCTCCAGAGGCATGTAAAAAAATCTCTCAACAGGTTGATTAGAAAATATCTGGGGTCGTTGGTTCAAATCCCAGTACTGGACAGGAGGCTGTATGTACAGGTTGCCCCTTTGGTCTCTAATAGGTCCCATTCCTTTTCCTGGTAATCCTCTTACCCTTAATATACTTACAAAATGCCTTAGTGTTTTCGTTGATCCTTTCTGCAAAGGATATGCCCCCCAGTGCATCCCACCCAGACCCATCCCCCTATAACCCACCTAATCTACACATCCCTGAACACTGCGGAAATTTAGCATGGTCAACCCATCTAGCCTGCACATCTTTGGACTGTGGGAGGGAACTGGAGCACCCGGAGGAAACCCACACAGACACGGGGAAAATGTGCAAACTCCACACAGACAGTCGCCCGAGGGTGGAATTGAATCCCTGTCCCTGGTGCTGTGAGGCAGCAGTGCTAACCTCTGAGCCACTGTGCCGCCCTATGCTTCCCTCTTTTTCACAAACTCTCAATATTCCGTGACACCCAGGGTTCCCTGGACCTGCCACCATTGCCCTTCACTCTTAGAGGAACACGGTGGTCCTGAATTCTCAATATAGTACTTTTAAAAGATTTCCCACTTTCTAAATGTAGACTTACTGCAAGTAGCTGCTCCCAGATCCTGTCTGATAACCTTGAAGTTAGCCTTCCCGCAATTTAGACACTTCATTTCTGCACTGTCCTTATCCCTTTCCATAATGACATTGAAACTTACAGAGTTATGGTCATTATCCTCAAAGTGTTCATCCACTGAAACTTCACCCACCTGACTGGCTTCATTCCTTAGGATTCTCTGGGGTGTTCCCAGGATTTTGGTAATGCATTTGAAAAAAACGTACTGTTGAATATGACCTTAATCAGATTACGGGGCAAAGGAACTGCTTTCGATTACTCATGAAGAAATCAACATTTTTCCCCTACTGTTGCTAAGCTGTTTATTTATTCTTCTTTGTGTGTCTTTGCAGGCAAACTGCAGTGGAGAGGCTTCTCAAAGGCTGCTTCTGGGACACTGTTCTGGAGCAGTGGCGGGCAAATCCTTTGAGGTACAGATTTCACTTACAAAGCAAGGCCACAGATATTGCTCGATTCTTGAGCTTAGGTACCGCAGGCAAGGCCTTAGTTTTGAAGGTTGCTTGAAATTGGTGCACAGGCAGGAGATAAGAGCAAGACTTGTTCATACTTCCAGATTATTGCAGTCTTTGGGTTTCCCAAGTGAGACACAAGTGATGACCTTTCACAAGAACAATGCAAGTAAGCACATGGGCAAATTTCACCTCGTAGTTGATGGACATACAATTATGGCTGACGGGGAATTGTCAATGCAGCCTTACTTTGGGTGGTACTGGTTAGCCTCCTATTTGAAACCAGGTCATCGGACCACTCACCATCTTGTGGAAGTTAAAGGGTTAGTGAGGCCAGGAGGTTGTGATATGACAGGTTCACTTAGAGCGTCATCCAAAAATGTTTTAATGACGATAAATGTTACTACACAATGCACAGATTCCTATGGTGCTGAAATCAAATGGGAGCACAAATCCAGGAGTGCGAGAGGCAAAAGGGAGAAGACTGTTTCCTTCCAGGCAGTTGGAGAGGCAGAGGGTAATCTTTACAGGGGTAGGTTTGCCCTGCAAAACAATGAGAATTACCTCAACACCAGTGGAAGACTTCTCACCTTCAAGAGCAAAGCCAAATTAACCTGGACGATGAACCAAAGGATGAGAAGATTGCAATCCCTCAGGATTCCTGGAAATATCCAAGCTGAGGGTTTGGCCTATTTCAGAAGTAATTCACTTGGAACAGCCGCAAATATCAAATTTGACGGGAAACCTGTTCGCTTGAAACTGAAAGCAGGTTGGGGAAGAAGAAAGAAATTGGATTTTTTCCTCCAACATGCCGTTCAGACTTGGACAAATATGGGGCTACCCGCCAGGAACAAGTTGATTGCAACAACTACATTTGGCAAAAACATGGACATCAGTCTGGAAGGTACTGCTGGGTTGTGCAGAGTTGCTGCAAGTGGGCAACTTGGCAGAGGCACCTTTACCAAGTGGAAGCTGGTGGTTGACAATCAATGCCCCTACTTTGAGGTAGAAGGAAACGTGTGCCCACATGGGTGCATTTGTTTCAGCAATTTAAATTCTTTTCCTTACTCCCCGTATAATTCTGGGCCTATGACTCAAAGCTGTGCTGAGCCAGTTCATTAATCTAGAACTAACAAGCTGAAACTGAGGCTGCTTCGTTTGAATACTGCAATTAAACATAAGATGTGCCAGTGACTTTCTGGTTATGTTATCATCTGGTTTTATTTGCTTGCAGAATAATAATGGATAATAATGCTTGGATAATAATGGTTACAGATTTCAAGTAATTATCAGTAGCGTTCTGACACTAATTGAGTTTCCGATCCATACAAGAATTGCATGTCAACAATTGATTTTCTGACCCTGCTAGTGTTAGTGTTTGTAACATTGGAATTAATCAAACCTACACTGCAGCCAGCTGTACTGTGATTCCCTTAAAAGATCAAAACATCAAACCTCTAAGAAACTATCATTTCAACGTTCTTCAACCAACTGCTGATTTATGGAGATTTTACAAACATTTTGCACATTCCCCTGATATCCCTTGCTGACTTCAGGAAGCATTGCATTTATTGAGCTGAAATATTTTAAAGTTTGACCATTTTATCGGTACCTATCTCTTATAGAGATAACTGGCAATCTTGGTTTGGATTTCTAATGTGATCTTAACGTGATTAGCCCTGCATTACCCCAACTTGTATAGAAGCCAGATTTCGACTGTTAAAATGCTGAGTCGCTGCCAAATGTACAAGTGAAAGTTTCTCAGCATCTGTTGGTGTAGATTTTCTGATTATAGAAAGTGCTACCACAACTTGATTTGATGCCAACTTTTAGCTTTGTACTGAGGTCACCCTGGAAACCATAGATTACCAACATAGCATATTACAAATGTGCTCATTAATGAACTGGTATATGCATGGGATAAGGGGTTTCTTTGTCTGTGCTTTTTGAAACCACTTTCCAACACTTGCATTAGTGCATGTATCAAGACTATTATTGGTGCAGTCAATACTAACAATTCTCCTGTTCCTTATCTGAACGCTGTTCCCACTGTTGGTCACATTTTTGAGTCTTCACAAAAGCATTGTGAGAATTTGAAGTTTGAAATTTCTCGTTTAGCCTCTGGCGGATTGGGATTGTGTCAGTTGTTAACATTATACACTAGCCCAACATGCCTCCATCCCGCTCACCTGTAGCTGTAATGGAGCTGGGATAAGTAGAGGCCATTTTGGCCCTCTTACAGAAAGTAGGCTGTCAATTTAAACATTTTAAAGCTAGCAGCTTTTCATTTATCTTGCTGTCCAAGTTTCACAGCAGACCTTCACAGAATCCCTACAGTGTGGAAACAGGTCATTCAGCCCTCCAAAGAGCACCCCACCGAGACCCACCATATTGCTGTAACCCTTCATTTTGTATGGCCAATCCAACTAACCTGCACCTCTATGGACTGTAGGAAGAAACCGGAGCACCCTGAGGAAACCCACGCAAACACGGGGAGAATATATATACAACCTCCACAGAGAGAGTCACCTGAGGGTGGAATTGAACCCGGGTCCCTGGCACTGTGAGGCAGCAGTGCTAACCTCTGAGCCACTGTGCTACTCCAAACTTGGCAAACTTGATAGCCCCAAAGGGAGTCAAGAACAAATTCAGAGAAAACATAAGTATTTTCACAGTACTAATTATGAGCCAAGGACAGCATCCAAGCTCAGACCGCTCACTCCTGCCCTGCACCCTGGGGCAGGGATCAACCCCTTCCACAAAGGCCAGGGTTTTTGTGAACTGCTCCAGAGTGGTCACAGTCCAACAGGAGGCAATGGCAAAGTGGGTAATGTAACTGGGCTAGTAATTAAGAGGCCCAAGCTAGTTCTGTGGGGATATGGTTCAAATCCCACCATAGCAGCTGATGAAATTTGGAAACAATTAAAGTAGTAACATTGGCCATGACCACCACGATCAATTGCTTTAAAATCCCATCTGGTTCACTCATGTCAAATAAGGGAAGGAAATCTGCCATCTTTACCCTGTCCGGGCTATATGTGACTCCAGACTCTCAAAAATGTGGTTGACTTTTAACTGCCCTCTGAATTGACCTAGCAAGCCCCTCAGTTCAAGGGTAATTAGGACAGGTCAACAAATACTAGATTCACTAGAGATGTTGGCATCCCATGAAAGAATAAAGTAAAGTCTGAAATCCAAGCCTGTCACTTAGGCTGACTCTGGGTTTCTGCTAAGACCAAAAATAACCAATCATTTTGGAGTCCAAAGTCCACAGCTTGCAGGGAACCCTGACTTTTTCATCCAAAACCCTACCCCCAGCCTTCGTTATCAATCCCTGGCAGTATCAAGACCTCTGATGTCATCCACTCAAGAATGAATGTTATCAGAAGTGCTGCCACAATACATTAAGACGTATATCAGTCAGGGCCATTTCTCTTGGGAAAGTGTGTGGATAAGGTTGCTAGTTCAGTAAATTATGATTTCAGTATCGAACATAATTACTGTACTCACTTCCAACATTATGATGTTTTTCAAGTGTTAAGTTTCCTGTTCCTTTTAAGAATTGCACTTTATGCAGTTTTATAAAATGTGCAATGATTTGAATCATGGATCTTAATTTTAAAAGTGTCTCTATTATTAATAAAAAGTTTTAAAATTACTTTATCTCATATTCCAGAGTGCACTGCCGGCAAGTTTCTCACTAAATGGGACACTGAGGACAGACGGGTGTGAAGCAGACTTTACCGGCCACCTTCAGATGGACAATAAGTTTGCGCAGCTTGAATGGCAGACTATATGGAGCCCAATTCCCAGCATAGACATTGGTTTCAGGCACTCTATTCCTTCCATACTGACTGTGGGCATCCCAAAGGACAACAGACTGCTGATCCGAACAGGCAAAGGGACGAGACATGAGGCCTCTGTTGAGTTTACCATTGGCGGATGCAGCTTAAGAGCTGTCGGCGATGTCGAAGCCTCCGGCAACAGAAAAGAAGGGAGTGGAGCTTCATGGTCAGCGTCTCTCCTGAACAGATGCCTTATCCTCGAGGTATGAGTAAAAGTTCACTCGGTGTGACCCAATTGCCAGGGTTTGGTGCCCATCTTATAGTCTGAATGATTGCCCCAACTTAGGAGGTGAAAATATTTGAAGTGGACTATAGTACCTTAGCTTCTTAACAAAAACAGAGCTCTTTTCAAAATTAACTCCTGGATCATTGGATTTGGAAATCAGATGGGATCTGGTGGTCCCTGTGGAGGTGAACATGGAGCTGCCTCCAGTGGAATGATGTTTTGGAGGGAATGGCCCATTGTTGACTTTCTGACAAGCTACAGCTAAGGATTTAAGACCTTGGTCCTTTGTGACTGGGATTAACCTGGCTGCACACCATGAAATGTCCCCAGCCAGTAAACCAGTACAGCCAGGCACCTTGGAGAAGGGGTGGACCCTCAACTGAACACGTTCAGTGTCTGACCAGGAGCCTAGAGATAGGCCAGGAGGGGTATCTGCTGAAAACAACTCCCTTACCTCTGACTGCCCCGCCCCTCTTCCTGCAACCCCAGAAGGCACCAGCCAATTGCCTAACAAACCTCTTGCCTTACACCTGGATTGATTATCCATGATCCAAGTGGCCAGGTTTGGGATCTAGCAGCTCTCACTGGGCAACTTCTGATCCTGCATTCTAACTCAATGCCTGATAAGTATTAGGGTCAGTGGGCCTCACCTTAAGAAGTCAGTCCAAGCTCTAGACCCAATAAACAAAGCCCCATCTTCCTCAACAGCCCCTTACCCCTAGTTAAAACTAAATATTGTTTGCAGAAACATTCCCTTTGTCATGTTGATAGGGCACGGCCAAGATTCATTCGCTTGATTTCTCTCTCCAAAGATGCTGCCAGAACTGCTGAGTAGTTCCAGTTTTTCACTTTCTACTCCATTTGTCATTTTTTAGACCATGCCTATGAATTGTAGTCAAAAATAAATGTGTTTGTTGATCCTAAGAAGGGATTTGTTGAAGGGATTTGATAGAGTAAGTAAGGAGAAATGGCTTCTATTGACAAAAGAATACAATAACCAGAGGACATTGGGTTAAGGTGACTAGCACATTTAAAACAGAGGTAACATGAGGTTATATTTCTTTTCACAGCCAATTGTCTTGTCATGATCAAAAATGCACTCTCTGAAGGGTTGATGGAAGCAGATTCAATAGTGACTTTCAAAAGAGAATTGGATAAATACTCAACAGGGAGAAAAATTACAAGGACTAGGGCAAAGAACAGGCGAGTTTTCCAGAAGAGAGTTGAATGATCTCTATAAGGAGTTAGATATAGTTCTTAGGGCTAAAGGGATCAAAACATATGGGGAGAAAGTGGAACAGAGGTCTGAGTTGGATGATTAGCCACGATCATGTTGAATGGCATAGCCTAGTCAGAAGGCTGAATGGCCTATTCCTGCTGCTATTTACTGTGTTTCAATGAGTGTGGTAAATGGCATCGCTCATCCAAAGTTCTAGCATGGGATTGGTGGGATGAATGACCATTCTCCTGTGCTGCATCATTCAATGTTCCTGTGTTAGAAAAGCTTGTAATATTTACACATAACTTACTGATCCTTAAGAACAGTTTCAGTGAGTAACAAAATCAAACTGGGAAACCCAGAAGGTGCTCCACCTAGGGTCATATAGCACACTGGAGGCCCTTCATTCATCAGGTCTGTACCAATCTATCTACACAAATCCCACTTGGCCCGTAGCCTTGAATCTAATACCCTAACTCTCTAAGTCTGATGTAATCCTTTGCCATTCACATTGGTGAATGAATTGTAAATCATAGATGTAGTTGCTTCGTAAATAAGCTTCTAAAGAAGCTGTGACATGCCGCAATTAGCAGTCTTTGCCCTATCTTTGTTTCTCTGATTTTTTTTAAGCTGTTTGGAAGGACTGTTAAAGAACCCAGTTTTACTCGGTCATGCATGAAGCTCAAGCTGGGCTGAGTTCTGTGAGAGACCAAGAAAGCTATTGCTTTTCACAGAAACCAGCTACAAATGTTTTGGTCACTGTCACTATTGAGAGATTGCAGCTGCTTTTGTTGGTGCCAGTGAAGTGTTTGCACAAGCAACTATTGAAGTATTTCATGGTATCAACTGCTGTGGCCATGCACATGGGGACTGGAGGTTTGCTCAACATGCAGAGAGTTTTGAAAGTTAGTTCTTAATTATTTACACAAAGCCTATTTATTCTGCTGTTTCAGGCACATGTTGACAGGCAACAGAATCTTGATTGTAGTAATATTAGAAACTAGTGGAGGCCATTTAGCCTCTCCAGTCTGTTCATGTTGGCCTTCATAGCAAGACGATTTGAGCACAAGAACAAAATATCTTGCTGTTATTATACAGGATCCACCTGGAGTATTGTCCTCCTTATCTGAGGAAGGATGTTCTTGTTGTAGAGAGAGTACAGTGAAGGCTTACCAAATTGATCCCTGGGATAACAGGACTGACATAGGAGGAGAGATTGAGTCAGTTAGGGTGATATCCACTCGAATTTTGAAGAATGAGGTAGGGATCGCAACAAAACCTATAAACTTATACCAGGACTAGACAGGTTAGGTGCAGGAAGGATGTTCCCAATAGTGGGGGAGTCCAGAACCAGAGGTGGTAGTTTAAGGATAAGGGGTAAACCATTTAGGACGGAGATGAGCAGAAATTTGTTCGCTAAGAGAATGGTGAGCCTGTCAAATTCATTGCCTCAGAAAGTGGTTGAGGCCAAAACATTATGGTGTTTTTAAGAAGGAGGTAGATATAGCTCTTGTGGCTAAAGGGAATCCAAGGATATAGGGGAGGGGTTGATTAGGACATAGAGCATGTTAAATGGCGGAGCAAGGGTGAGGGGTCCTGTTTCTATCTTCTGTGTTCCTACTATTTAGTTAGATAGTGATTGATTTGCACCTCAAATCCGTTTACCTGCGCTTGCTGTATACTCTCTCAAACACCAACCTAACAAAAATCTGTCTCAGTTTTGAAAACTCAAATGGTCGAGATATCTACAGTCATTTGAGAGAGAATGTTTCAGATCTCTGCTTAGTTATATCTGCTAACTGAAGTTAAAATTATTATCCCCTTGTTTTTAAGTCACTGACCAGAGGATGTACAGTGAAAAACCAGTAATATTGGGAAATGATTGTACTGGTCATACTGGTCCTTCATTTTGAAGTATACGAGATGAGTTTGACCTAGGTGTCTGTCTGTCAATTTTATTGACTTCTCTCAGATCCTCTACAGTGACCTTTTCAAATCCTGGTAACATTTTAAACCCTTGATTAAATCAACCTTGTGCACCTCAAGACAATGCATGCTAAGTTTACAAAAACAGCCCTTATAACTAAGCCACGGTCATTTTAAGGTGATTTTGATCTGCAGCCTCTCTAACACCCATGAATCCTTCCTGAACTGAAGGCCATATTTCAGATAGAACCTGACTGGAGCTCTGTTTGTCACCTGCTCAGTTTATGAGTCTATGCTGCATCTCACTTCCTGCTCGTGTCGGCGTGACTTATTGTCTCTTCTAACTGTCTTTACCTTCATCACAAATATTCTGGATAAGCTGACGAACATCAGGGAGCTGGAACATCTGCACCATGTGGCTTCCTTCATCTCTGAGTTGTTGATAGAAGGTAGCCTTGTTAGTGACTAGCAACTTTAGAAAATATACACATATATATTTCCTTAATCAACCTGTTCAGAGATGTTATTGCACACCTCTGGAGCAGGTGGAACTTGAACCCAGGCCTCCTGGTTCAGAGGTAGAGTCATTACCACTATGCATTAGAGTTTTTCTGGGATATGCATTAGATACAGGATAGAATATAGAGGACACCTCGGAAACCCTACACACTCTCTCAGGTCCTAGTTCTATGTGATCGCACGTCATCATGGCATGACTGCTTCTGCACATGCTCAGTAACCATTGGTAAAGTAACAGTATAACTAACTCTATAGCCCACAGCCCCCACCTGCCCCAACACTTAAGGACCTAGTCCTCACCTGCTCCAAATCTTAAGGACCTAGCCTCTAACTGCTCAAATAGAATTCAGGGTTCCATGTCGTAGCCTAGATCTCCCTCCAAGTCTATCCTGTTGGAAGGCAAGTAGTAGTCTCGTATAGTCCTCAGACCTGGACCAGATTCCTGTCAGTCCAAGAGTTTAGAAACCCTGAAGAGAGCAGCACAATCCCGAGCATCACTTTTGTCTCGGTTTGGCAAAAGGCTCCACTTCCATTCAGGGTCCACAGGAAACTCCTGATCCAAATCTGGACGCATCAGATGGACGTGGTGGTTACAATTCTGTGAAGTTACAACAGGAGGCTTTCAAAATGGTCAAGCTGTTAGGTCCCCAAAGGTTAGTTGGAGCTGTGAGCAACATTTTTTTCTCCCAAATATAAAACCGGTTACAAAAACATAATGAGCAAAGTTAAATGCATGAATAAATGGACCATTTAGTATAGATGTTGTGCTGTGGTTACATGCGTACCTGAATGCAGATTTGAATTTATTTTCCCTCAGAGAGTGGGAATCCCGCAAAATCTGGAGACAAGTGGCTCCTTGAACGTCGACAGCTGCAACGTTGCATTCAGAACAAATGTGCTGAATGATGGTGAGACAGCAGAATTGCATCTGGAGACATCCTGTGATCCCAAGTACACGGTGAACGGCATGTTCAAGCACAGTGTCCCTCGGCTGAGTAAACAGGGTGTCCCCAGAGAAAGCCGAATCCTGCTGATGGCTGCAAAGGGAGCAAACGTGGAAGGCTCCATCCTGCTGCAGTCTGGGAACTGCAAAATCCGGGCCGATGGTAATTTAAACTCCGGACCGAAAGCAGAGTGGACATGGATGACAGAAACAGATTGCCAGATATTACAGGTAAAATGGAGTTACAATTAACTCATAAAATTCTCACGTAAAGCAATGGTTTTCAGAATGCTAAAACTCCATCACAGTAAGTTTCTGTGGGTAGACTTATTTAGTCATAGAATCCTTACAATGTGGAAAGAGGCCATTCAGTCCGTCAAGTCTGGGCCAAATGCAGGCAAATGGGACGAGTTCAGTTTAGGAAACCTGGTTGGCATGGACGCGTTTGGCTGAAGGGCCTGTTTCTATGCTGTATTATACTATGAATCTCTGGACAGTAGTTTTGTAAGGAATTGATCCAAATTTAAACTTATGTCTCATAGGGTGTCTCCTCTGACAACTCATAGCCTTCTCATTCTGGAGATTGGTTCTAAGAAACTGTGGACTTCTCTTCAGCTCTGCTTTGACTGGACACTTTCACTAACAGCATCTCTGCTGTTATGGGCCTCATCTCTCTGAATGAACCTCTTTCTGGTTCCCTTCTCTCTGGGTCGTAAAACTCAAGTCATCAAATACGTTAGTAATTTTCCCAGGTAGCTTGCTAGTCATTTAGCTAAAGTCACATGATTACTTGGAAATGATCATTTTAGCTCACTGTTCAAACTGTCTTTCTAACCTTTTGGAAGAAAACAAGTCTGACCTATTGAGAACTGAAAACAAAAATCAATTTCTCCTTCACTGTAGAACCTAAGTTCCTTAATAATAATAATATATTGTGAGATAGTAAGAACTGCCGATGCTGGAGTCTGAGATAGCACAGTGTGGAGCTGGAGGAACACAGCAGGCCAGGCAGCATCAGAGGAGAAGGAAAGCTGACGTTTCAGGTCAGGACCCTTTTTCAGAAAAAAAAACTTGAAGAAGGGTCCCGACCCGAAACATCACCGTTCCTGCTCCTCTGATGCTGCCTGGCCTGCTGTGTTCCTCCAGCTCCACACTATTATAGTATATTGTGAGCCTTCTTTACAACAGTGTTGAAATCAATTTCACAAAGTGTTCTTTACTGTGATCCTCCAACCGATATTTTTATTTAGAGTCCTAGAGATGTCCAGCATGGAAACAGACCCTTCATTCCATCTCATCCATGCTGACCGGATTTCCTAAAGTAATCTAGTCCTATGTGCCAGCATTTGGCCCATATCTCTCTAAACCCTTTCATTTCATGTACCCATCCAGATAACTGTTAAATGTTGTAATTGTAGCAGCCTCCGCCACTTCCTCTGCAGCTCATTCCATGCGCGCACCATCCTCTGCGTGAAAATATTGCCCCTCAGGTCCATTTTAAATCTTTCCCCTCTCACCTTAAACCTATGCCCTCTAGTTTTTGGACTCCCCTACACTGGAGAAAGACTTTGGCTTTTCACCCTACCTATGCCCCTCATGATTTTGTAAATGTCTATAAGGTCACCCCTCTGCCACCGATGCTCCAGGGAAAATAGCCCCAGCCTATTCAGCCTTTCCCTATAGCTCAAACCATCCAACCCTGGCAACATCCTTGGAAATCTTTTCTGAATCCTTTCAAATTTCACAACATCTTTCCTATAGCTGGGAAATCAGAATTGAATACAGTTAAATATTACGGACGAATAGCAACTTTGTAAGGTATTGATCCAAATTGTTTCTTTCATTTCAGAATTTTAAGATTCCAGCTCAGTCACATTGTAATGGATCCATATACATCGAAAGTTGTAAAGCAGAATTTCTAACCAGTATCCAGTTGGAAGACCACACTGCTGTCCTGGAGATAAATTCAGAATGTGATCCTAAAGTTAATATAGAGGTCATATTTCAACACAAACTTCCAATGCTAAAGGGGATTCCAGCAAACAACAAACTCTTATTTACAGCAGAAAAAAACCAAAAATCTGAGTTTGAATTAGATTTATTGATGGGCACTTGTAATCTTCTGGCAAATGGAGCTCTTCAAATGAAAAATAAAACTGAGTTAAACTTTTTGATAAACAACAAATGTAAGAAGCTGCAGGTACGTTTAGATGATTGTTATCTTATTGTTTTAGGTTTCAGAGAAATATTTATGGATGCCTCAATGCATTTGTCATGATACTACACATCATTGGTAAACAATTCTGACAGTACCGGTGGGATGAGATATTGCAGATATAGCTGAAATATTGTACCTGCATGACTGATAAAGATGCTAAGAGATGTGGTTGGCTATTAATTGTGCTATGAAATGGCCAAGCAAACTAATCAGTTGTATCAAATTGGTACAGAAATGTCCAATAGCAACAAATCTCAATACACCAACTGGCATCTACCACAGCATCAAAAATCACAAAACCAGCCCTTTCAATCCTGCAATGTCCCACTGTCTAACAACAGGGGCTTGCGCCATAATTGGGAGTGCTGTCCCACAGCCTAGTCAAGCAATTTCTTGACAGCTTAATAAGAACCAAACCTCGTTTTTCAAGGACCGTAACTTCCCCCCCTCAGTGGTCGAGAACGCCCTCAACCGTGACTCCCACATTTCCCGCAACTCATCCCTCACACCCCGTCCACGCAATGAGAACCAAAAAAGAATCCCCCTCGTCCTCACGTACCACCCCGCCAACCTCCGGATCCAACGCATCATCCTCCGACACTTCCGCCATCTGCAATCCGACCCCACCACCAAAGACATCTTTCCCTCCCCACCCTTATCTGCTTTCCGGAGGGACCACTCTCTCCGTGACTCCCTTGTCCGCTCCACACTCCCCTCCAGCCCCACCACACCCGGCACTTTTCCCTGCAACCGCAAGAAGTGCTACACCTGCCCCCATACTTCCTCCCTCAACCCCATCCCAGGCCCCAAGAAGACTTTCTACATCAAGCAGATGTTCACCTGCACATCTGCCAATGTGGTATACTGCATCCGCTGTACCCGGTGTGGCTTCCTCTACATCGGGGAAACCAAGCGGAGGCTCGGGGACTGCTTTGCAGAACACCTACGCTCGGTTCTCAATAAACAACTGCACCTCCCAGCCGCGAACCATTTCAACTCCCCCTCCCATTCCTCAGACGACATGTCCATCCTGGGCCTCCTGCAGTGCCACAACGATGCCACCCGAGAGTTGCTGTTCGTGCAACCTATATTCCGCTTGGGAACCCTGCAGCCCAATGGTATCAATGTGGATTTCACAAGCTTCAAAATCTCCCCTCCCCCTACCGCATCCCAAAACCAGTCCAGCTCGTCCCCGCCTCCCTAACCTGTTCTTCCTCCCACCTATCCCCTCCTCCCACCTCAAGCCGCACCCCCATCTCCTACCTACTAACCTCATCCCGCCCCCTTGATCTGTCCGTCCTCCCTGGACTGACCTATCCCCTCCCTAACTCCCCACCTACACTCACCTTTACTGGCTCCATCCCTGCTTCTTCGACCTGTTTGTTTCCTCTCCACCTATCCTCTCCTCTATCCATCTTCTATCCGCCTCCCCCTCTCTCCCTATTTATTTCAGAACCCCCTTCCCCTCCCCCATTTCTGAAGAAGGGTCTAGACCCGAAACGTCAGCCTTTCTGCTCCTATGATGCTGCTTAGCCTGCTGTGTTCATCCAGCTCTGCACATTGTTATCTCTGCAGGAGTTCCTTCGGCTAGTGTCCTAAGCGCAATCGTCTTCAGCTGCTTCCCCAGTGATCTTGCCTCCATTATAAGGTCAGAAGCAGGGATGTTCACTGATGATTGTCCAATGTTCAGCACCATTGTGAGTTGTCAGAAGTTGAAGCAGTCCATGTCCATATACTGCAAGACCTAGATAATGTCTAGGCTTTGATAAGTAACGTATGTGCTGCACGAGCACTAGGTTGTTATCAGATCCAACAAGGTAGCTGAGCTGTCTTCCCTCGACATTCAATGGCATTACCATCCCTGCATCTCACAATGTCAAAATCCTGGGGGATACCATTGACCAGAAATAAACTGTACAACGTTTACCACAAAGGTTTGATGTCAATATCTCATTGCTAACCATGAATAATGTCACAGAGCAGCATCTATCCATATCGTAACGTACAAGGAGCAATATTGTAACTATTTCTGACTACTTACATCCACACTACATAACCAGATCTGTGCTCCCCGTCAATTAGTCTGTGCATCCATCGTCATCTTCTGGAAATTAAACTGTGCCGGCCATATAAATGCTATGCTACAAGAGCAGGTCAGAAGCTAGGAATGCTGCAGCAAGTAACTCACCTCCTGATTCCCCAAAGCCTGTCCACATCTACAAGGCACAAGTCAGGAGTGGGATGGGAATACTCCCCCTTGCCTGGATGGATACAGCTCCAATAACACTCAAGAAGCTTGACACCATCCAGGACAAAGCAGCCCGCTTGATTGGCACCACATCCACAAACGTTCACTCCTTCCATGACTGACACTCAGGAGCAGTAGTGTGTACTATCTACAAGGTGCACTGCAAAAATAATACCGAGGCTTCTCAAGCAGTTCCTTCCAAACTAACAACCGTTTCCATCCAGCAAGTACATGGGAACACTACCACCTGCAAGTTCCCCTTAAGCCACACTCCATTCAGTCTTGAACTATGTCTCCTGAACCTCCCCCTTAACTGCACTGTGGGTGCTCTTACAGCCTATGTGCAAGACGTTGACTCATCACCACTTTTCCTGGGTAATTAACGATGTGCGATAAATGCTGGCCTATCCAGTGATATAAACATAACTTTATTCTATAAACAGAACTAAGCTTTAAAATCTTGCATTTCTGATTGCAGATCAATGTCATCATTAAACTATCTTTTTTGATGTACCATATAATGATGGTGGTAAAGGTTGTCCTGTGAGGTCAAAGAATTTGGTGGATGCACAGACTCATTGATGGCGAGCACAGAGCTGATTATGTAGCTTCAATCTAGATGCATAGAGTCAGAAACAGGCTATTGGTAGTCATTTGTTGGACAGTTGCTGCTCTGGGACATTGTTCATGGGCGACAAAAAGAGGTTAACATTAAACCATTTTAAAAGTGACAAATTCTCTACAAGTCATGGCTCTCCTTCAACAAGAGCTGATTAAGGGGAGACAATGGCCAAGTGGTATTATCACTGGACTGTTAGTCCAGAGACCCAGGTAACATTCTGGGGACTGAAGTTTGAATCCCGCCACAGCAGATATTGAATTCAATAAAAAAAATCTGGAATTAAGAGTCTAATGATGACAATGAACGCATTTGTTGATTGTCAGAAAAACCCATCTGGTGTACCAATTTCCTTTAGGGAAGGAAACTGCCATCCTTATCTGGTCTGGCCTACATGTGACTCCAGACCCACAGCAATGTGGTTGACTCTGAACTGCCCTCTGGGCAATTAGAGATGGGCAATAAATGCTGCCTAGGCAGCGATGCCCTCATCCCGTGAATGAATAAAGAATAAAGGATTCTTCCAGCCACGGTAGGCCAGCTGAATGTGAAGATGGGATGAACAGCACACGTGTGAAATTGGAATGGTGCTAGATCGCAGCCCTGCTTCGCTCTTCTCAACAAGATCTGGCACTTCATTCTGCCATGGAGCAGCTGTATGATCCTGGCTAACTGCCAGTCCAGGATTGTTCAGAGAACAGCGACCGTGTCAAAGGCCCTTGAAAAGTCAATGACTGCTGAACCGCAGAATTATTATAGAGCAGACGGAGTTCATATGGCCCATTGTATCTGCACCAGCTCTCCAAATGACTTACTGCTAACCCCCTGCTCTTTCCCCATAACCCTGCATGCTATTTCTTTTCAAACCATCATCTAATGCCCTCTTACAGTGATTGACTCTGCCTCCTCCATACTACCAGGCAGTGCATTCTGGACCTGAACCACCTGCAGTGGGACAGATTTTTGTCATATCACCTTTATGAAAATGAAGTTCTGCTTGAGGCATTATTCCTGAATTTGTCTCATTGTGGATAGCATGTCTGCAACGCTGAGACCTGCATGAAGGTCACACTGAGTGCTATGTAGATTCATTTCTGACACGACATGTCTCAGCAGTGATTTTATTTTTCTCTGTGAGTTAACCAATTTGTAAATGATAAGAAACTTGTGTTGAATGTAAGATGTACTGTGGTCCACTATTGTCAATTTAGTGGCACTGCCAAGATCTATTTCACTTTTTGAGCTTTTAGTAAACAGCTCTTTTAGTTCAAAGATGTTATTGTTCTTTTTTATAAAAGTAATTATTTAATTTACTCCACTACAGGATCTAGGAGTACCGCTGAAAATTGGTGGATCAGGTTATATTGTGATAAATGGAGTTAACTTTGATTCACAACTACAGATCAACATTGATCAGACTAAACTAGAAGGTTTGCTCACTCTGAAAGCTGGTGCTGTAAGTACTTTGGATTTCCCTTGTTGACACCCAATTTATTTAAACCACAATGGAATGGATACAAGAGACAAAAAAAACCACACATAACTGGTCAGGATAGTGGGAATTTACAGGTTATGCGTTATATTGCACATTAAGTAAAAGATAGTAAATTTCCAAATGATAGTTGCACAGAGCCAAGTAAAACATGCTGATTTGAGAATTTATATCCACTCGACATGTTAAGGCTTAACTCCTTGAACTTCTACAGAGTCAACAGAGAGTACCAAAGTCTGCAATTATCAATTGTAATTTTGACACTTTTGTTTTAAGAATAAGCACGAGATTAATGCCTCATTGTTTCACACCATTGATGGTGCCTCACGGCTTGGAATTCCAGGAAACACAGTTGTCGCTTTAACAGCTGAGAAAGAGGGTGATACGTATAGGCGGTCCATCCGATTTATTGTCGATGGCAAGCAGGTAAATTAGAAAGATACTGCAAACTCTTGCTTGGAACTGGAGTTGGATAGATAAAAAGATTAGAGCAGGAAAACCAGATTTACACATCTGTAAAACCATCGCCATCTCCATTCCAAATCTTGTCTATTTAAGAACAAAATATAATTTCATGTTATTTTACTTCATTGTAATATCTCATTAGAACGCTGGGTAATTATGGTGACATTACCACAACGTCACTGAGCAATTGCACTGGGGATATGGGTTCAAATTCTAAAATGCTATCTGGTGGAATATAAGTTAGTTATATTAAATCAGGCATTGAAATCCAATCTCAGTGATGATGACCATGAGAGTAATCAGTGATTATTGAAAAAGCCCATCTGATTCACTAATGTCCTCATGGGAAGGAAATCTGCCACCCTTACCAGGTCTGGCCTACATAGGACTCCAGACCCAGAGCAACGTAGCTAACTCTGGACTGGCCTCAATGGTCTAACAAGCCATTCATTTAATGGGCGATTATTGAATTATTATATAATTACTTAGTTCGTGGGTAATAATTACTAGCCTTGCCAGTGATGCCCATGTCCTATAAAAGATTGATTTTAAAAAAAAGTCAGTGAATTTCTGTTTATTGGATTGTCAGCATTCTATTGTGTATTTTTTAAGAGGTATGGTTGAAGTATTTTTTTAATTTCAATTACGTTTTTAAACTATGCAATGATTCATATAGCACCATAATTTCATCCAGTATATTTCTTCTTCATTAATTTGGTGCATTGGTTGGAGCATAAGTTAAATGATCTCTTCAAATATAATTTTAAAAAATAGTTCAAGAGACCATAAGCAACAACTTGCAACAAAGTAAATTTAGAACATGCTTTAGGAACAGTTGATTTACTCATGGAGTGATTAATGCTTAAAATAATCCATGTAGGAAGATAGCAGAGGCAGTATTCTTGAGGAACATTCAGAACGCAGTTAAGTGTCATGATTTGAAGAGTTATGTTTTAGAAGAACAAGCTCAGCTCTGCCAAATGGTAATTTTTCTCCGTCCCCCCATCACTCTGCAAATGGATCACATGATCAGTCACAGATCTCCTAATATCTCCCACCATCCCTCCTCACCAAATTGACCCAGGTCCTGTACCTCAATCCAATTATCATTATAAACGTTTACATGTAAATGGTTGCTTTACCATAGAGAAACATTCCAAATGCTTCACACTTTGTGGCAGAGGCAAGGAATTACAGGACATCACTGAAGGACTGGAGGAAACTGTGAATTTTGCAGCAGGTTCCTGAGGATAGGTTAGAATGAAGTAAGACACAGCAACCTTAGTGACAGAGTACTCAAATGGAAACAAGATGATTGAAGGCTTTACCAACAGTGGTGTAGAGCAGGGAGCAGAGAAAGTAGCATAGACAAGACTAGTAGACCCTTAGAACTAGAGGACACAATTTAAAAATAAGGCATCTTCCACTTAAATTGGAGATGAGAATGCTTTTTTTTTGCTGTTAGAGTGTCTGTGGAACTCTCTTCCCCAGTAAGGTGGAGGTAGGGTCATTGAATATTTTTAAGGCAGAGTTAGACGGTCAGCTGACAAGGCGGGAAGCAAGAATGTGGAGTTGGTGTCACAAGAAGATCAGCTATGGTCCTACTCCTGCTCCTAGTTTGTATATGAGCAAGGGTGAAGACCTGACAAAGATTAAAGATAGGCATATGGCTGTAGAGGAATTTCTAGGCAGCAACGTGGATTTTGAAGTTAACAGGCCAAGGGAGACTTGCAAGGATTGGGCTGATGGGATTCTGTGGGATCTGTTTTCTGTGGGATTTGTCAAGTAAACGAAGATAGTAGAATGCATTGAAGGATCTTGTACTTTTAAATTTCTGTGCCAGGAAACATGTGACCTATTTGATAATGATTGACAATTGTGGCATTGTTTCAGACACAATTGTTGGCAGCAGGACATTAATAAAGCAGAAGGAAACTTCAGAAATTGGCACACATAATGAATCAGGAGGACTCTCTCCGGCCTGCTCTGTTCTTCTATGAGATCATGGCTGATCTGTGACCTCCTGTAATTCTATCTATTTATGGCATTTGTACCATATTCTTGCAATGTGTAACTGGTCCCTCTCACTTCCAAGCATAAATCATCAATCAAATTGTATAAAGAGCTGTAACATACATAACACAGCTGCAGTACTGTGAAGTGTTTTAGTCTCCTTCAATATACACTGGAATTGGAGTCAGTCCACAGAATCATACAGTACAGAAGAGGCCCTTTGGCCTATCATGTCTATAGTGCCAAAAATATACTACCTACACTCAGCCCACTTCCCCACTCATAACCCCTTGAGTATCATGACACTTCAAGTGATCATCCAAGTATTTCTAAAGTTTGTGAGATTTCCTGTCTCAACTATCATCCTGGGCAGTACATTCCAGACCCCCACCACGCCAGGGGAAAACGCTTTTCCTAAAATCCCCTCTAAACACTTCTGCCTTTCACTTTTTAAAATTATACCCTTTTTTTTAACCTTCAACTGAGGGCTACAGCTGCTTTCTATTCACTGTCTCCATGCCCCTTATTATCATATGCACCTCTATCTGGTCCCTTTCAACCTTTTCTCCAAAGGGAAACAGCCCGAGCTTACCCAGCCTCTCTTCCTAGCTGAAATGCTCCATTCCAGGCAACATCCTGGTGAATCTTCTTTGCACCTCCTTCAGTGCAATCATGTCCAGTAGTGCAGTGACAAGAAGATCTTTCTAGAGATGATTTATTAGGCCGATCCCAGGTATGGAGGGATCATCTTCTGAGGAGATTTTGGGTAGATTGGAGTTTAGCAGAATGAGAGGCAACCTTATTTAAGGATAAAAGATTCTTGTGGGTTTGACAGGGTAGATGCAGAAAGGTTGTATCCCTTGTGGGAGAGTTCAGGACTAGGAGGCATACTCTCAAAGTATGAGGTCACCCATTTAAGACAGACATGAGGAGGAATTTTTTCTGAGAAAGTGGCCGATTTGTGGTCTTCTTTACCACAGAGTTGTGGATGCTGGGTCTTCAAGGATATACAAGGCTGAGATGGGCAGATTTCTAATCTGTAAGGGAACTAGGGGTTATGGGGAACAGGTAGGAAAGTGGAGTTGAGGATTATCAGATTAGCTAGGATTTCATTTAACGGTGGAGCAGACTCAGTTGGCCAAGTGGCCATCTTCTGATCTTATGTCTAATGGTCTTACATACGCTCTGTGTACTAACAAATTGCTGAGTGTATATCTACTGGAAAAGCTGTGATAAATCCACTGAGATTATCATTACATTTCAATTAGGTCATTGAAGAAATGACTTTCATTCACAAGCCACAGCATATCTCCTTGAACTATAAACTTACTCATAATATTAAGATGCTGAAGATCCTATTCATAGATGAAAACACTGATATACAGGTAAGAAACTTGCCATTTGTAAAATATAACACATTGTAATTTCTTATACTTTTGAATGTTTAACCAGTAATCCAAAAGATCTCCATTTTATGGTGAAATATGTTTCTTAAAAATACATCCACGTACAACTTTGACAAATTATGTGCTTTTGCAGGGTCTTAAACTTTTACACAAATAAGTGTCAACACTGAGGGAAAAGGAGGAAAATTAAGTGAGTTTATCTTTTTTAAGATCTGAGATGTGGTCAGGTTTAAGGTGAGAGGGGAAAGATTTAAAACGGACCTGAGGGGCAACTTTTTCACGCAGAGGGTGATGCATGTATGGAATGAACTGCCAGAGGAAGTGGTGGAGGCTAGTACAATTACAACATTTAAAAGGCATCTGGATGGATATATGAATAGGAAGGGTTTAGAGGGATATGGGCCAAATGCTGGCAAATGGGACTAGGTTAATTTAGGATATCTGTTCGGCATGGACGAGTTGGACCGAAGGATCTGTTTCTGTGCTGTATAGCTGTATGACTGTATCATTAGAATATATTCCTTTCCCGTGATTTGACACTGAACCCAGGGTGAGGCGAAGGTTGGTCCTCTTGGACAAAGGTTGGTTTCCTTAAAACTTTGTGCTCAACTGTGTGTGAAATAAATTGATCTGCACTAATCCTGAGGACCACTTTGCTGTACTATATGCCTGAAGGTATACAGTACATTTGAGGACAGGGGATGTTGAGCAGGAGACTTACTGAGCACCATTCAACATAGAAACGTGGGAAATAGGAGCAGGAGTAGGCCATTCAGCCCTTTGAGTCTTGATCATAATTTACCATCCAACTGAGTACCCTGTTCCCACTTCCTCCTCATTACCTTCACCCCTTCAGCCCTAAGAGCTATATCTAACTCCTTCTTGAAAAAAACATTCAATGTTTTGTCCTAAACCACTCTGTGGCACACAGAATTCGACAGGCTCACTGCTGTCTGGGTAAAGAAATTTCTCCTCATTCCTAACTGTGGACTGCAGATACAAGAACCACCCCTGCCACCACTTCAGGAATTTGGAATGGAATGGAGTCCTGCTATAACTGGATCCTGTCTGATTTCTACCATCAGCTGCTTAATGTCTCTCACTGCTCAGGAAATGTGCTCCACCAAAGTTGAGGCATTCCTCTTACCAATATGAGCTACCAAGGGGTAGTAGGAACTGCAGATGCTGAAAAATCTGAGATAACAAGGTGTAGATCAGGTCTAGGCCCGAAACATCAGCCTTCCTGCTCCTATGATGCTGCTTGGCCTGCTGTGTTCATCCAGCTCTACACCTTGTTATCTGAGCTACCAAGGGGAACTGTTTCTTAATTCTGCGTCTAATATTCCCAGTGAACAATAGCTTGGGATTTGAACTCAAGACCTTCCGATTGTTCACTGTTCAACAATTGTGGAGGGCAGGTGGTAGAAAATGAGGATAAGTCCACCAGTGTCAATGACATGTATCTATTCATTGCGGCTTAAGTACAGCCAAGGAAGAGAATAGTGAGCAGGCACCTGCCACTCTCTTAGTATTTGTCCCTAAGCAGAGTAAAATATGGAGGCAAAGGAGGAAATGCATACATTTTCTTTCACTTCAGGTAAATGCAGATATCCAGGGACAAGCTCCTAATCTTGAGGGTTCAGTTCGAATCATTGTGGATGGTGAGAAGTCCATTGCATATGCATTCAACACCTACTCAAATGAAGAACATTTTAAATTTATCATCAGGAACAATCACAACAGCGAAAGCTTAGCGACTGCTGGATATCCGAAGGAGATTGTGCTTTTGTTAATTGCACAAAGAACTGGTAAGGTTTACATGTGTGACAAACCAGTGGCAATGTAACCTCGTTTTAAGTAAAATGACTAACTCGTTTGAAACCATCTTACTCGTTGTATCAAGTTGGAATTGGAATAGAATGTCATAGAAGGTAACAGATTTTCAAGCAGTATCAGGAAAATCACTGCAGAGGGAGAACCCAGTTTAAAAACAATCACATTCAGAAATGAACAAACTGGTTATAATGGAGCTTCATTTTGAGGTCAACCAGACAAGTCAAACCAGTATGTGTCATTTGCCAATTTTACTGGCTTTGTCCCCAGTCATGGCATCAGGCTATAATCGTTGGTTGTTCATGTTTTATTCAGGAAGTTTCTTTTCTTCAAAGATCTTCGCTATGTTTCTTGGGTCTCCATTATTGTTTTTAAAATTCCTCCTTATTTGGCGTTAAAATTGCACTCTATTCTGTTTCCATCATGGATGTGGTGCACTGAGGCTGTTAGACGTCAGCCTGTCAGTGAGGAACAAGTTAGTCCAGACCAGTTCGCACAAATCTTTCTGTCCATCCTGTCTAAAATTTTATCACAGAAATTAGACCAAACTAATTCTATCAGATTTGGCCCCACATCACAAAATGGCTCCAATAAATCATGAGTTGTGGTTGTCATTGAGAGAGGCCATTGAATGGTCTGGAGATGTTACTATGATGAAGTTGCATGAATTCTACTGATGTTGGGGTTGGGATCCATGATTTGATTTGATTTACTGCTATCACATGTACCAAAATAGAGTAAAAAGGGTTGTTTTGCTTGTGTATTGAGGCAAAAGAGTGAAGTTCAACCTCCATACTTGGGTGAGTTAGAGCATTATAAATATGTTCAAGATCTGTAACCCATTTCCAGCCAGCTGGAAATTGCTGGAGGAATGTGTAACACCAACATGCTCCCAAAGGTTAAGTTTGTCATTTAAATATTACAATGAAGCTGGGGGTGGGGGCTCTGTCTTTGCAGGTTTAAACCTGGTCATTGAGTTTTCTGGGCTTCAGGAAACCCAACAGCTCAAGGGAGATGAGGATAGCTTCAAAATAACAGCAGATAATCTTTATGGCACTGCTTGTAGGCTGAGAGGAACAGGGCTGTTTTCTGCCGCCACCCATTGTGTCTCCACTGACAACCAGCTGCTGCAATCTGTCACTTTCAGGCGGGAGACTGACTGAGCATGTGCCAAGTATGACCCAATAGTAAAATCTTCCAGGCCGAGGTGCACTGACAAACTTTGTCCCTGAAACACTGCATTAAAATCAGGTCTCAGCTACTTAAATACAGTTGGTTCAGCTCTCAACCAATTAACATCTCTCATGGAATTCACGGAATTGTAGAATCCCTTCAGTGTGGAAGCAGGCTATTTGGCCCATTGAGTACACACTGACCTTCCAAAGAGCATCCCACCCAAAAAAAAACCCTACCCTATCCCTGTAACTCTGCATTTCTCTTGGCTAACCCACCTAGCCTGCACATCCTTGGACACTACAGGTAATTTAGCATGAGCCAATCCACCCTAATCTGCACATCTTCGGATTTGCAGAGTTTGGCCGTTTGGAATTGCCTGAACTTCTCCAAAATCTGATTTGATAATTTGTTTCCATACTGATTTAGAAATAGAGCAAAGCAAACATAGATAAATGACTGCCACCAACACTAATTCAAAACACAGTCCCTCAGAGCATCATAACCTTGATTTTAAACTTTCATCCCCCTCAATGTCGCTCCGCATAATATACTGTGTTACTAGAAGCTCAGAAATGACCATTGGTGACCAAATGTTTAGATCCAATTGTATAACAGTTCTCTCTGCTATTATAACACCAGCATTAACTATTTATTTTACATGAGTTAACAACTGTGCCAAAATAACAGATTTTTGTATGAATGATTATTTTCAATAATTCGTTTGAGGCTTGAGTGAATAAAATCCACAGTTTTGCCAGTTCACATTGTTTTGTGTCACCCCTTTGATTCGCAGATACCAAAGTGAGTTCAGTGTTTGACATTCAATATGATGCCAAGAATATGAAGTTAAGTTTGGATGCACCCAGACAGTTTGAACTGGGAACTGTTGCTGAATTTAAAGTGGAAGTTCAGCATCAGATCCCCTTCATCAAGCAGCTTGGTGTACCTTTCAGCGTCAAGGTAATTGACGGGGGGAATATCTCCCTGCACATTCTTATTTGTTGTTAATAATTTCCACAGAATAACTTACAATTTATATATGTAAGGTGGTTTTCATAAATCAAAATTAAAGAGGCACTGCCCTTCACAGCTTTGAGGTGCAATCTTGAGAATTAAACCAGGACTATGTTGCCACAATCACTGTGGATTGCCAGGTCATTGGGAGAGCACCTGACTTGTTTTGGGCAGGCGGGTGCCACTAATAATATTTGTTGTCAACAGCTGGAAATACTAGTTGCTATCTATAAGGGACTTGAATAAGGGACAATGAATAAGGGACTTTTCCTCAGCCCTATCAACATCCCAGGGGGTTATCATTGACCAGAAACTGAACTGACCTCACCGTGTAAATACTGTGCCTACAAGGATCAGGCCAGAAGTGGGAACCCTGCAGCAAGTAGCTCACCACCCCACTCCTCAAAGCATGTCTAACAAATTAAGAGTATAATAGAATATTTCCCATTTGCCTGGATGAGTGCAGCTCCAACAACTTGAAACCATCCAGGGCATAGCAGCCCGCTTATTTTGCACCACGTTCACAAACATTCAATCCCATTGTCACTGATGCTCAGTAGCAGCAGTACATACCATCTACAAGATGCGCTGCAGAAATCCAGCAAGGCTGCTTAAAAAGCACCTTCCAAACCCATGACCACTTCCATTTAGAAGGACAAGGGCAGCAGATACATGGGAACACCCTTCCAAGCCACTCACCATCCTGATTTGGAAATATATTTGCTGTTCCTTCAGTATTGCTGGGTCAAAATACTGGAACTAATATCAGTGTGGGTCAACCTATAGCAAATGGACTGCAACAATTCAGTAAGTCGGCTCACTTCCACCTTCTCAAGGGCAGCTTGGGACAGGCAATAAATGCTGGCCCAGCTGCTGATGCCCACATCCCAGTGAATGGTTTGAAAAAAGACACTTGAGTAAGGACAAGAGTTTTTGTTTTAAATTGACGAACCTCCCAGAAACCGCAGTGTCCCCAAAATTTCACAGATACTCTAGCCAGCAGAAACCCTGAGGTTTCAGGAATGCTGACTGATAAAAGGTGTAGCAAACTGTTTCCAGGTTATGCTTAAGCACAGTCATGAATTAACATGTCTTACGTTTTACAGTTTAATATTAACAGAACAGTAACTTCTAATGAGATGAGAAAGAGTGGAGAGCCAGGATAAGCTGCTAAAAGCTATTAGAAAGCAGGTATAGTATCTGTACAAAAAAAGAACCAAAGAACTGCAGATGTTGAAAATCAAAAACAAGCAGAAATTGTTGGAAAAACTCAGCAGGCCTGGCAGCATCTGTGGAGAGAAAGCAGAGGTAACATTTTGGGTACAGTGAAGGGTCTGAAGAAGGGTCACTGGACCCGAAATGTTAACTCTGAATTCTCTGTACTTTGTAACATCTGTACGTTGGCCTAGGGTCGACTGCCTATTACCTAAGCAGTTCTATAAAGTAGTGAATTGTCCAGCTGTAGAAATGATGTGTAATAAAATTGTCTGCTTCCCTGAGTTTGATAGGGGTCAGCACTGCCCAATTAACAGTTTAGAAACTGTACAATCCTCTACTCCCAACATTGTATCTCTGTTGTTGTTGCCATCAGGCTGTTTGCAATGGTATGCTCAAAGACACTGCTGTGGATGCATCATTGAAGCTGACATATGAACCAGCTGCCAACGTGATATTGCATGTGGAGGGAATAAACCAACATTACAAGTAAGGAGAAGAATGTAAAGGAGATCAATGAATCACATACAAATAAACAAAACCTTGTAGTATAATTAACCCATGTTATTTATGTTTAAAATCATCTATTTAACAAATGTCCAGTGATTGAAAACATGCCTTTGTTTAAACTCCAAGGATCATTCAGCTCACTATGATTAACAGAACAACGGAATAAAATTAGAACCATGTTTTCTTTTCAAAAGGGATAAAGACAAGTACCTGAAGAGAAAGAATTTGCTGAAGGGAAAAAGTAGAGGAAAATAAATAAGGGAGTAGTTAAATAGTGTTTGCAGAGGGACAATAAACTCAGTGGATCAAATAGCCTCCTTCTGTACTGTATCCATGGGATGCTGTCATGAGGCTTGGGGCTTAGAGTTCAATTCTGCACGTGGGAGAAATGGTTATCCTTGTCTGTGCTGGTAGTGTGTAGCCTGCAGGGTTTTCTTGTCATCTATAAGGGACTGCTCTCTGACTCCAGCAGGTTTCTGCAACCTTTCCCATTTACATTGTCGTGCATTATACTGATATGTATCAGCACACATCTCCCATTAACACAGACCATTCCATCCTTTCTTCACAGTATATTGCACATGACTGCTATTCTCAATGTTACATTAAAATATACATCATGATCACATTGTCATGTCCATACACATTATGCTCATAACTTCCCAATGATTCTCTTATATTCTATTAAAATTTTCCTAAAAAGGGCTGGACAATGTACCTGAGGATAAACCACTTGTCTCTTTTTGTTATTTTTTTGGAGGGGATGGATGCAGGTAACATTAGTGATATGTGATTTGTTCAGGATCTTTAGTTATCCTGAAATGTTATAGGAGGTGTCTGCAGTCATTCCAAACCAGACAGGCGTGGATTTCACCTTTCCCTCTGGAATATTAGTGGATCAATTTAGTCCAGCAGCTGTTTTATTGTTATTTTCTGGTGCTAGCTGGGATCGGATTTCTTAAATTAATTTTCATGAACCTTCCCCTGGCAGAATGGTAAGCTCATGATCTCTGCGTTATTTTTCAATGCCAAAATCTTGGTGTTACGATCCTCTGATTATCATAGAATTCCTACAATGTGGAAGTAGGCCATTAGGTCCATCGGTCCCCACTGACCTTCTGAAGACCATACCAACCAGACCCACACACCTACCCTATCCCTGTAACTCTGTGTTTCCCATGGCTAATCCACCTAACTTGCACGTCTTTGGACTGTGGGAGGAAACCGGAGTACCCAGAGGAAACTCACGCAGACACAGGGAGAATGTGCAAACTCCACACAGACAGTTGCCCAAGGGTGGAATGGAACCCAGGACCCTGGCACTGTGAGACAGCAGTGTTAACCACTTTGCTGCTATGGTGCTATATCTGCTCGTATTATTACATTGAGATGAGAGATTTTTCTTCAGTAGCTGTGATATCATGCCTTACTGTCCTCATCCACTTTTACAGTGTTCTCATTTGGATAACTGACGTTTTGTTTTTCTTCTTTCCTTTGTAGTAAGGAGTTGCAGCTCATCGCTTTGCAGAATATCCCTACTCTCAGGAACCTTCCCCAGGCAGTAGAAATCTCAACCAAAGTAAGTATCTACTGTTTGAAATTACGAAAATAAAATAGCGTAAAACTGTTCCAAGAGTCAAATTTTAGCTTGTTCAAAAGCGTGGAGTTGGGGGGGGAAGTGGAATTTTCAGTTTGGGCTCAGGGAGGCAGCAGGCGATTGAATACCAGCTGCCCATTACACCCCCCTCCCTCGGCTGAGTTTTCTTTGACCTCAGATGAGCGGAATGTCGGTAGGATGGGTGCAATGACATCTTCAGCAACTGAATCTCTGCCCAAACTGCAAACATCCTCTTCCCAACCCCCAACATATCAGGCATTCCATGCTGAGAAACCTTAAGAATGTATTTCTGTTACTTATTAATTGATCAAATTCACCATAGTGCTTTTCTCAGACTTGAGCAAGCCACGAAGCAGAGAGCTATGTTAATAGCAGCTGGTAGTCTCGAACTGCAATAGAAAGTATTGGACCACAGCCAAAATGGAATATGTATTGTACACAATGGCAGTGATATCATATCCAGTCAAATGGCCCTCTAAGAACTTCACAGTTTCTTGATCATTTCTACAAGAATCATTGTCTACCACTTCTGCATACATTGTTTAAGTGTTATCTTTAATTCCTGGCATTGTTCTGTTCTCATTCTTTCTGATTCCTCTTGAGAGATTTTAGAGCATAAGAGAATGAGACTACATTGCAATCTTATCAAGATTTCCTTCCATGTTAGAGGAGAATGAACTATTCTGGGTCACTGTGCTATTTTGCATAACTATTTCATTTGTTTTACCCTTGTTCCCTCACAACTGTCACCATGACAAATCCAGGAAGAGATATTTGACAATCACAGAAAGGACAAAGATATTGCTTTCTGTATATTGCCATTAATTTCAGGCAGGATGCTGTAAATTATCTTCTACAATCAGTCAGCAAAAGCAGCTCACTAGGGTGATAATTACAGCCTCTAGGATTTTGATAAATTGAAGAAATTGCAAGCACAACTTTATCTGGCTGAGTATTATATTGAGGATTTATGCTGTGCAATATATAAGGAATATAAATGATTCATTAAAGTAGCCTATGCGCTTTATTGTGGATTAATTATAAAACAATGCAAATAAAATAAACATAAGCCAATTGAATGCTTTCATTACTAATATTGACAACTATTTTTGTAGACTAATTACACTGCAAATGTGATCAAAGGAACTCTGAATGCCATGTTGGATGGAAAGAAACTGGATGCTTTCACCATTGTAACTATTGGTAATTCCAGTTATGGTGAAGTATTGGAGATGACCCACACGTTCGCACAGGTCTGTCCCATCATTTGGTTCAGCATGTTTTTCTTGTGTTCGTATAATTGGACATTTAATTAGCATGATGCTGATTTCATTTCTACAATGAATACTTTCTCCATTTTTGACTAAAAACCACACAACTGTCATTACCCGATTGTCCATGTTACTTTTCTAACCAGCAAAGCTCCACACAACGGGTAGATGTTAATGGTGTATGGTGGTGGAAATCGGGAGACAGACTGATGGCAGTCAGTTTCCATCTCTCCCTGATGTTAGTACCAATGAAATTCATTGGAGATGGAGGTAGAATTATTGAGATGCACAAGCCTTGTAGTAACACAAGGCAATCTCTGTTGTGGATGTGCCACTGTGCACAATGCTAACTCCACAACTGGATTGGCAGATTTCTATGGTTAAGTGGCTTTGCAAAAGATATTAAAAGATGCAGTCTGGTATTTCTTTGTAACTGAGTAGATCAATTTCTGAATATATATGCCCTCCTGCTACCCTATATATATGCGTATATGCTACTGCTGCTGTATATCTTCATGCTATGATTTTTAGCACACTGTTTTGCAAGCTATTCCTTTCCCATTATCATAAAATATGAAATCTGTCCCTTTCCAGGAAATTTCAGATCCATTGGGAGCAGGTTTACAACATTTACATGGACAGATGGTCTGTGTTACCTAACTTTTTCCTCTTAATCTAATCCAAGACTTTTGTTCTTTGATAACTGTTCTGCTCTTTATTATGGACTATGAGCATTTCTTTCCAATGATTGTAGATCCAAAATCATTTTCCAATTAGCTTTTTCTTTGTTTTCCCTTTTTACAGTTGAAAAGAATTCCTAAACAATTGGTCTGTAACACAGTTTATCAAAGGATTGGCCGAACCTACAAGCTCAGTCACAATTCCACTTGGGAGGACAAAGAACTGAGATTTTTCGGGAACTACAGCGGACCCTTCCCAAAGATATTTGGGCGTCATGAAACCTATGGTAAAATCAGATTGGAGAAATGTAGAGAATATAATCTAAAATTGTGTGTTTAATCTTCCAGCCTAGGGATGGCATGGTAGCTCAGTGGTTAGCACTGCAGCCTCACAGCACCAGGGACCCAGATTCACTTCCACCCTGTGACTGTCTGTGTGAAGTTTGCACATTTTCCCTCTGTCTGCTTGGGTTTCCACCGAGTGCTCCAGTTTCTTCCCACAGTCCAAAGATGTGCAGATTAGGTGAAATGGCTGTGCTAAATTGCCCACAGCGTCCAGAAATATGCAGGCTATGTGGGTTAGCTGTGGGAAATAGAGGGTCACAGGGATACAGTAAGGATATGGTTCTGGGTGGGATGCTGTTGGGAGGGTTAGTGTGGACTTGATGGGCCAAATGGCCTGTTTCCGCACTACAGGGATTCTATTTGGTCATTATCTCAGCAGATCTCTGTTTTTACTTGACGAAACAATTTATATGCTGCATTCCTAACAAAGTCATTGTTTTTGTAGTGAGCTTTCTCCACCCGTTTGCTATCCCATTGCCTCATCAATCGCAGCTCAGAATGAGCCTGTCTCATTCTCTCCTCAGTCACCAGGATGACGTTGTAATTAACTGGGACAACAAAGATCAGGTTAGTTTGCTAAATACGCATGTTTTATTGTGACTGATGATGATGGGATGGAAACAGTGACTCGAAAGATACAAAAGGCACGACTTTCCCCTCCCTCATAGTGGGTGGTGGGAAGGTCAAATAAGCACCAGACAGATACCGTCCCCTTCCTGCCTCTTCAGCAATCACGTTTCAGGAGTGGGGGAGATGTCGATGGGACAATTAAAGTCCTTCCTGGCAGTGTGGAGACACAGCTGCTTTCCTAACAGGGTGGTCTGCCAAGGGGATTAGTTGGTGGGTGAGGGTCTGACATTTTTCCCAATCGGGGGGCCGCTCAGGGTGACGGACATTGGCTGTTGAAAGCCAAATCCTTGCCCTTGCCTCCCAGTTCAGCAAACCACCCACCCACCCCAACCGAAAAATCACTCGCCTCTGTCTAGTTTTTCATGGCCTGAACCTGCATCAACTCTCTCCACCTTCCCATAGCTGTCAGCCTCTGATTGACCAGCAGCTTCAGGCACTTCAGTGTCCAGACACCTGATAGGCTGGGAAGCCCACTGGGCAGCATATAGTGCCTGACTGGTGCTCACTCCGGTGGGCTGGTGAGTGTGGGGTTAAATACACCCATCACCCCTGCATTTACGTCAAAAGATGATCAGGTATTTTGTTTGTCAGGAATGTATTCCCAGAAATGTAAAATAAAAATTCAGAGTTTATTTATTTGTTCATGGTATGTGGGCATTGCAGATTAGGCCAGCATTTATTGCCCATCCCTAATTGCCCTTGTGAAGGTGGTGGCAATTTGTCGTCTTGAACCGCTATAGTCTATATAGTTCAGGTAGCCACACAATGCCACATGGGCAGCACAGTGGCTCAGTAGTTAGCACTACAGCGCCAGCGACACAGGTTCGATGCCACCCTCGAGTGACTGTGCGGAGTTTGCACATTCTCCATGCGTCTGCATGGGTTTCCTCCCGCAGCCAAAGGTGTGCAGGTTAGGTGGATTGGCCGTGCTAACTTGTCCCATAGTGCCCAGGAATGTGCATGCTAGGTGGATTAGCCATGATATGGGGCTATGGAGATAAGGTAGGGGGGCTAGGTCTGGGTGTGATGCTCATTGGAGGGTTGGTGCAGACTCAAGGGGCCAAACAGCCTCTTTCCACCCTGTAAGAATTCTATAGTATAGATTATGGTGTTTACAAAGGGAACCCTTGATGAGTTTCTGCAGTGTATCTTTGTAGATAGTTCACATCTCTGCACCAGTGGTGAAGGGAGTGAATTTTGAAGGTTATAGATATCGTGCCAATGAAGCAGGCTGCTTTGCCCTGAATGGTGCCAAGCTTCTGAGTGTTGTTGAAGCTGCATTCATCCGTGCAAGTGGGGAGTATTCCATCACACTCCTGACTTGTGCCTTGTAGATTGTGGACAGGCTTTGAGGACTCACTGCGGGATTCCCAACCTCTGACCTTTCTTGGTCTGAATCCCATATCTCATATTTTCTTTAAACTCAAGTCATTCAAGAAGAGTCTGACCCTTGTGACCTTTTGCAAAAGTTATCTGTCTTTTCCTTTATTTCTATTTCTCTTGGTCCCCATGTTTCTCTTCTGGTTTTATTTTCTCTTGCTTCTCACTCTCTTTCACTGTACACTTGCTTTGTTTCCTTCCTTTCTTCACCTCTCTCCCTGGTTCTGTCCGCAGTTTTATATTTCCTCACTTACTGCAGTCCTTGCACAGCCACACAAGGAGAATGCAAGGTCAGGGTTAGAATGGGGTGGTATGGTGGCTTAGTAGTTAGCACTGCTGCCTCACAGCACCAGGGATCTGTGTTCGATTCCACCCTCGGGCGACTGTGTGGAGTTTTGCACATTCTCCCCATGTCTGCGTGGTGCTCGGGTTTCTTCCCACAGTCCAAAGATGTGCAGGTTGTGGTAAATTTCCCATAGTGTCCAGGGACATGCAAGCTAGGTGGATTGGGCATGGGATAAGCAGGGTTACAGGGATAGGTTAGGGGACTGTGTCTGTGTGGGATGCTCTTCAGAGGGTTGGTGTGGACTCGATGGGCCAAATGGCCTGGTTCCATACAGTCGACATTCTGTGATTCTAAGCACAGGCAAATGGGACTAGTTCAGTTTAGGAAACCTGGTTGGCATGGATGATCTGGGCCAGAGGGTCTGTTTCCGTGCTGTTAACATGACTCTATGACATCAGTCCAGTTCTGAGGTTAAATCAGTTCCGCAGAAGAGTCATTTTGGATTTGAAACGTTAACTCTGTTTCGTCTCCACAGATGCTCCCAAGCCTGCTGAGTTTCTCCAGAACTTTTATTCCTGGGGATGAAAGTTAGTTTCCTAACCCTTACTATCTGCCTTGCTCAAATTTGCATCCGTGCCCCTCCCATTCACAGTTCTTCCTTTGTTCATGCTATTTCTGAACTGGCTTAAATCACATCACGTTCTCAAACTGGGCCAAGCCAACAGAATGTTGTAGAATGTCTGAAATGCCCACTTCTGAAATGGAGCTGCAAGTATTGGGATGTCAATGTGCAGGCTTTCACTCACCCCTTATCCCTTGTCTCTGAAAGTCACTGGTGCTAGGTATGAGGGCTCGAATCTTGGATTTGGTTCGGTCAACCAAAATTAAGTCTATCCAATGCACTTCAGCAGAACATCGTACAGTCACAGTATTGTTAAGTGCAGAAAGCAGCCATTCAGCCCATCACGTCTAGACTGGTTCTTTGAACGAGCAGCTCACTTACTGCCATTCTCCTGCCTTCTTCCTGTAACCCTGCACATTTTTCACTTTTAGATAAACATCTAATTCCTTTCTGAAGGCCTCAGTTGAAACTACCTCCACCACACTTTCAGGTTGTAAATTCCAGACCCTAACCACTCATTGAATGAGAAAAGTTTTTCATGGTGTAACTTTTGCTTCATTTACCAATTAATTTCAATCTGTTCCCCTGATTGTTTTCCAAGAGGGAAGGCTTTCCCTGTCTACTCTATCCAGACTCCTCTTGATCTTAAATATCTCTATCAGATCTCTTCTCAGCCTTCTCCTCCAAGAGAAATGGTCCCAACTTCTCCAAATTGTCTTTGTAGATGAACATCCTCAATTCTAAAACCACTCTTGTGACTCTTATCTACACTATCTGCAATGTCTTCACATCTTTCCTAAAGTGTGTTGCTGGGGATCGGACTCAGTACACTAGCGAAGGTTGAAATAATGTCTTTAGAAGTTCCATATAATCTCCTGGCTCTTGTAGTCTACGCCTCTATTAGTAGACGGAGTAGCGCTCCAAAAGCTTGTGATGCCAAATAAACCTGTTGGACTATAACCTTGTATCGTATGACTTCTGATTTATTAGTAAAGCCTAGGATAAACGCCTTCAGCAGCACCTCTTGCATTTCCCGCACCTCAGCTCTCACACCCCGTCCCCGCAATAACAACAAAGACAGAATTCCCCTTGTCGTCACGTACCACCCCATCAACCTCCGGATTCAACGCATCATTCTCCGCCACTTCCGCCACCTGCAATCTGACCCCACTACGAAGGATATTTTTCCCTCCTCAGCCCTATCCACCTTCCAGAGGGACCGCTCTCTCCGCGACTCCCTCATCCACTCCACACTCCCCACTAGCCCCACTAGCTCCACCACCCCTGGCACTTTTCCCTGCAACCGCAGGAAGTACTACACCTGCCCCTACACCTCCCCCCTCACCTCCATCCCAGGCCCCAAGAAAACCTTCCACATTAAACAGATGTTCACCTGCACATCCACTAATGTGGTATATTGTATCCGCTGTTCCCGATGTAGCCTCCTCTACATCGGGGAAACCAAGCAGAGGCTCAGAGACCACTTTGTGGAACACCTATGCTTGGTTCATGACAAACGACAACATCTCCCAGTCGCGAACCACTTCAACTCCCCCTCCCACTCCTTGGACGACATGTCCATCCTGGGCCTCCTCCAGTGCCACAACGATGCCACCCGGAAACTGGGGGAACAGCACCTCATATTCTGCCTTGGGAGCCTACAACCCAATGGTCTCAATGTGGACTTTACAAGCTTCAAAATCTCCCCACCCCTGACCTCATCCCAAGACCAGCCCGTCTCGTCCCCGCCTCCTTGACCTGTCCATCTTCCCTCCCAGCTATCCGCTCCTCCCACCTCACTGACCAACCCACATCCCAACTCCCTCCCTACACTCACCTGTACTGGTTTCAACCCCGCCTCCTTGACCTGTCCGTCTTCTCTCCACCTATCTGCTCCTCTATCCACCCTCTATCATCGCCCCCACCTCTCTATTTATTTCAGAGCCCCCTTTCCCTCCCCCATGTCTGAAGAGGGGTCCAGACCGGAAACGTCAGCTTTCCTGCTCGTCTGATGCTGCCTGGCCTGCTGTGTTCATCCAGCTCCACACCTTGTTATCATAGGTTACTGTATGTGTTAGAATAGGAAAATCCAGCTCAACTAGTCCCATTCCCCTACCTCCCAACAGCGTCACAAACTTTCTCTCTTCAGGTGCTTAGCTCAGTTGGCTGGACAACTGGTTGACAATACAAAGTGATGCCAACAGCTTGGGTTCAATTCCTGCACTGGCTGAGGTCACCATGAAGGACTCTCCTTCTCAACCTCTCCCCTCACCTGAGGCATGGTGACCCTCAAGTTACCAGTCATCTCTGTCTTTCTCTCTCTCTCACATGTGGGAGCAGTGCTGTGGTTTAGTGAGACTATGGCGACATTACCATTACCTTTTGCTTATCCAGTTCCCTTTCACTGGTCACAATTGAACCTGCCTCCACCACACTCTCATGTAATGCAATCCAGAGCCTAATCCCTCACTCTTCCAAAATAAAATTGGGAATTGTATCAAACAGTTCTCTGCCAGCTACTGGGAAAGACCAGTTAAGTCTCTCAGCCAGCACTTGCCCAACTCAGTGGTTTTGATGGAAAATACAACCCGACCCAGTAGAAGTTTGGAAGTTATTTCCCAGCTACTGCCTGGCATTTACCATGTCAAATTCTACTTCTGTGTTTAATCCCATTCAAGAAGTGAAAAAGAAAATTTAGCGGTAACTGTGACTTTGGATGAGAGTGTAAATCAGATGAGAACAACAGAAGTGAAAATGTGAGATAACCAGGTGTAGAGCTGGATGAACACCTTTCTGAAGAAGTGCCTAGGCCCGAAACGTCAGCCTTCCTGCTCCTCTGATGCTGCTTGGCCTACTGTGTTCATCCAGCTCTACACCTTGTTATCTCAGATTCTCCAGCATCTGCAGTTCCTACTATCTCAGAAGTGAAAATGTGCTTTGGTATCAGAAGAGTAATATTTAATGGAGCTTTTCAATTAAAAATATTTTTCCTTGGAATAGGTGGTTCTTCTAGCTTCTCTGAATTTGGATAAAGACCGACTGGACAGCGGAGTCCACCTTCAGCACCCATTCAAACTTTCTTTGAAGAAGTTTGAACTACAGTGTCTTTCTGAAAGAAAAGAACAGAAATACAATCAAAAGGTTGGAATAGTGAACCAGAGAGGGGAGAGTTATCAATTTTTTTATATATAATGTATTCCCCAGCATTCCTGCTAAACCACTTGCCCTTCATGCACGGCTTGTGGACGTTGCTGGCTAGACTAACATTTGTTGCTCATCCCTAATTGCCCTTGAGAAGGTGATGGTGAGTGACCTGTTGAACCACTGCAGTCCATTAGGTCTGTGTACACCCACAAAGCTGTTATATAGAAACGTAGAAAATAGGAGCAGGCCATTCAGCCCTTTAAGTTTGCTTCGCAGGGATCATCCTGTTCCCACTTTCTCCCCGTAACTTTTAATCCCTTTAAGCCTAACAACTATATCCAGCTCCTTCTTGAAAGCATTCAAAGTTTTGCCCTCATCTGCTTCTGTGGCAGAGAATTCCACAGGCTCACCACTCTCTGGGTGAAGATATTTCTCCACTTGACATTGGAAGCTAGACAGGTTAGTCCTGTATACTGTGGAGTTTAGAAGAGGTAGAGGTGTTTTAATTGAAATATGTAAGATCCTGAGAGAACTTGCCCGGTAGATGCTTCCTCTTGTGGGAGAGTCTAGAACCAGGGGTCATAGTTTAAAAATGAGAGGTCACCCATTAAAGACAGAGATGAGGAAACATTTTTTTCCCCTCTCAAAAGGTTGAGAGTTTTTGGAATATCCTTCCCCAAAGGTACTGATGTAGAATCTTTAAATATTTTTCAGGCAGAGGTAGTTAGATTTTTGATGACCAAGGGAATAAAAGATTATCAGGGATGTGCAGGAAAGTAGAGTTGAGGTCAGAATCAGATCAGTCATGATCTTATTGAATGATGGAGCAGGCTTACAGGGCCGAATGGTCTTTTTCCGCACTGTAGGGATTCTGTGAGTGACCTACTCTTGTTCCGTGTTTGTACGCTTGTAACTGGCCTATCCTGTATACTTAGACTGTGACCCTTGGCTCTGGACTCCCTGGTCTTTGGGAAAACCATTCCTGCATTTACACTGCCTAGAATTTAGAATTTTACAGGTTTTCAGGAGGGAGTTCCAAGGTCTTGTGTCTAATGAGCAGATTTAAGGCAACAATACTGTTCCTATGCTTAGCGCACTAAATTATGATCTGAATCAAGGCTCTTGCCAGTCAGTTTTCTAACCCTTCCCTCGGTACTGCAGTTGATGTTTTTACATGAATGATAGTGGAAGGCTGAAATCTCTTGAACTCTTATCTGATTGAAAATGTCTCAGAAAGCACGTTGCCAAAAGCAACCAAAGTGTTTGAAGGCAGCCTTTAAATCTGATGTTCCTCATTTGTATGACTTAACTGAAGATTATAATTATTTTCTGTAAAAACAAATGTCATGTCATAGTGGCCAAAAGGAATTAATCTCTGGATTACAGCCTGACTCAGCACAGAATTTTCACTGCTTGGTGAGATCCTGCAACAAGAAATAAAATGTGTGCAATGCATTTGTGTGCTATCTTAAAAGAATGATTCATTCTGACATTATTACAATATTCACAATATTGAGTGATGCAGATCACATATTTAGCTTCAAAAAGAGTTATTTACTTCAGCTACTAAACGATGGATTACCCATTTGCAGTGTCAGCACATACATATCATTGAAAAAAGAGACAACACAGTGTGGAGCTGGAGGAACACTGTAGGTCAGGCAGCCTCAAAGGAGCAGTCAACTTTCCTGCTCCTCTGGTGCTGCCTGACTTGCAGTGTTCCTCCATCCCCACGCTGTTGTCTCTGACCCCAGCATTTTGCAGTTCTTGCTGAAAAAAAAGACAATTTTGTTGAAGCCAACAGTCTGGCTTGTATTGTGATGTACTTACATGTATGGAAGCTACATACGTTAAGACACAGCAAACACAAAGAACATGTACATGCACTGCCCCTGTTTCAACTCAACAAAATAAGCAACAGCCATTATCAGACCATGCCTTGAAAAATCAGAGTCAAACAACCGGATTTAAATTTAAACAAAGCTTGGTGGTTAACTGTCGTTCATTTATATAAGTCGTGTATGCTCCATGGCAACACTTCATCAATCAGAGTCCACTTGCCAACCAGTCAGCATACACTTCTGATCCAGATTTTATTGATGACAATTTTGGCCCTCCTTTACATTAGCGTTGTGTGAATTTCCTTAATGAAAAAGCTTTGACAAAACGTGTCTTTTTTTGGCAGTGCTCACATGCTTTATCAAAATCAACTGTTGAAATATGTACTGTTTGTTAATTAAAAAATAGAAACATTTCCTCATAAAGTGCTGTATCTCATGTCTCCCCAGAGAAGTTGCAGGTGGTCCTGTACAATGCCCAGGGGTACCCTGCCTGCCACCTACCCACCTTCCCATGCCACACCACTCCCCCTCCACTGCAGGAGAGTAACAGGGAGACCAGCCTGTGTATCGTGGGTCAAGTCCCTCCACTTTCTTCCTCCACTTTGACCCTTCTCCCTAGCCATGTCCACTCCATAGTCCACCCCACCCAAATCCTACCCCTTGCTGGGGCACTAACAAGATGCTACCCCATTTCCTCCTAACTCTGGCTTCATGACTTCTCACCATTGACAACTGAAGTCCGGGTGGCCCGGACCAGGGAGCTGTCAGCTATTTGATTGGCCAGCAACTCCCCAGAGGGAGGCCCTACAAAGATCTGTTTGCAGCAATCCACGAGAATGGGGTAAACCCACCCCTGACTGTTGTGTGGAGCAGGGGGATAGCAGAGACCCTAAGCATCAGCTCAAAGAACCTCGCCTACAAAAGGGTTAATCTGCACACATTTTCTGTTCCATGAATTTCAAACACGGTTGGATGATGGTACTATGTCATATAAAATCTAATTATTAAATGCCCTCACAGAAGGGAAAAAAGGATAAGTGGTGAGTGACAGATACTGGTTCGACTTTCTCGTATGCTTTAACATCAAGCTTCAGTATAGCGGGTATCTTGAACTCCATGTATTATTGGTTTCCCCTTCTGGGAAATGATAAATAGGTCAGGACCTTAAACATATGACTTTCCTTATTCATTCTGGGCAGTTTTTGAGCTACTCAACTTCAAGTATCACCCATACAAGTAATCAGGCAGAAATTAGAACATGCTGCAAAAACATTTCACATCTTCATGTTATCTAAAACTCATTTCCCCTCCTCAATATTGTGACCCTATCAGGGTCATTGTCATTCTAATTTCTGTTAAGGCAAATTTCATTCAAATTTACATTGGTTCTAGTCTGTTCCCCATTAATTGTTCCTGCTGCTGTTCCTGGCGGGATTGAATTTTAGTTCAACGTGCAGATTTGGAGGTGACTATGTATGACAGTCAGGACTGTGTCCTGCATAATCACCCAGTCAAGTTATCAAAGTTAAGATCAGGCACTGTAAGATATCACTAAAGTGTGACTTGGAACCTCAACTGTGTTTAATATAAATTGTAATCTCATGTAAAGTGGAGCAACATTCAGTCTGACTAACACTTGTTTAACCTTCTCTAGGCCCATGTTTCCTGGAATGGAGGCCAGCCCGTTGATCTTAAATTTACATTAGAATACACTTTGGAAAGCAACTTAACAACCTGGGACACGTGTGTGGACTTTTCTTCAGGCCAGGTATTCCTTGGGTTCACCCCAATGAATCAACAGAATTGTTCTCTCCCTCTCTTTCTTCTGTACACTCCTTCCATTCCCTTGCCTTTTCTTCCTCTTTCAATCCCTCTCCTCTTTTTTTTGATTTTCCCCATTTTATTTGGACTCACCACAATGAATTAACAGAACTGAGACACTCTGTCTCTCACCCACATTGTCTGTTTCTCTCTCTTGCCTGTACTCTCCCCACTTTTCCCTCTCTGCTGTACACTGTCTCTCTCTTGCTCTCTCTCTCTCTCTCTCTGTCTCATTCTCTCTCTCTCTCTCGCCCTCTTGCGCTCTCTCTCAACTAACCCCCACCCCACCACCCCCATCCCTCTCCCCTCTGTCCCTGCTTTCTCTCTATCAATCTCTCTTTCTCTCCTCCATTAACTTCTTCCTGTATTTTTAGGGTTGCCACAACAAATGAACAGGACTGGGAGGGATGTTCCAAAAATTTCTCACGTCATAACAAATAAACATCCTTATTTATAATGCAGTTAAAGATTTTCTTAAGAAGTAAACGATATTTGGAGAAGATAAGACATTCCTCAGTAAAAATGACAGACTAGATTGCGACCCAGGTACTGATCAGTTGAGAACTGCTGTGAAATCCATAACCACATCCAGATTCAGAAAGGTCCTGTTCTAGATTAGAGCTGCTGCTATGAAATCAAGTCAATCATCGAGAATACCTGAGGAAAGCTTGTAATAAATGACGCGTTGGTTTAGTCAAATGTTCCCATTTCCTTTCACCAACTCTACTCATCCTTGTTTCCAAATTCACCCGGTCCATGGTTTTCTTTGGGGAATTGTGTTGGCCCCGGGAGAGGCAGGCTGAGCTGTTGCATTGGGCTCAGGACCCACTGTCCAAGGAGATTAGGGCATGGCTGATTCTAGAAGGAAAGGAGGCACTATTAAAGGAGAGAGCTCGTGGCGATGCTAACAAGGTCTGTGGGGGACACAGAGGGAGCAAGATGGCCTGGGAAAGCTAAATTTCTGCTGAAGTCAACACAGGCGTTTGATTAGATTTGATTTATTATTGTCACGTATCTAGATACAGTGAGAAGTATTATTTTGTGTGCTATCTAGACAAATCATCAGGGTAACAGAACGGAATGTAGAATATAGTGTTACAGCTACAGAGAAGGTGCAGAGAAAGATCAACTCTAATATATGAGAGGTCTGTTCATTAGTTCTGATAACAGTGGGGAAGAAGCTGTTCTTAAATCTGTTGGTATGTATTTTCAAACTTTTGTATCTTCTGCCCAGTGGAATAGAAGGGAGATCAAATATAAGTGGGAGCAGGTCACTGGCAAGACTGGGAGAGTCAAGACTAACTGAGGTTAGGTGAGGGGTTTGGAGAGGTTCTGGTACAATGGCAATGTCACCGGACTAGTAATCTAGAACATTAGCTTGGATACACAGGTTCGAATCCCCAGTGGTGAAACTTAAAACTGTAAAAGGCTGGTCCAGTAGCGACTATATAGCCCCTATCAATTGTCATTAAAAACGATCAGGTTAACTAATGTCCATATACTGTGAAATGGCTGAAGAAACTGGATACTATAAAGCCTATTGGTCTGACAAAGTTTTGGCAATAATACTGAAGACTTGTGCTCCAGAATTTGCCACACCCCTAGCTAAGCTGTTCCAATGCAGCAACAACCCCTGACAGTGTAGAAAATTGCTGAGGTATGTCCTGTACAGAAAAAGTGGTCAAATTCAACCAGCCAATTACCACTCCATCAGTCCACTCTAAATCATCAGTAAAGTGATGGAAGATGTTGGTAACAGAACAATCAAGCAATACTTACTCAGCAATAACCTGCTCTCTGACATTCAATATGGGTTGTATCAGACCCATTCAGCTCTGGACTTCATTACAGTCTTGCATGGACAAAAGAGCTGAATTCCAGAGGTGAAGTGAGAATGGCAGCCTTTGACATCAAGGTCACTTTTGACCATGAGAGGTATTGAGGACCCCTAGCAAAACTGGGGTCCATGGGAATCAGGAAAAACTTCTGTTGAATGGAGTCACACCTTGCACAAAGGAAAATGGTTGTAACTGTTGGAGGTCGGTCATGTGAGGTCCAGGACACCTCTGCAGGAGTTCCTCAGCGTAGTGTCCTCGGCCCAGCCATCTTCAGCTGCTTCATCAATGACCTTTCTTCCATCATTAGGTCAGAAGTGGGGATGTTTGCCGATGATTGCACAAGTTCAGCGCCATTCGCGACTTCTCAGATACTGAAGTAGTCCATGTTCAAATACAACAAGACCTGGAAAGTATCCAGGTTTGGGTTGACAAGTGACAAGTGTAATACAGGTCACACAAATGCCAGGCAATGGCTATCTCCAGTAAGAGATGATCTAATCACTGCCCTTGTCATTCAACAGCATTACCATCACTGAAACCCCTATTATCAACATGGGTTACCATTGACCAAAAACTGAACTGGACTTGCCACATAAACACAGTGGCTACAAAAGCAGATCAGAGACTAGAACCCTGCAGCAAGTAACTCACTTCCTGACTCCCCAAAGCCCATCCACCATAGACAAGGTACAAGTCAGGAGTGTGATGGAATACTCCCTACTCGCCTGGATGAGTGCAGCTCCAACACGCAAGGTGTTTGATACCGTCCTGTACAAAGCAGCCTGTTTGATTAACACCACATTCACCAATTTGAACATTCACTTCAGAAACACAGTGGCAGCAATATGTACCATCTCTAGGATGCATTGCAGAAACTCACCAAAGCTCCTCTGACAGCAACTTCCAAATTCATCTCCTATCTGGAATGATAAGAGAACACCACCACCTCCCCTCCAAGCCACCTGCTATTCTGACTTGGAAATACATTGCCATTCCTTCCGTGTTGCTGGGCCAAAACCCTGGAGCTCCCTTACTTACAGCACTATAACTGTACCTACACTCCAAAGACTGCAATATTTCAAGACACCAGCTCACCACCATCTTAAGGGCATTTAGGGATGGGCAATAAATACCAGTCTAGCCAGTGACATCCACATCCTGTGAATGATTTTTTTTTTAAGAAAAAGTGTGCTTCACATGGGCACCCTCCTGCAACTGGTAATAATTTCACTGCTTTCATTGACTCTCACACATTCAGTTGACATGTTCCATTTGAGGCTGAGGCCTAGAACCCTAAAGGGTAGCCTGGTGGTCTTCTGTTCTCTCACACTTCAACTATGTGATGCTCTGCTGAGTGCCATTATGCTGTGACTACACTGTCTTTCACAACCAAGCAGAGAGCAGGAAGTCATTGACACTTTTGTAGAATTGGACACAGTTATGCTCATTGACCCCATGGCTGCTACCCTTCTGAGGGGTAATCTCAACTCAGGACACCTTGGTCTGGTGGGAATGCCTCCTGCTGTCATCTCTAGAAATCTTGAAAGATGTGGCATTGAAGATATAAGTTCCAGCAGTAGTTCTCAGCAATATCCAGAGACTATACACTGCACGGTCATGAAAAAGCAAGCATTCATCCAATAAGCGTAGGTTGGGGTATTTTTATGTTTCCATTTATTATTGCACTTTACCTTGTTTTAGCGACTTTGGCGGAAGACGTCTTCTCCCGGCCCGTGCCCAGCGGCAAGGTGGCTTACAATGGCCTAGAATGGACTGACTGGCCAGTCTCGCAGTGTGTTGGTCTCTTGGTGTGGTAGTCCTGGTCTGGCATGGTGGTCTTCTTTGGTGGCTTCCGAGAATTCCACCAGCCCAGCATGAAGGTCTAGTCCCAGCACAGAGGTCTCATTCTTGCCTTGGAGGTGGCTTCCAGGTCTTCCAAAGGCCCAGAGTGGAGGTCTAGGCTTGGCATGGTGGGGCAGTATTGGCCCCACCCAGCATGATGGTTTTGGCCCAGTTTTCCCTTAACCCAGGAGTCATTAATCGAACTGTGATGGACTTTCACTTTTCCTCTTACGTATGACTTCTGTCATTAATTTAGGCACCATGATAAGGCGACTTATAAAACTTTCCACTATTTCATTTTGTAAAAAAAATGACAATAAATTGTTAGTCTATTCTATTCTAGCTTTTTACAGCAGAGCTAATCTTTAGATCCAACCCTTCAGTGAACTAAAGACTGGGAAAATAGTGAAGAAAAAGTTGAGTTAGCATGGGAAGTGTTGATTGGCTGAAATTTATGCATCGCTATTGCCTTTTAAATTTGATGACAATTCTTAAATACTCATTCAGTGGATGGACTGGATATCTCTGCATTGAAAGTTGAATCTGTTATCTCACTATCAGAATTCATTAGAAACTTCAGGACTTTTTTTGAAAATTAATGTACACTACTAAGAAAAATGTTTCTTGTCAAATGTCACATAGCACCGAGTGTTTTGCATCTGGTAAGGTGACTAAGATGTTAAAAGCGGGCCCTACTGCGTCCCTACCTCTGGACCAAGAGATCAGGGTTCAAGTCCCACCTGCTCCAGAGGTGTGTAACAGCAGCTCTGAACAGGTTGCTTAGAAAAGTGGGTTAAATAACAATGAAAAGAGTTTAAGAGCCTCAGAGAAGATTGCTTGCTCACAGGTGAGGTAATAATTGTAAAAGCAAAGTACAGCAGATGCTGGAAATCTGAAATAAAACCAGAAAGTGCTGGAGAAACTCGGCAGCATCTGTGGGAAACAGAGTTAATGTTTTATTGATAATAATAATTACAGTCAGGATTAGCTAGGACTCGAATACATCTGTCTTGTTTGTCCAAATTGTGCGTGAAATGATGGAGATTGGTACCAATGGCTACAGATGATGTGGATCATTTAGTTTGTACAGTGGATATGGTGAAGAAATGCCAGTCATCTGATCCAAGCTCATCCACCCAGGAAGAAAAGTGACAGTTCCATGTCACTCTATCTGGTTGTTACTTCATTTTTTTCCTCCCTAGATCACCCTCTATCACCCTACCTCAATTCTAAATGTTCTCAATGAGTCACTGAACATACATTATCTGCCACTGGTTCTGAATTTGCCTCAGTTCAGTTTGAATTCTTCCCCAGTGCTATCATTCAAATTGAAACTATAGTTGCCTATTGGATACCAAATGTAATCTTATTCCTTTGTGATGTTCCTCTCAGTTACCTCCTTCAGGTCATCAGTAGCACAGCAATCCACTGAAATGGGAAAATTCAAACATCTTCTGTAGCCTATTGAAAATTGTGCATTTTCCTCACTGGAGGCTAAAGAATGTTCATGTACCAGCAGAGGGAGTCTATTAGGGAGAACGCTAATAAACATAGATCCTTCTTGAACAATTCATGTAGTTCTACTTCTCAGTGTTTCCAGTGAATATATACAGATTTCTGTCTCAAGAACATCCCATCCTCCAATTTAGTTTTCTCATAAGACAATAGAATGATGGCAAATAGTAATTAAAAGAGCGAGGTAGGAGCAATTTATGATAATAGTCTGATTTTCTTACAGCCACTGAGATAATTCCATTGTGTTTATCCAGCTGCAGCCCTTGCTTCTGATACAATCTCTGCACAGTTGTGGATCTGTCATGTCCACTCAAAACTCTTTCACTGAGAGTATGGAGCTCCATTGGAGTGACAAGAAAATCAATCAAAGCTTTGAATATCAGGTAAAGTATCTCAACAAGGAAGTAATCTTTTCGTACGCTTTACGAATGTCATGTAGTCTAGTGCCTTTTGTATAGCTGCATCCTTATTCTAAAATTTGAGTTTAATTGCACATCAAACTTGTACATCTCAGGCATTTTGATTTTGTATACGATTGCAAATATAATTCTACATCTGAACAGCAAACACCCACTAAACTTTCAGTGATTTGAATAACATCAGAGAATAGTGACAATATTTACATGAAGTGATTACATGGTCTCACATGACTACTAATGTGTCTATGACCATTGGGAGTCAAATTCCTCTTTAGGAGATGGTGTAAAATGGACAAGCCAAAAAGAGCCCAGTTAGATGTGAAGTCAATGATAGGCAACATCAGGTAGAATGGCAGCATGCAGTAACACGCCAGGCCATTATTACCCTCACTAAACTTACCGTGATGATTATTTCATTTCAGTCATAGTCATAGAATCATACAGCACTGAAACAGACCCAACCAGTCCATGCCGACCATAATCTCAGACTAAACTAGTCCCACCTGCCTGCTTCTGGTCCATATCCCTCCAAACTTTTCCTATTCAGGTATTTATCGAAGTGTCTTTTAAATGTTGTAACTGTGCCCGCATCCACCACTTTCTCAGGAAGTTCATTTCACACGCAAATCACAGCCTGTGTAAAAAAAATTTGCCCCTCATGTCTTTCTTAAATCTCTCACCTTAAAAATGTGCCCCTTTAATCTTGAAATCCCCCATCCTGGGAAAAGACAACGTACCATTGACTCTGTCTATTACTCCTCATGATTCTATTGACCTCGAGAAGGTCACCTCTTAAACACTGTGGACAGAATGTTTATTTCCAAGTGTGTGGTGTGAGACTGTGTTTGGTGGTGACAACACAGTACTCCTAACAGTGAGAGAACTCACCCAATCACCTACCAATCCACTCATTAAGAGCTGACAGGTACTTTGCCCTGCCATTGGCCTTGACACTGGTGATCTTTGGGGGTCACAGGGAGACGGGCAGTAATGCGACCCAATACTGAACTCTTCATGGCTTCAGTTGGTGTTGAGTCAGGGATGATCTTCTAGTCCAGCACTTAATTGCTGAGGTGGCAAGAACAGGTTGCATTTCCTCCCCAAGCCAACATATCCCATTAATTTCCCCTTCTGACCTCCTTCAAGGAGGGGAAATTGTGACCTCGATATTTTATGCAGTTACTACATTCATATAGTAATGATTCGCCTGCTTTTCCAACCTGACAGTAATGGAGCCAGCTCCAAGTACTCGCAAAGATAATCATCATGCTTATGTAGGGTTCTGGTTATTTTCTCATGGGCAGCTGAAGAGTTCCTGTATTTCAAAGTTAACAGATGTTAGTCTAGTCGCACATTTCAAATCCACGCCTCACTCACCAGCAATGTCTCACCGAAGACACGGCACGGCACTGGGAATTCTGGAGGCAACTGTTTCTTAAAAAGCAACTGATCAGGATGGACTGCTGCCATTTGTCATGTGTTTTCCACTTCCTACAGAATAACAGACCAATGAGACCAGACAGTATCGGGATTGCTGCCACTTTCTCCAATGTTTTCCAGTCATCTTGTGGAAGGCAGGACTTTCTTGGGAAGATCCAAACTGATTATCGTGACCAGCTGCATCACTATCTGAAATTGGCCCTCTGCAACATGTCAAATGTGGGAGTTGTTTTGTTTTCATTTTAACTATTGCACCTATGATTTTGTTTAATCTTCATTCATCTTGCTTTTTAAGATTGACCCAGATTTTTAATCCCATTTCTTTAACATTCAGCATTACCATCTCAAATTCTAGGGTCTATTGTTGGTGGTAATTTTTTTGATTCAGATTGTGTTGTAGGATCAGTTTGTAAAACCAAGAAACTCAGGGTCGGGGGAGGGAATGAGAATCGGGAGGTGCCACACCATGTGGGAAGGTGCCATGGCCCATAAGACCATAAGACATTGGAGCAGAAGTAGCCAATAGGCCCATTGAATGACAGAGCAGGTTCAATGAGGTGGTCCATCCTTGTTATGCACTATCTGCCCATTGGAGGTGTCCACGAGCAGCAGGGCCTTCCCCCATGCCAGAAGCCCCCCGGTCTCACTTATCATGGCATTCCTAGCTCATTTGCCTGTGTTCCAGGACTCCATTGACGATCCTCATTGCAGGGCCTGCTGCAGTACCAGAAGTGGCCACCATTCCTGGTGGCACGGTCGGTAATGGAAACCTGTTGGTCTCTGATTTGGCTGGCAGCTCTCGGTGGTGGGGACATCTGCTCGAGAAGGAGATGTCCATGTGAGAAATTCCCCTGTGGGAGCCAGAAACCATTACAAGCATGAGATTATTCCAGCTTTCCAGTGGGTGGACAGTCCCAATGTTTTATACGGAGGACAAGGATGGTACTCTGCTCGAATGGTCACTCTCGAGGCCCAAGAGACATACTGTTGGGTAGGGTGTTAGCTCCTCTCCAAAATGGATTCATGTTAGCAAAACCTCAGAAGAGAAGATGAGAGAGGGGGAATTTGACAGAAAGGATGGAAAGGGTGAGGAGATGCTTGTGAGGTAAGAGTGTAATGAAAAGCTTCATCTTTGTTTTCAGTCAATCAAACTGTCAGGAAAGCACCAGCGGAATAAAGGAGAAATTGTTCTCTCATCCCAAATCCGAGTCAGTCTTTCCAGTGATGAAAAACATGACATGATGTTGGCAATGTCTCTGAGAAATAATGGACAGGCAAATGTAAAGAACTACTCTCTTGACATGGAGGTACTTGAGTTCACTGTGACATATATTTGTAGAATATAGAACACTGTGGAATATATTTGACACTTGTCCAGTGTTAGCTACTGCTATTTTATCAATGGTTAATGCCTGACAACCCAAAATGGTAATTAAAATAATAATAAAATGACTTGGCATTTTCAGGGTCTAACCCCAATGTGGCATTGAATTAATGATGTGGAGATGCTGGTGTTGGACTGGGGTGGACAAAGACAGAAGTGACATGACACTAGGTTATAGTCCAACAGGTTTATTTGAAATCACAAGCTTTTGGAGCGCTGCTATTTTGTTAGGTGAAGTCTGACTGTTAGACTATAACCTGGTATTGTATCACTTCCAGCATTGAATTAAAGTACGTTGGTATGCTGAGCCATTTGATTTTTAAACTCTGGTCTTGTGATTTGAGATGCACTTTTGATTCCTGGGTTAAAATACAAACACTTGTAAATGCTTTGCTTCCTACACAGTGGAGAGCTTCAGAAGTCAGTCACCTAGGCCTGCTGGGGACGTACACTGCCTCAGCCATCAAGAGGAGAATGGTTATGGAGGCAAAGATTGATAACAAAAAGAAAATTAAACTTGCCAGCACACGCGAGAGAGGATGTCAGCATTACTACACTGGATATTCTTCTGGTCAGGATTACTAATTCATAGAGCTGAATATATTCTACTATATTTCACTGTTTGATAAAGTATAATAAAATAGCTTAATGGAGACCAAATGAAGAACTTACATTTACATAGTGTGGGAGCTCTTTTTCTTTGTTACTCTTCTATGGAATGCGGGCATCACTGACTGGGTCAGCATTTATTGCCCTTCCCTAATTGCCCTTAAATTCACTGGTTTACTCAGTTATTTCAGAGAGCAGTTAAGAGTCAATCACATTGCTTTGGTTCTGGAGTCATGTGGGCCAAACCAGGCAAGGATGACAATTTGCTTCTCTAAAGGACATTAGTGAACCAGATGGGTTTTCATGACAATGGATTCCTGGTCATCATTAGGCCAGCTCACGATCTCAAGATTTTATCAAATTCAAATTTCACCATCTGCTGTGGTGGGTTTCGAGCCCATGTCTCCAGAACTTTGGGATTCTGGATTAAGTGCCCTGCATCATGACCACAACAGGGAATTTAAAGTTGATTAATTGATATATCTGAAATAAAGGCCTCATTATTCTTAATGATGAAGCTATCAGATTGTCACAAAGACCTCCTTGGTTTATTAATGTCCTTCAAGGGGAGGAAATCAGCAGTTGCCATTTGGTCTGGCCTAAATGTGACTCCAGGCCAATAACAATGTGCTTGCCCTTAAGTGTCCTCTGAAATAGCCAAAGGAGCCACTTTGTAATGTTAAACCACAGCAGCAAAATTGAATAAGACGTGTGGCCATACTCAACATGGACCTGTGCTGGTTCAAGAAGGCTGCTCACCACCAACCCAAGGGTCATTAGGGATGGGCAATAAATGCTGGCTTTGCGAGCAACCCTCTCATTCCGAGAATGAATAATTCAAAAAATAATTGGCCGCGTTTGTTCTGCAATTTTCCAGCAGCTTGTTGGGTTTTTGATATCTTTCTGCAGAAATTATTATTAGATGACAGTAATAATAATAATTTGTCTGTCCCAAAGGTGGACCTGATGAGGAGGGAGTGACGTTGGCTCTTTGCTCCAGTGGAAGAGGCAGTGCAAAAGCAGAACTGTATCAGACACTGAACGAGACGAAGAAGGGAGAACTGGGCCACCTTGCGGTTGCAGTTGTCAACAAGACTATGCAGAGTGTGCTGAGGGTAACAGCGCAAGGCTGTGGCCACCTCATTACCAGGACAGAGGTACTTTTATCCATTGATAGCCAATGTGTAATTGCTTGCTGTGACCCCATTTTAATGCCTCAGGTCAGGTGTGACCCCAGCGCAAGACAGTCTGGATGGTGTGGGAGCTGTTCAGTAATGGCGAGGAGGTGGGAGGCTCCTGTTGTTGTGTGTGGGTGCGAGGGGATAGGAGGAGGACATTGAGCATGAGGGGAGCTGATGAGAAGTTAGGTTTCTCCAAATAAAAACAGACACCTTCAATAGGAAGGCTGTTCTTAAACTAGAGAGGGTGCAGAAAAGATTTATAAGGATGTTGCTAGGGCTGGAGGGTTTGAGTTACAGGGAGAGGCTGGATAGGCTGGGGCTATTTTCCCTGGAGCATCGGAGGCTGAGGGGTGACCTTGTCGAGGTTTACAAAATCATGAGGGATATGGATAGGGTGAATAGCCAATGTCTTTTTCTTAGAATGAGTGAGTCTAAAACTAGGGGGCATAGGTTTTTAAGGTGAGAGGGGAAAGATATAAAAAGGACCTGAGGGGTAACCTTTACACTTGGGAGTGATACGTGTGTGGAATGAGCTGCCAGAGGAAGTGGTGGGGGCTGTTACAATTACAACATTTAAAAGGCATCTGGATGGATACATGAATAGGAAGGCTTTAGAGGGATATGGGCCAAATTCTGGCAAATGGGACTAGGTCAAATTGTGATAACTGGTCGGTGTGGACAAGTTGATTTGAAGGGTCTGTTTCCATGCTGTATGACTCTATGACAGTATTCAGGGGATTTTTTTTTGCATAGCAATTGACCATCAGAGGGCTGTCCATTAGATTGTATCCACCGAGAAAACAAATGACAGCATTTTAAGGTCCCTTTGCAGCTGTCAGAAATTAGCCCGAGCTCCATGATAAATGGTTCCACCTCAAACATTGTGTTCCCAAATTCTATCTCATGTCCCCGCCCCCTCCCCCCAACCCCACTGGGGGTTCGGGAAGCTTTGTGTAAACAGCTTAAAATTTTCCAAAAGGTTTATCAAGATGAAAGCAGGGATAAGGGAGTTTTAGCTGTGTGAGAGATTGTGGACACTGGTGTTGTTCTCCTTGTGGAAGTGAGATAAAGACCAGTTCCAGATACTGGAATTGAAAATAAATGCAGGGTTTTGAGAGACCAAGTGGGTCAATTTTAAACGTCACAATTTAAAATAATTTGGTGAGAAATTCAGGAGAAATCTGTGAAATGTTGAATGAGGCCTCTTTTGACGTGGAGGTCAACCAAATCTCAGTGAGATGAGATTCTCAGTGAGCAACGAGATGATTATTAATAGGGATTATCACTCACTATCATCCTCAGTACTACAGAATCTCACCCCCTGCTCTCCCACCCACTGGATAGAAACTAGATGGTGACAATTTAGAATGGCTCCCTGGTGTTCCCAGCTGATTGTTTGCTCCTCTGGACCACTATCTTGGACACTGGACACCAATACCTTAGGTCACACTCCATAGGCAGAGACGCCCAAACCCTTCCTCCAAGGGGTGGCATCTGACCTGCACCAGTCTCACTGCATCATCATGGCTCATCTCCAATCCACCTACATTACTGCAGGTTTGGTACTACAGTGCTGCATTTTGTGGAATCGGTACTGATGGGATGCCCAGGGAGAAAGGGGACATTGAAGTCAGGAGGGATGGGACCTGATAACCAGGCTGAGCCTGGCCTACCACATCTTCTATGACAACTCGATTCTTAAATGGGACCTCTAAATGGAGAATGTCTGTGACCACACCAGGGGTGGATGGCATCTTTGTTTGTTTTCTGTCCCAACGCAGAGTCTCCACCACTGTGTGACAGGATACCCTTCAAAGGGAATTATTCAGGTACTTACACAGTACAGGGTAAAAACATCTGTAATGCTAGCGTCCTGCATGTGAAATGCATGCAGTGTCCAACCATGTGGGATACAAATCGTTGTCACAAGCATTGATCATAGAATCACAGAGTCCCTGCAGTGTGGAAGCATTTGGCCCATTAAATCCACACTGACCTTCCGAAGAGTGTCCTACCCTATCCCTGTAACCCTGCATTTCCTGTGGCTAACCTACCTAGCCTGCACATCCCTGGACACTATGGGAAATTTAACATGGCCAATCCACCTAACCCTGCCCATTTTTGGACCATATCATTAATCATTGCAGATTGAGGCGAGTTTAATGCCATCGTGTGAGAAAACTCGGCAGGTGTCTCAGAGAGAAACCCTCAGTGAAACTCGATGAAAATGACATTTAGAACATAGGACAGTACAGCATAGGAATAGGCCCTTTGGCCCACCATGTAAGTGCTGACCATGATGTCGTTCTAAACCAAAGTCATCTGCCTGCACATGGCCTGTATTCGCTGCCTGTCATGTGTCTGTGTAAATGCCTCTTAAACATTGCTATCATAACTGATTCTAACACCTCCCCTGGCAGCGCATTCCAGACACTTACCATGTTCTGTGTAAAAAATACTTGTCTTGCACATCTCCTTTAAACTTTCACCCACTCATCTTAAACCTATGCCCCCTAGTATTTGATATTGCCACCTGGGAAATAAACTCCAACCATCCACCCTATCCATGCCTCTTATAAAATTACATACTTCTACCAGATCATCCCTCAGCCTCTGACGCTCTAGTGCCCATTCTCTAGTCTGTGCATTCTTTCATTATAACTAATGCATTCCAATCCAGTCAAGATATAGAAAGATTCAGCCCAATGATTCTATGAAAGTGACTAATTGATTATATGTTATAATGAACTCTTATTAAAATATTGACATATGGAAACTCTCAGGGACTGCTAGATATGTCAGTGTAGCTCAGCTGGTAATACTCTTATGATGCAACTAGTGTTTGCAGATTCACAGCCTCTCCGGGGTTTGAACATATAGAGTTAGATTTTCATTTCTGCATGAGTAACATGAGCCAAGATTACTGAGCAAGTTGCTTTTAGAAGCAACTCTGGGATTTCGTCCAACTTTTTTAAAGATTGAGGGCTTCTAGCCCTCAACCTACAAATCCTCTCAGCCCCTCCTCGCTTCCTGTGACCCATCCGGGCCAAACCTTGACCCATCAACCCCAATGGTCCTTCAAACCAAACCATGCCTCTCGCTTATACCCAGGGCCCCTTACAGCCCCTGTACTAACTGTGATAACTCAGGAAGCCTGAATGGAAAGGAATATAATTTCTAGTTGAACACATCCTAAGTCTGCTTTATTATTTCCAATCAACCTGTTCAGAGATGTTTTGACGCACCTCTGGAGTAGGTAGATCTTGAACCTGGGCCTCCTGGCTTGGAGGCGGAGACACTAACATTGTGCCACGGGTCCACTGTCTGCTCTACTTTTTTTTATATCCAGAAGTGCTCCTGTACATAACTGAACAATTCTTTTACCCCATCACCAAAATCACCCATGGTATTTTTTCCTCTGTTAACCACCACCAGGAAATCACCCATGTTTCTAATTTAATAACTAACGTACAAAGATATCAAGGGCAACACCAAGGTTATGGAGAGTGGGAAGGGGCTAAATCAAAACAGAGTCGGAAGAAAGATGAAGCACTGTATTCCTTGTAGTACCCACCTCTCTCTAAAGACATCAAGCGTTTGTGTTGGATTATTTGGATTGAATACATGGGTGTTTTTCCTAGTGGTATTTATTAATTTTAAAAAAACTGGAAATGAAGCAGAACCACTGCCCATAATACACATTGCATGTAAATTTCTTGGCTACACGAGTGATTTACTGGTGGTGACATGAGTCATGGAATTTTATAGCACGGAAACAGACCCTTTGGACCAATTTATTTGCACCGACCAGAGATCCTAAACTGATCTAGTCTCATTTGCCAACATTTGGCCCATATCCCTCTAAACCCTTCCTATTCATATACCCATCCAGATGCCTTTTAAATATTGTAATTGTACCAGCCTCCACCACTTCCTCTGGCAGCTCATTCCATACACGCACCACCCTCTGCATGAAAACGTTGGCCCTCAGGTCCCTTTTAAATCTTTCCCCTCTCACCTTAAACCTATGCCCTCTAGTTTTGGACTCCCCTAATCTGGGAAAAAGACCTTGGTTATTCATCCTATCCATGCCCCTCATGATATTATAGACCTCTACCAGGTCATCCCTCAGCCTCTGATGCTCCATGGAAAAAAGCCCCAACCTATTCAGCCTCTCCCTGTAGCTCAAACTCTCCAATCCCAGCAACATCCTTGTAAATCTTTTATGCACCCTCTCAAACTTAACAATAACTTCCCTTTAGCAGGAAGATCAGAATTGAATGCAGTATTCTAAAAGTGGCCTCACCAATGTCCTGTACAGCCATAACATGACTACCCAACTCCTAAAATCAATGCACTGACCAATGAAGGTAAGCACACCAAATGCCTTCTTCACTACTCCACTTTCAAGCAACTATGCACTCGCACCCCTACGTCTCTTTGTTCGGTAACACTCCCCATGGTCCTACCATTAACTGTGTAAGTCCTCCCCTGGTTTGCCTTTCCAAAATGCAACACCACACATATATCTAAATGAAACTCCATCTGCCACTCCTCAGTCCATTGGCCCATCTGATCAAGATCCCGTTGCAATCTGAGATAACCTTCTTCACTGTCCACTACACCACCATTTTTGGTGTCATTTACAAACTTACAAACCATCTCTCCTACATTCACATCCAAATCATTTATACAAATGATGGAAAGCAGTGGACCCAGCACCAATCCTTGCAGCACACCACTGGTCACAGATTTCCAGTCAAAACAACAACCCTCTACCACCACTCTCTGTTATCTTCAAGCCAGTTTTGTACCCGGTTGGCTAGTTCTCTCTGCATGCCATGTGCTGTAACCTTGCTAACCAGTCTACCATGTGGAAACTTGTCAAACACCTTGCTGAAGTCCATATAGACAATGTCTACCGCTCTGCCTTCATCAATCTTCTTTTGCTCTTCAAACAAACTCAATCAAGTGAGACACGATTTCCCATGCACAAAACTATGTTGGCTATCCCTAATCAATCCTTGCCTTTCCAAGTCCTTGCAAATCCTGTCCTCAGAATCTCCTCCAACAACTTATCCACCACTAACATCAGGCTCACTGGTCTATAATTCCCTGGCTTTTCCTCACAACTTTTCTTAAATAATGGCACCACATTAGCCACCCTTCCAGTCAACCTCACCCTTGGCTGTCGATGATGCAAATATCTCAGCAAGAGGCCCAGAAATCTCTTCCCTAACTTCCCCATGAAGTTCTGGGATACACCTGATCAGATCCTGGGGATTTATCTACCTTTATATGCTTTAAAACTTCCAGTATCTCCTCTTCTGTAACATGGACACTTTTCAAGAGATCACCATTTATTTCCCCATGTTCCCTAGCTTCCATGTTCTTCTCCGCACTAAATATTGTCGCAAAATTTTTGTGTAGTATCTCACCCACCTCCTGTGGTTGCACACATAAACGGCCCCATTGATCTTTAAGGGGCCCTATTCTCTCCCTAGTTACTCTTTTGCCTTAAATATATTTATAGAATCTCACATTGTACGCACTTAACAAACTCCGCCCCCATCCAAGCCCTTAACACTATGACAGTCCTAATATATGTTTAGAAAGTTAAAATTCATTACCATTACAGCCATATTGTTGTTATGGATATATGAGATCTCCTTACGCATTTGCTTCTCAATTTCCCGCTGACTGGGCGGGGGAGCTGCTATTATACAATCTCAGCAAGATGACCATCCCTTTCTTAATTTTCAGTTCCACCCATACAACTTCACTGGACATTCTCCCAGGAATATCCTCCCTAATTACAATCATTATGTTATTCTTAACCAAAAACGTCATTCCCTCTCCTCTCCTGGCCCAACTTTCTATCCTTCCTATAGCATCTATAGCCCAGAACACTAAGCTGCCAGTCCTGTCCATCCCTGAGCCACATTTCTGGAATAGTTATGATATTCCAGTCCTATGTTCCCAACCATGTCCTGAGTTCACTGCCTTACTTCTCAGACTTCTTGCATTGAAATAAATGCAGTTTAATTTATCAGTCCTACCTCATTCTCTGCCATGCTCTTGCCTGCCTTAACTATTTAACTTGCTCCCTTTATCTACTGTGCCAGCCTCAGACTTATCTCTTTTCTTACTATCTCTTTGGGATCCCCCACGCCCCACTTGCTAGTTTAAAGCCTCCCGAGTAGCACTAGCAAATCTCCCCATTAGGATATTCGACCTCTTCTGATTCAGGGGCAACCCGTCCTCCTTATACAGGTCACATCTACCCCAGAAGAGATCCCAATGATCCAAAAATGTGAATCCTTGCCCCTTACACCAGCTCCTCAGCCACGCATTGATCTGCTGTATGTTTCTATTTCAACTCTCACTAGCATGTGGCACCGTGAGTAATCCAGATATTACTACCCTCAAGGACCTACATTTTAACCTCCTGCCTAATTTTCTATGTTCCCTCTGCAGAACCTCATCCCTTTCTCCATCTATGTCATTTGCACCAACGTGCACAGTAACCTTCTGCTGGTCACTGTCCCCTTTCAGAATGTTCTGTACCTGCTCCTGATTAAAAACAGTTGGTTGTGTGTGATAACATTTACAAATATAAAAGCGAAAAGAAGAAAAAAACACAGCAGACTCACAGGATCCTGTCTTGCAGTTGTAGTGTCCTTAACTGCGGAGCAGGTAGGACTTGAACATGGGCCTCCTGGTCCATAGGTATGTAAGACATCTCTGAACAGGTTTATTTCTATAATGCAACCCCACAGGATCTTGTGGTGTGGAGGTAGTGTCACTGCCTTTGGACCAGGAGGCTCAGTTCAAGTGCCATCCACTCCAGAGATAGGTCATAACATCTCTGAACAACTTGATTACCCAAGTGTATGAAGCAGACCCAGATGGTGGTTAGTAGTTAAAAATAAAAACAAAAATGTCACAGTGATTTGCTGATGGGAGAAAAAGACAATGCAGTTGTGTGTAAGACCTCTTTTGGATATTGAAAAATCCATTGAGGGAAAAGTGAAGGAAAGGTAGGAAGAGAGGGAAGGGGCTAAATCAAAATGGAGTTGGGGTTGGGGGTCTGTGTTATTTTTGACCTATTATCTAATCAACCTGTTCAGAGATATTATGACACAGCTCTAGAACAGGTGGGATTTGAACCCATACCTCCCGGACTAGGGGTAGGGGTACTCCCACTGCATTACAAGAGGGCTCTATCATGGGACGCCTCACAAATTTGTGTGTCATCCTTGCGCAGGGGCCATGCTAACCTTCTCAGTATTGTTCCAATTCTGGATATGTGTTGCTGAAGTAAGCACAAACAGAAAGGTACATGCTTTTTTGGGCAGGCCATTGCCTGTTACCAAGGAAACGCATTCTCATTGAGTTTAGTGATTCCCCAAAGGCCATTGAGGTTATCATTCTAACTCATGCAACCCCAACCATAACCTTTTACCCCTACATCCTCCATGCCACCAAAGTGAGTATTCACCAAGGGAAGATCACAGAAGCCATGCATAGATTTCCAAATGTCTACTGTAGAGTTCACTCATTGAAAAAAAACGTCTCCATAATGAAACTCTATTCAGTACAGTTGAATACATCAAGTGCTTAACTCCTGATAAAGCCAAGCCTTTGTGTTCATAAACCCACATCAGAAACAGTTAATCCTTTAATAACTTCTTAGAGCTGTCAATCCATCTGCCTCCCAATGTGGTGATAATAGGTTGTGGAAAGCAGCCGAACACAAATACATACAGTTGTTTTTCATTTTATAAAGGCCAGGGGATATAAAGAATTTGGTTCTGTTGTTCGAAATGGAACCAGGATTTATGGATCCAAGTCCCATCTGCTGCCTTCAAGGTCTGTGGAATCTGCATTAGCACATAGGTAATGCCCATATTTCAGTGCAAATTGAGGTTGCATTATTAGAAATTTTGTCTTTTGGAGGCAATGTTAAAATAGGGCCTTCATCTCCCTGTTATGGGAACTATAAAATTCCCAAGGCATTATCTAATGGAAAGAATTTTTCTCCTGCTGAGGTCAAGCTTTATCCCTCAAACATCCCAAAAACTGGTAAGCCAGTCACTTACCTGACCAACACAAAATACTGGAAGTATTCAACAGGCTTAGCAACATGTGTGGAGAGAGAATCAGCGCTAACATTTCAGATTGAGGAACCTTCATCAGAACCTGCAAAGCATTAACTCTGTTTCTCTGCAGCTGCTGCATCATACCTGCCTCAGAAGCAAAAATCTGGCCTCTAGCCTCAACATCAGTCACCAACTCTGGCAGGATGTTCCACAATCTCTCATTGTGCAAAAAAATGTTTCTCCTGCACTTTGCCTTAAATCTCATATTTAATTTTCAATCCGTAAACTCTTAGACCTCATTATCAGTCTGTTGCTATTGAAACTGTCAGTCTATCAAATCAGATCAAATCCTTTCCTACAAAAGTGGCCCAATCATTTCATGTATTTATTTTGCATTAGCATTTTTGCATAGCAGGGACATCCGAGTGAACCTGCACTGTAACCTCTATATTGTTTTCCAAAATTCCATCGGTACCACAAATGTATGGTTTACCCATAGAATCGTAGGATCCCTACGGTGCAGAAGCAGGCCATTTGACCCTTTGAAAAGCATCCCATCCAGACAGCTCTTGCTGCTTAGACTGCTACTTATGAAACTGAATCCACAAGTCCATGTCCTCTTCTCCATCACCCAGTCTTCTCTCATGTAAGGTGTTAATCAAAACGTGTCACCTCAAACTGACGGTGGGCCAACTATTTTACCAAGATATTCATAGAATCATTCATAGAATCCCTACAGTATGGAAATAGGTCCTTCGACCCAACAAGTCCACACCGACCCTCAGAGCATACCACCAAGACCCATAGCCCGAGAACCCACCTATTCTACACATTACAGGCAATTTAGCATGGCCAATCCACCTAGCCTGCACGTCTTTGGACTGTCGGAGGAAACCAGACCACACGGAGGAAACCTGTGCAGACACAGGGAGAATGTGCAAACTCCACACAGACAGTCACCTGAGGCTGGAATCGAACCTGGGTCCCTGGCGCTGTGAGGCAGCAGTCCTGATCACTGAACCACTATGCCGCCCAATGCTTTTTGCAACCTGCATGTCAAACAGTATTTGAATAGCTGTCATTATTTGAGTTGCAATGGTGAACCTTGACAGCCAGAAAGGTTGGGTGTGTTACATTTTGGGCTTATATAGAAACAGAAAATCAGAATAGTTAGTAATAATTACATACATCTGAATTATTCCAGTAAACTGAGGTTAGCCCATTGAATAAAGAAACTAGCAGTAGCTCTATGCACTGTTGCAATTGTTGTTTGCAGCATTGCATCGCTAAATATTGTACAGAGAGTTAATTTTCCAGGAATGAATGGAATATAGTTGGTAGACAAAAAGTGTCTTCCAATACTGAGAGGTGGAGGAGTGCAGGGATGTGTGTGCTTTTTTGATAGATGCTGTCTTTAGTTAGATTCTCAACTCCAACTTGATGACTGTCATAATTTCAGATTCTCCCTCGGATAAGGGGAGATTTTATGTCACTGATGAGCCTCTGAGGAATTTGAAGTTTTTGAAGTTTCTCTATTCAGTCCATATTAGATGGAATTCTATCCTCATCTATTGTTTCTTTTCACTCTAGGCCAAGTTTTCAGAAATAATTTTGCAGTTTAAGAACCACTTGCTGAAAAAGTTCAAAGATTTTGATCTACGTGTTTGGAAATTCCGGAAAAATGTGAGTATGGCACACATCAAGTTTTAGAATTAGCAGGTTTCTTTCACTAGTGTTGTGAAAGGTTATAATCTAGGAGTATAAAAACGGAAAAACCCGCTCGAGCCTGTTCCAACCTAATGTTCGAGGAAATCATAAATGATCTGTGACCTCATTTCATCAACTATCCACCATTGCCTCATGTACTTTAAGAGTTTGGATAATAATCAGTATAGTATATAGAATCATAATATCCCCACAGTGTTGAAGCAAGCCATTCAGCCCAGTGAGTCCACACTGACCCTCCGAAGAACATCCTACCCTATCCCTGTAGCTGTGCACTTCCCATGGTTAACCCACTTAGTCTGCACATCCCCAGGTACTACAGGGCAATTTAGCATGACCAATCAACCCAGCCTGCACATCTTTGGACTGCACCTCATATAGTACCGTATAGTATTATAATGTAATCTATTATCTATCTCTCTCAGATTTAAAATTTACTATTGATCAAGCACCAATTGCCATTTATGAAAGAGAGTTCCTTCTTCTACTACCATGTATATGTAGAAGTGTTTCTTAATTTCATTCTGGAATGATCTGACTCTACATTTTAAGCTATGAGCCCTGGTCCTAGATTCCCCAGCTAGCAGAAACAGTTTCCAATAATCTAGTCTATCAATTCCTGTTACTACCTTGAAAACTTCAATCAAGTCACTCTTGATGTTTTTAAATCCCAGGGGATACAACATGTGTAATTTGCTTCATCACTTCACTCTTGGACTCCAGCTCATCATTGTGATCAATCTCCCTCCAAGACCAATATATCTTTCCTGTGGTGTGATGCCCATAGCTGCTCACAGTATTCCATGATGTGGAGGTACTGGTATTGGACTGGGGTGGACAAGGTTATAAATCACACGACACCAGATTATAGTCTAACTGGTTTATTTGAAAACACAAGCTTTCGGAGCCTTCCTCCTCCTTCAGTGGTTACAGCGAGGCTTCGAAAGCTTGCGTTTTCAAATAAACATGTTGGACTGTAACCTGGTGTCGTGTGATTTCTGACACAGTATTCCAGATACGATCCAACCAGGGTTTCCTAATACTTGGGCATTACTGCTACCCTTTGTCCAATACATAAAGCCAACATTCAGTGAGCCCTGTAGAGTATTGTCTGCGCCTAACAATGACATTTTAATAAGCAATGGATCTGGAACTCCCTGTTTCTAGCTTTTCCTCAATTACAAAGTAAAGTTCTGAAGACAGGAATGTCTAAGGTTGTTATTCATATGGGCTTCCAGAAGGCCTTCAATAAAATCTGTAAAATTTGCCTCTCTTATTCTGTCAGTATATCTTTGTAATCCCAAATTTCCATCTAACTGCTGCCTATCTTTGAATCATTGGCAACTTGGAATTGTTCTCTGCATTCCATCATTTAAGTCATTAATAAACGTAATCAATGTAAAACCTGCAAAGGGGAAGGTCACCAATAGTTACATTCTGCCTTTTAGTGTCTTTGTCCATTGTCCCTATACTCTGTCTCCTGCTGCATAGCCAATTTTCAAACAAGTATTTCCCCTGCTCACCTTTATAGACTCATAGTCATAAAGCATGGAAACAGACACTTCGGTCCAACCAATCCATGCTAAACATAATCCTAAACTAAACTAGTCCCACCTGCCTACTCCTGGTCCATATCCCTCCAAACCTTTCCTATTCATATACTTATCCAAATGTCTTTTAAATATCGTAATTGTGCCCATATCCACCACTTCCTCAGGAAGTTCATTCCACACACGAACCACCCTCTGTGAAAGAGATTTGCCCCTCATGTCTTTTTTAAAGTTCTCTCCATTAAAAGTGTGACCCCTAGACTTAAACTTCCCCTTCCTAGGGAAAAGGTACCTACTACTAACCCTGTCTAGTTTCTGATAACAGAGTTTATTGAATGCCTTCTGGAAGCCCATATGAATAACATCCATAGACATTCCCGTCTCCAGTACTTTACTCACCTTGTAAAGAAATTCAGGCATGACCTAATCTTTACAAATCAACATTGGCTCTGTCTGATCATCCAAAAATATTCAAGGTGTTTAAACATTCTGTCCTTAATTATAATGTTCAGTAATTCCACAACATTGGGGGTGAATTTTCATCTCTTGAGTTGGAAGGGCAAAAGGGGATGTATGTGAGGCAGACATTTTGAATTTCCCTAATGCTTCCTTACACATGACATTTTCACTGGGAAAACATGGTGCTTCCCTTCGGGTAAGGTAGAGTTCAAATCTCAGCTGGAAATTAAAATATTACGTTTCATGGTATTTTCATGTAGGTGGGTGGGTTCCTGAAGGCTGTGAAAACACCGCAAGGTCAAAGTCAATTCATGAACCTCAGGGAAAACATCCTAAAGAGTCAGGAGCCTATTGACAAGTAATTTGAAAAGGACGAGCCAATACCTCCTCATATTCTTCTTGCCATTTCTGTGGCACCTCACAATCTCATGTCCCTCCACACACTCTTATACCGTCATATCCCCGTGACTCGTCCTCCCCATTCCCACTTCCATTATACCCATGCCTCATAAAGCAGAGATGTAAAACAGGTAACTATAAGTCATTTAGTTTAATATCTCTCATTGGGAAAATGTGAGCATTTATTGTAAAGGACGTGGTCGCAGAGCATTTAGAAACAGAAGCAGAGTCAGCATGGCTTAACAAAAGGGAATCATTGTAGGAGTTCTTTGAGGTCACATGGAAAAAAGGTGGATTGACTAAGAAGATTAGAGGGTAGATTATGGTTGAATAACTTTTTTGAGGAGGTACCTGAAAGGCTAAGGCAACCTGTTGATGTGGGGTACATGAACTTCCAGAAGGCATTTGGTACAGTGCCATGCAACATACCTGTGAACAAAGTTATAGACCGTGGAATAAAAGGGACAGGAGAACATGGATACAAAATTTGCTGAGTGATAGGAAACAGGGAATAATGGCAAATGGATATTTTTCAGGCTGAAGGAAAGTTTTGAGGTTGGTTGGCTCGCCGAGCTGGTTTCTTGTTTCGCCGACATTTCGTTACCATGCTGGGTAACATGCTCAGTGCAGCCTCCGAAGAAGAGTCGGTGTATTTTCCCGCCTGGTTTTTAAACTCTGGGGTCTGTTGAGATGGAATGCCTCACTTCTGGTTTTCCTTCATAGTGGAATGTATATGGGGTCGGGTTCAATGTGTTTATTAATAGCATGCTTCGTGGAGTGCCAGGCTTCTAGGAATTCTCGTGCCTGTCTCTGCCTGGCCTGTGTTTGAAGTGGAGTTTCCCAGAGGTCAGTATTGGGACCCTTTTCCTGATATGTATTCATGATCTGGCTGTTGGTGTGCAAGGGGCTATTCAAAGTTTGCAGGTGACATGATCAGAATAGTTTGGTAGTTATTGTTGACTGGTGCAGACTCAATGGGCCAAGGATCTTTCTCTGCACTGTCGACCTCTTTGAAACTTGGAAGAATTGTAAACTGTGAGTAGGATGGTGCAGAACTCCATAAGGACAGAGACAAATTGGTGGAGTGGGCAGATAGGTGGCAGATATAGTCCAGTGCAGAGATATGTGAGGTGATGAACTTTGGTCCAAAGAGCACTGAAAGACAATATAAAACAGGAGATACAATTCTAAAATGGGTGCAGGAGCAAAGGGACCTGAGTGTGCATGTACACAGATCATTGAAGGTGGCAGGACAGTTGGAGAGAGCAGTAAATACAACATCCTGGGCTTTATTAATGGGGACATAGAGTACAAGAACATGGAGGTGATGTTGAACTTGTACAAGACACTGTTAGATGTCAGCTGGGGTATAGTGTACAGTTCTGGCTGCCCCATTATAGCCAAAATGTGAATGCATTGGAAAGTGTGCAGAATTGATTTACAAAAATGGTTCCTGGGATAAGAAACTTGAGTTATCAGGATAAGTTGAAGAAGTTGGGACTGTTCTCCCTCGAAACAATAAGGCTGAGAAGCAATCTAATAGAGGTTTTAAAATAATGAGCCAGCTGGATAGAGTAGATAGGGAGATCCTGCTCCCCCTCTTTAAGAGAGGAATAAATATAAATTGAAGGAGGAAATGTAATTTGAGAAAAAAAATCATTTTCACACAGCAGGTGTATTCAAGGCTGCGGTAGACAGATTTTTAATCAGTACGGGAATTGAGGGTAATGAGAAAAAGTCAAGAAAGTTGAGTTGAAGATTATTACATCAGCTGTGATCTAATTGAGTGTGGGGCAGGCTCGATTGGCTGAATGGCCCACTTCTCCTATGTCTTATGGTCTCATGGTCTAAGAGGATGATAACAGTCTGCGTCCTCCAATGTTTCCAACTCCAATGACCACATGACTGTAAAGCTTGCTTCATCATGGTTATAATAGTGCTACAAAATCTGAATCTGAAACAAAGAGCAGGTCACAGTGCAAGATGGGAAGTTAGGACGGTGTTTTTCTTTTTGTCCCTAGCTGCTGAAATTATAACGGGCAAGAATTAAAGGAAACTGAGCATTTATTCCCCAGATAATATTGAATCATCAAATGTAAACCTGCCTTTTCAATTCAGGAGGAAACAGTTCCCAATTATATATCCAAATTCTCTGATAATAAACGAGTCAGACACTTGATGGAAGTTGTATCCCTATTCCCATGTCCGTGGGGATGCCATTCAGATCCATTAGATGTCTGTGTTGTTCAGAATGATGCCAACAGTGCAGGTTCAGTCCCTGTGACGATGGTAGTTCGTGGAGGCCTGGCACCTCACCATGCCCCCATGCTCGCAGAGTGATGCCTTACAAACTATATATGGCCAATTAATCCACTCTCCCTCTCTCTTAAAAGATTTATAAGGATGTTACCAAGACTGGAAGGCTTGCGTTATAAGGAGAAGCTGGATAGGCTGGTACTTTTTTCCCTGAAGGAGGAGGCTGAGGGCTGACCTTATAGAGGTTTATGAAGTCATGAGGGGTATAGATAAGGTGAATAGCAAAGTTCTTTACCTCAGGCTAGCGGAGTTCGAAACTAGAGGGATTTAAGGTGAGAGGGAAAAGACTTAAAAAAGGACCTGAGAGGCAACTTTTTCTCACAGAGTGTATGGAATGAGCTGCCAAAGGAATGGCAGACGCAGGTTCAATTACAACATTTAAAAGACATTTGGGTAGGTACACGGAAAGGAAAGATCTAACAGGACATGGGCCAAATGCAGGTGGTTTAGTTTAGGAAACCTGGTTAGCATGGACAAGTTGGGATGAAGAGCCTGTTTCTGTGCTGTATAACTCTATGACACAGACACAGACACATGCACAGACACACGCAAACACACACACACACGTAGTTTTATGTAGCTATGTCTAGAGTGGGACAGTATAACTCAATTAAGGGCAAAATTTGTTCTGTTAAAGTCAAATCTTTGCTACAGTTGAATTAACAAGAAATCCAAATTGTAAGGAAGTATGGTTGCAATAAAGATTCTAATCAGACCACAAATATTTTGTGGGTTTCTGCTGGCATACTTTGAATAGAAGTGCTACATTAATACATAGCAAGAGAAAAAAAATCACATTTTAAAGATATAGACATTGCCACTTTTAAGTTCTGCCAAGTATTTATTAACATCAGTCGATTATACACAAAGAGTGAGTGGCTTTTAGTTCCAGAAGCAATATTTAGTGACAACCTTAAATTGAGGCACAGATGAATTCCAACCATCAACCTGTAACTTTGCTACAAACTAAACATATCTTTATCTGTTCATTTTGTTTGGACCTATGGGGTTTCAATTCTGTGAGATGTTACTGACCTGGCATAGCATTGCTTTGGAGGTTATTATAACTAAATGATCCTCCGAACCAAAGAAAAAATTGCATTGTATATCAAAGCATAGAATCCAGTGTTATAGGAACGTTCTGTCAAAGCCAGAACACTATGTCCCTGAGATGGGGAGGAAATCTATTCAGTTCGCAAACTTTAAAGAATTGCTTCAAAGTTATGTTCAAAAATGATTTGGTAATCTGAGTGAAAATGAATTTTGAGGCGCAAGAACTTGCATCTATATACTGACATATCCCTGTTTTACATTCTATTTCCATTAGACTTGTCTTACTTTCACCTATCGTTCATCATTCAGCATCTCTTTAGCTTGTGTGTAGATTGTGTTCTGCCAAGTCTCTGCTTTCAATAATCAGCTATGTAGACGACCGCCACCCCCCCCACCCCGACCACCGCCCCCATCCACCTGATACAGTTGAATTTTGACGCTATTTGTCTGAGGTCGGGCAAAGCACCTTTTTGCCCCTGCTCCAATACACTCTGAGTGATGGTTTCATTCCTCTCTAGGTTGAAGGTGTTGAGTTCCTACATGAGACATGTGGTTGGTTGCTAAAGGTTTCACAGAAGACAGCGGACGTGATCAGAAATGGCGGTAAACCATTCCGTCAGTTCTGGAAGCTGAGCAGAGCCAGGCAGATGATGCTGCATGCTGTCCCATTGTACCTAGCAAAGCTTGAAGAAATGTTGCAACAGTTACAAGGAGAACTCCAAAGTAAGTGATGAAGAACATGATTGAAAAGATGTTGGATACATCCTTCTGGAGCTTCCACGCTTTTATGTTTTCTTTTTAGCGCAGTTCACCTGAAATTGGCACGGCTGGTGCAAAAGGGCATTGAATTCTAAGTGCCAATTATATTCTGCACAACTCCTGTTTCTTCGCAATCTTCTGTGCCAGAAACTGCTAGGAATAGGTCCCATCCATAAACTGAGCAAGTCCCACTGCCAAAATGAATTAATCATCACTGGAGCCTTGGAAGAGGTTTCCAGAATTAAACAGGTTCATTTGGTTTTATGATCAACTAATAGTTACCCTTTGAAAGCCTTTGAATATTCTTTTTTGTCTAATTTACTATGAAGCTGATGACTGTACAACCATATAACTAACAAATAGTTCTGAATATTTGGTGTGGTATATTTTAGTCATTTAAAATATCAGGTTGGGAATTACACCCCAATTGAAATTGCTTATTCCTTTATGTTTCAGCTGTATTAATTGGACTGTACCAAGTTATCCCTCATAAGGAATATTTATAAATCAAGTTTTTCAAAACTTTATCATTTCAACTGCTGGCTAATCATACTGGTTTATAACAGGGTGTGCACTTGGCGATTATACAATTGAGTTTGAGCAGTATTACAACTGAACTGTTCCTATCCCTTACTTTTGATGTGCCAAATTCTACAAGTACCGTGCACTATCATTGCTAGGTTCTCGGTCTGAAGGCAGGTCTGCCCCCCAGTGTCACAACCTCCAACAGAGTGGGCAAAAGATCCCGAATCTGCCCCCACCAGAATGGGTGTCAGACCCCACATTGTTGCAGCAATCTGGTCCATGCCAGTCAACCAGCCTCTTTCCCCCTCCCCTGCCACCCAAAAGGCATCCAGTTTCGTCTGTCAACATGTGCTGTCACTGGCATATGGCCATAGATGGTGATGGTCAAGGTTCCAATTTGCTTTCCAACTAATGGCTGACCAGGAATCTCTCCTGTTCTTACTGTTTTGATGTTGGTGTGAGTTGGAAGGATTAGTGAGTCGATACTCAACCTGTTTGGCCACGTTATGAATGCACCTTCCTTGACCATCAAGTCCTGGAGGAGCTGTACAACCTGCAGCTACTGGTCCAGAATCATGGACACTGCAAACTGTGCCACAAGATCTCCTGCCTTGGACTTACCCGTCTGTTTATTGCTGTTTACTCAATTACATCCTGATCACAAGGTGAGCTTAGGAAGCCATTCCAAAATTAATTTTAAAAAAAATAGAAATTTGCAAATTGCAGTTTTGAAAAGTATATCATTTGAAACAAAAGGCTTCTATTTTACAGCATGTAATACAGGGATCTAGAGAAGATGAAATCTTTTTAAGAACATCTGATGCTTTTTCTTCAGCTTCCAATCAGTGATCTCACACTTTGCATCAATATCAAATGTCATAATCCACTGTGTGACCAACCTACTGAATATTAGTGGCAATTGTTTCCTCTTAATGACATTCTTCACAACGTCAGATTGTTTAACATCAGCCAGCAAATATGGCTTGATCTCAAAAGTTCATGAAGCAGTCGTGAGGTCACGTGAATTGTGTTCCACTCTGAGTAAACACGGATGGCCAGCTGTTTGCCTTTGTTGCAGATGCAGAACAATCTGAAGATCGTTCACACGTGTGTCCACAACTGTAGTTTTGAACTGATGAGGACATTCCAATTTACAATGTTCAAGACCAACCAGCAATTAAACTCTGAATTACCTGAGAATCTATTTACTCAAGTAATTAGATGAGTGACCTTAAGGGGACAGGAGAATGAGAAGAACACAGCACCGTAACAGCAAATAGTGTAATGCTTCATTCTTATCTGAATTGCATCAAACAAAACCACAAGAGATCATTGTTTAGACTGTAAAATTAAGCTGATTTTATCTATTTCCAGTCCCTATGGTTTGACAATTCTTATCTCACACTCAACAATAACACTTCTCATATTTATGCCACTACTAGAACTGACAGTGGTCTACATTGTCTACAGTTCTGGTCTGCCTGTTATTGGAAGGATATTTTTAAGATGGAGAAGGTTCAGAAAAGATTCACCAGGATGGTGCTGGGAATGGTGGGTTTGAGTTATAAGGAAAGGCTGGAAGACTGGAACTTTTTTCACTGGAGCGTAGGATGTTTACAGGTGACCTTATGAATAGAGTAGAATATCTTTTATTGTCACATGTACTCAAGTACAGACATACAGGAGTACAGAGAAGAGTTTACAATGTTGCGCCTCATGGCGCTATCTTGGGTACAAAGTACACAGGTATAAATCTTAGATACAAAAAAAACGAAGTTGCATTATCTTACAGTGATTCAAAGTATGAGTTGGAAATAAGACATAGTTAAAAGGATAAACATTACAGTCAGATAAACAAATTACAAATAAACATTACATTGCAGTAGGTCAGCGCAGGGACTTCCACACATGGTCTGACCGGCCTCCAAGCCGCTGACCACCTGTGCCAGACCCCAGTCTGACAATCGTCCCTGCTCCATTCTGGACTTCCAGCCCATTCCAGGTTAGGTGGAATGACCATGCTAAATTGCCTTTAGTGTTCAGGGATGTGCTGGGGTGGGTGGGGGATCTTTGGAGGGTCACTGTGGATTTGATGGGCTGAATGGCCTGCTCCCACACTGTAAGGATTCTGTGACTCTACCACTGCACCACAAGACCTCCCTAGAAGCCAGCTCTGTTCTCTTTTACACACCTCTGGATGTATTTTTACCACCATCGTATCAACTGTGCTAGTTCTTTAATTTTTTTTTCTCCATCACCAAATCACCTGTGCCCCTAATTATACAAAGAATTTCAGCTCTGATATACAAAATCCATTGACAGCCACTTACTTCCAATTAACTCCAGATCTGTTCTGTTTGAATCTTAAAGGGACCTGCATTTTTTTAATTCTGACAGGGTGAACCTGAGAACAGGCCACTAAGAGGTCCACTTGCCTCTTAGAAAAAGATTCTTTGGTGCCTGACTCTTCAGTTCTTGATGAAATCCTCTGATATCCTTCCAGATCAAAATTCTTTCCCTACTTCTATGTTGAAGCCAGCTTGTGTGATCGCCAATTATACACTGCATGTGTTCTGTTGAACCCTACAGTGTGAAAACGGCCCATTCGGCCCAACAGGTCCGCACCGACACCCAAAGAGCATCCCCACCCAGACTCTCCCCTCTATCCTATCCCTGTAACCCTGCATTCCCCATGGCTAATCCACCTAACCTACACATCCCTGGACACTACGGGCAATTTAGCATGGCCAATCCACCCTAACCTGCACACCTTTGGACTGTGGGAGGAAACCCACGCAAAATGTACAGACTCCACACAGGCAGTCACCCGAGGGTGGAATCGAACCCGGGACCCTGGCACGGTGAGGCAGTGCTAACCACTGAACCACCGTGCCACCCCATGAAATCATGTAAAATCGGCAAGATGAGAAAATGTAGTCGGCAGGATTTGAACCTGCATGTGCAAACCCCAATGGATTTCCTAATCAATCGCCTTAACCACTGAGCCACGACTACAGTTCTCATTTCATCACTTCTCATTTTGTCCAGAACCTTCTGTGATGATTTCAGGTGCAGTCTCAACAGTCCTGACTATGAATCCAACAATTCCCAAGTAACAATCTCCGGAGACTTTTATTTCCTCCTCACAGTCCTTATGCAAACCTTTTGAAGCCGTGAATCTCTACTTTATGTTCTTCCCATTTCTTCTCTTCATCCAAAACTTGCGAATATAGCACAGGAACCTGCCGTTGTTCTGCTGTTGTGGTTGAAGGTGATATCGTCAACTCTTCGTCAAAGGTGGAGTTTCACCATTTGACAGCCATTGCTTGTTGGGTCTTTTCTTCACCAAAAGGCATTATAAAAGCAATACTATAAAGCTAATCTATGTCCAGCCAAGTAGCAGTGGTATCCTCTTGATATGCACCCACTTGTCTTCATCTTGATGCTGCAGCTCAATGATAGAATCCTTAAGTGCTATGAGTTTTGGGATACTGTTACTGATCTGATTTTTTTTTTCTCCATTTCAACTGCTGGAAGTACAATTCCAGACCAACTTTCATAGAGTCATAACAATACGGAAACAGACCCTTTGGTCCAACCAGTCCACGCCATGTTCCAAAGCTAAACTAGTTCCACTTGCCTGCATTTGGCCCATATCCCTCCAAAGCTTTCCTATTCATGTAGCTGTGCAAATGTCTTTTAAATGTCATAACTGTACCTGCATCCGCCACTTCATCTGGCAGTTCATTCCACTCATGAACCACTCAGTGTGGGGTAAAAAGAGGTTGCCCTTCATGTCCTTTTTAAATTTTTATTCTCTCACTTTAAAAATATGCCCCCCTAGTTTTATGCCTCCACCACTTCCAACCAGCAGCTCAGGGGAACTGTGAGATCTCCACAGTGCTTGAACCTGTGAATGACACATTTAATTGTGAGATGGTGGAGGTGAAAATACATTCACTCTTAAAGGGAATACTTTTAATGTCTGAGTTAATAAAGCTAAGAAAATAGTTGAAGCGAGATGTAAAGATTGGACTTAATTATTACATAGCTGGGTCTCTGGGGTAAACTGCGTTGTCTCAGTGACCTCCGGAGTAATCTGTGAGTGTTCATAGAATCCCTACAGTGTGGAAACAGGCCCTTCGGCCCAACAAGTCCACACCGGCCCTCAGATCATCCCACCCAGACACATCCCCCCAATCTACACATCCCCCTAATCTACACATCCCTGAACACTATGGGTAATTTAGCATGGCCAATCCACCTAGCCTGCACATCCTTGGACTGTGGGAGGAAACCAGAGCACCCGGAGGAAACCCACGCAGACACAGGGAGAATGTGCAAACTCCACACAGACAGTCGCCTGAGGGTGGAATCGAACCCGTGTCTTTGGTGCTGTGAGGCAGCAGTACCAACCATGAAAGAAGAAGACTGAGCTCAGATCTTGCACACTTACTTACATGCATGGAGCTCACCCTGCTTGTCTTAGCAATTTGTACAAGGGTTTGGCTGTTCAGATGCATCCATTTTCCAAACCAACTTTATCCTGTCTCCTTCTAGATATAAGTGTCATGAATAATAAATATTATTTATTAGTAACCCAGAACTGTGGTCAGAGGTTGTATGAAGACCCACATAAAGGAATTAAAACCTATGCCCCTGGTTATTGGCCTCACTGTTAAGGAAAAGGTTCTTCCTATCCATTTTAACTACCACTCTACCCTCTCATAACTATATCCAAGTTAATTAAACCTACCCTCAGTCTTCACTATTCCAAAAAAAAAACCAGTCTGTGCAATATTGCTCATAATCAAAGTTCTGCATTCCTGGCGACAATTTCTTATTTTCCACCTCCTCTCCATCCTCACCTGATTTTCTAGAGATCACCTCATGATCAGCAAATGTCACCCGGACGCAACAAGAGGGATATCTGCTCCCATTTTCTTTGCTGCAACTGAGTAATCAGCTCTCTTACAACCTGTCTAACTGAAGAACATTCACGGTCACAACCCCGACCAGTTCAATCCCTGCCTCCCCGGGAGCAAGAACGTGAGAGATCTGATAACCTGTGTATTTATTTAACGCAAAGTTTTGTGCCTTTTTGTTCATCCTTCATACTCAACTTTCACCTCATCACATTTTGTTCCTGAATCAAAGCAACGTTTGAAAAAAAAAGAGGGGATAATACACCTCCTTTGAGCTGAACTTAAATAAACAAATCATTGCAACTGTTTGAGTATCATTATGTGGCTTGCCCAGGTTATACTATTTTCACAATGGGAGTGATGGAATAGCAGTCCATATCTATAATTACCCACTTCACCTCTACTGATGGGTGAGTAAAATTGCAGAGTGATAAGTGTTCATAGGTTTTCCAAAAGACTTGAGGTTATGTGACTTTGTTGGGAAAGTCCCTCCTTCTGATCTAGGAGATCTGGGTTCAAACCTCACTCCAGCCATTGTGGACATGAACAGGAGCATTCACAATGCAAGTGAAGTGGTTGATAGACCTTGCAACCCTTGCTGAAAGGGAAATAAATGTGTGCGAAGGTATGAAGTAAATAATCATACCTGTGGGGATAACATGAAAAGGGAAGCAGTTGGCAGGAGCAACATGACTCTAACATTTCACATTCATGGATAGACCAATTTGATTTTTAGAACCAGTGGCCACATTAAAGGGTGCTTACTACGATGTAACACTGAAGGAACTAGATCAAGAATGGAAACAGAAGACTGAGGAGTATCTGGAAAAGATTCAATCTTTTATACCCACCATTGTTCAGGATTCATGGCTGCTACATTCAGTGCCGAAAGTGCTCCATATTACCAAGCAAGTATTTGATTTGGTAAGTGTGTTAAATCTACAAAGAAAGATACCATGCCATTAATTTTGATTTTACAATCTAATTTACCATTCAGAAAAAGAAACCTCGTTTCTCATCTGCAGTTTACGTTTTTAGTTATTTATAAGTTCATTTTAATCCCATGAATCAAGAATAATTTTCTTTATTTGTTCATGGGATGTGGGCGTCGCTGCTTGGCCCAGTATTTGTTGTCCATCCCAATTTGTCCTGGAGAAGATGACAGTGAGCTGCCTTGTTGAACCACCACAGTCCACATGCTGTAGAGCAACCTGCAGTGCTGTTGAGTCAGGTGTTCCAGAGATGTGATCCATCAACACTGAAGGAACGACGATATATTTCCAAATCAGGATGGTATATAGTTCAGAGAGATGGTGATCCCACTTGTCTGCTGCCCTGTCTTTTGAGGTGGTAGAGGTCTCAGATTTGGAAAGTGCTGTCTGAGGACGTCTGGTGAGTTCCTGAAAGATCATCTTGTACATGGTATAGACTGCTCTGAAGATTGTGCAAGAGTTGCCAGTTAGTTGAGATGGCTAGATGGTTAGCAGGCGCTCAGAATAACGTCAGCTGTGTCAGGTTTTGGTTCTAATTCTGGCTGAGGCCGACCTGGCGTCTATCCATTGCTTTGACCTGTGACTAACCCAAGGCACAAGCTGTGCTTTGGCAATGTTCGAATAAAGATGTGGCCTGAATCAGGGAAATAAAATACTCACTTCCCAATTCAGATTTCATAGAATCCCTACAGTGCAGGAGCAGGCCATTCAGCCCATCAAGTCCACACCAACCCTCCAAAGAGCATCCCACCCAGATACATCCCCCTGACCTATCCCTCTAATTCCCATGGCTAATCCACCTAACCTGCACATCTTTGGACTGTGGGAGGAAACCGGAGCACCTGGAGGAAACTCACGCAGACACGGGGAGAATGTGCAAACTCCACACAGACAGTTGCCTGAGGGTGGAATCAAACCCAGGTTCCCAGCGTTGTGAGGCAGCAGTGTTAACTACCGTGCCACTGTTTCTGTTGACTTAAAGATGGAGATGTATAAGCAGTGACTGAACTGATGTTGCACATTTTGCCGATGAATGTTAACCTCACAATTTGTGTTTGGTTGGTTTGCGTAAGTGATTACTTAATCGCAAATTCTGAAGTAAATCTTCTAGCAGCAGAATGTGAGCTTTGTGACTGTTATCCCAGAAATGTAAGTAACAAACTCCAACCAGCAGTGTCACTCAAGAGTCAGTAAAAACATGGTAACTATGGTATCTCTCTGTTTCATTCATTATATTCTTCTGTTCCAATTTTACCAAGGTCTATGTACATCTCATATTTGTCCATTATTTATGAAGAACATTTTCCCCATTTTCAAACAGGCAGTGCAACAAATTGTGATGTGGGCAGAGGCAAGAATCTCCAAAGCCACAAGTAAGATCCATAAGCCACTAGCCAATCTCTACAAATACTCACCTGAGTAAGTATTGAGGTTGTTAGATCATATACATTTCTAATGAGGATTCAATTGTTGCATTTTCTCTATTTTCCAAAGTGTTGTTATATTGGCTGTTGCTGATTGGTAGCTCACAAGCCTCTGTGTCAGATGATTTGATTTGATTTTTTTATTGTCACATGTACCTAGGTGCAGTGAAAAGTTATGTTTTATGTTCGGTACAGGCAGATCATACCATACAAAGTGTATTAGGGTAATAGAACAGAGTGAAGGATACAATGTTAAGGCTACAGAGAAAGTCTGCAAAGACCGAGATTGATCAACATTGAATTTAAAATTTGAGAGGTCCATTCAGCTGTTCTTGAATCTGTTTGTACTTGTATGCAAGCTTTTATATCGTCTGCCTGAGGGAAGAGGATGGAAGAGAGTATAACCGGGCGGGGGGGAGTCTTGTTTAAGATTATGTGTACAAACCCCATTGTAGAGCATGGGGTACGTAACCTAGCCTGGTACTCAATCACAGTACTGAAGCAATGCTGCACTGCTTGAGGTGCTGACTTCTGGAATGAGGTTTTAAACTGAGTGGCCATCTTATAGAATCCCTACAATGTGGAAGCAGGCCATTCAGCCCAGCAAGTCCACACCAAGTCCAAACAGCATCCCACCCAGACCCAGCCCTTCTATCCTATCCCTGTAACCCTCCATTTCCCATGGCCAATCCATCTAACCTGCACATCTTTGGACTGTGGGAGGAAACCAGAGCACCCGGAAGAAACCCACGTAGACACAGGGAGAATGCACAAACTCCACACAGACAGTTGCCTAAGGGTGGAATCGAACCTGGGTCCCTGGTGGTGTGAGGCAACAGTGCTAACCACTGAGCCACCATGCTGACCTTCTCAAAGCCAACTGAGAAGAGCCCAGTGGTGACATTCAAAAAACTGAAAATTTAATAATTTTTTTCCTCTCAGCTATGTTTGTGAGACGTTGTGTGAAACTTGACTGTTAGCTTTGCTTATATTTTCAGGGTGGCTGCACTTTAAATGACAGAATTATTACAGTGCAGAAAGAGGCCATTCAACCCATCATGTCTACACTGGCTCTGCTATCCAAATAACTGTCCAATGCTATCTTGTATTTCACTGACTCTGAAGCACTTTGGGACATTTTTCTTTCATAGACTGTGGGAGGTATTGGTGAGCCCAGCTTCTGTTCCCTGTCCCTGTATTAACTGGTTTGCTAGCTAGGCTGTTTCGGAGAACAGTGAAGAGTCAACCACATTGCAGTGGGTCTGGAGTCACGTGCAGGCCAGACTAGGTAAAGGGCAGCTGATTTCCTTCCCTATGGGTTTTTACAACAATTAATGATCATTGTCATGGTCACCATCATTGAGACTAACTTTATAATCTGGATTTATTCATTGAATTTAAATACCCCACAAGCTGCTGTGTGTGGGGTTCGAACCCATGGTCCAGAGAGCAATAGCTAGATTGCTAATCCAATGACATTTCCACAACACTGCCATCTTCTAAACATATATATGCCAAAAACTGCAAGTCCTTTCTTTTGTACAATAGTGGCAGTCAGCAAGCTGTGAATGTAACCTTTGAGAAGCACATCTTCACACCAATCAATAAATATTTGTTGCCACGTTGCAATCATGTTCAATCAAATAGACTCAAAATATTAGTGATCGCTTCAATTTTTTAGTCACGGATCTATTTTGCAGAGATTGCTCTGTCGTGGTGAATGTGCCGTTGTTGCCAATGGGGAATCAGTTGCTTGACGTGGCTAAGATTACCAACTACCTTGTTGAAACCAAACTGATAAAGACACTGAGGAGTCTGTACAATATAAACCCAGTTGCCGAATATTACAGATTAAAACACAGGATGCTGGACAGCCCCTTTGAACGTAAGTTTTACCACCATTGGCAGTCAGTGGAGTGCCAAATTGGCTCTTCGCGAAAGCACAAAATTGTTCAATTGTGAGTATTTTTGGCCTTTCTTCACTTGAGCTTCGAAGGATGGGGAGATCTAACTGAGGTATTTAAGATGCAAAGAGAAGATTGACAAAGTAGACATAAAGAAGATGTTTCCATATGTAGAACAATCTAGAACATTGTTTTAGGCTAAGGGGTGGAAAATTTAAAACACACAGATGAGGAGAAATGATTTCTCTCAAAGTGCCATGAATCTGTAGAATTCACTGCCCTAGAGTGCAGTGAACACCACGACACTGAATAAATTTTAGGAGGAGATAAAGATATTTTTAATTAGTTAAAGGTTTATGGTGAGTGGGCAGGAAAATGAAATCATACAGCATGGAGACAGATCCTTTGGACCAACTAGTCCATGCCGACCGTATATCCCAATCTGACCTAGTCCCATTTGCTAGCATTTGGCCGATATCCCTCTAAACCCTTCCTATTCATGTATCTATCTGGATGCCTTTTATGAGATCAGTCACGATTATGTTGAATGACAGGGCAGGCATGAGGGGCTAAATAGCCTATTCCTGCTCCTAGTCCTTATGATCTTGTGCTCGGAGTGATGTACATTATTTTTGTGAATCATATAGTTATGGATTATTTACTCAACAATGATGGATTGCCCTGATGTGTCAAATAGAATTCAGCAATGGTTGGGTGCCTGACTCTGCAATTCAGGTAAATATATTCACGTCTTTTAAAAATGTAATCCCTCCTTTTGCTGTTATCACGTAAAGTGGTAACAAAAATAACTGATATTTTCAAAGAAAATACCAAAGACACTAATTCACTGTGGCTTGAAATGTCTCTGGAGGTTTCCTTGACAAAACCTCAGCTGGACTTGTGATAAAACATTTGTAAATGAGTGATGGTGCTCCCTCTCGCTGGAGTAGGACCCTGTACAGGAGTGTATGGGGTACACTATTTTGGATTGAAGTAAGGAGAAATGTCTTCACACAGAGAGTGGTGAGCCTATGGAATTCTCTGCCACATAAGCTGTGAAGACCAAGTCAGCGAATATGTTTAAGAAATAACAATATTCCCAGACACCAAAACAATAAGGGGAGAGAGCAGGAATATGATTTTGAGATAGAGGATCAACTATGATAATGGTGAATGGTGGAGCAGAGTCAATGGGCTTAATGGCCAATTTCTGTTCCTATTCTCTATACAAGCAAAGCCAATTTTGTGAATCAAATGGCTCTCTGGAATGGAAAGTTCCTACCTAGGCCAAGAAACCACCTCTTTCTCCAGATTTAAATGTTTAGACAGTTCTTAGTGAGGTTTTTGCTATTGCTATGGATACTGGTAATGATTTCACATTAGACCTCATGTTTTACATTTTATAGAATCTTAATATTGAAAATTAGCACACCTGGAATCAAAAGGACAGCTGATCCCATATTTTGTGGTTATAGTGAGTATTGATTACATGATGCAGCAAAAGTAAACAAGGACATAAGAACAGGAGCAGGCCACTCAGCCCCTTGAGCCTTCTCTGCCATTTAATACAATCATAGCTGATCTCAACTCTACTTTCCTGCACGCTTTCCATAACCCTTCAACCTGTTACTAATTAAAAATCTGTCTATCTCCTCCTTAAATTTACTCAATATCCTGCATCCGTCATTCTCTGGGGTAATGAATTCCACAGATTCACAGCCCTTTGAGAGAAGTAATTTCTGCTTATATCAGAGATAGTAGGAACTGCAGATGCTGGAGAATCTGAGATAACAAGGTGTAGAGCTGGATGAACACAGCAGGCCCAGCAGCATCAGAGGAGCAGGAAGGCTGACGTTTCGGGCCTAGACCCGTCTTCAGAAAAAGAAGGGTCTTTCTGAAGAAGCGTCTAGGCCCGAAACGTCAGCCTTTCTGCTCCTCTAATTTCTGCTTATCTCTGGTTTAAATCTTCCACCCCTAAAACTATGACCTCTCATTCTCGATTGTCCCACAATGGCAACCATCCTCTCTATGTCTACTTTATCAACCTCCTATTGCATCTTGTATACCTCAATTAGGTCTCTTCCCATTTTCTAAATTCCAGTGAGTATCGGCCTAAATTGCTCAATCTCTTGAAATGCTTGAAAATACTCGACAGCAGGAGGCAATAGCCTTGGATTCGGCTTGTGACGAGGAAATTTAGAGTTGATGCCAGTGAGGATTTCTTCACATAAACAGTAATTAACGTTTGATTAGACGTCAGTGTATTTATTTAGGTGGACATCTGAGAGTAATTCAAGAGGCATGCAATGGACAAATTGCAGACTTTCCAACTGGAGGACTGAAATGAGCTAAAGCAGACTTTATTTGGCCCTCTTCTGTCATCTTTTCCTGTTGATTCTGACAAAAATAATCTCTCTAGCAGGAACAGAAGATCAGTTGTCGCACCATATGGGCATTCACTGTAACACACCACATGTTAGATAATTTATTATGCTGAAATATTTTTTGGGCTAGAATGCTAAACATAACTGGTAAAATCCAGTTCTCACTCGTTTGCAAACCAGCTTTGGCAACAGTATTCGTTGCCTGACCCCAACGGGGAAAGATGTTCTTTGCTTATTTGAAATCTGTTTTTCATTTTCAAAGTAATCTCATTGTAAATATTTATTCACAATACTTTATGAAATCTTAAGACTGCTTCCCTAAATGTTCCATAGACCAAGCCTTACTTATTGGAAGCAAGCACTACGTGACGTTTGATGGGAAGATCTATGATTTTGCCAGCCAGTGTAGTTTTCTTTTAGCCAAAGATTTCCAAAGGAATACCTTCACAATGTTACTGAATCATGAGAGTGATGGCAAGAAGTCTATCCGTGTGGAAATGAATCACACTGTCATTGATATATACCCAGGAATAAAGGTAAAAGCACATACCAGCATTCAAATTCTTTTCCATCACACCCATGCAAATGTATATCAACCTTCTGTTTGGAGTAGGAATCTTTTGGAAAGGATGCGGTGGTTAGCAAATGCCCAGTGGTTGTTTTAATCATTAAGATTCGAGCAGCCCAAGCCTGTCTCAGAACAGCTTTAATAAAACAAAGAACTGCTAATGTCAGAGATTTGAAACAAAGAAAAACCGAAATTGCTAGAGAAAGTCAACAGCATTTGTGAAGAGAAAACAGAGTTAACTTTTCGAGTGTGAATGCAATGTTAAAATGGCCTGAATATTTTAAATCTCAGCTTTCGCCATTGGTAAATATTCAACTTGTTGCCCTGGTGTATTGCTAGGATTGTGGAATGGAACTGCATTGCCAGGGTTACTTAAATCCACAGATGCTGGAAATCTGAAACAAAAACAGAAATTTCTGGACAAGCTCAGCAGGACTGGCAGCATTTGTGAAGAGAAGTCAGAGTTAATGTTTCGAGTCCGGTGAGTACAATTCTGAAGAAAGGTCACTGGACCCAAAACGTTAAATCTGATTTCTCTGCACAAATGCTGCCAGACCTGCTGAGCTTTTCCAGCAATTTTTGTTTTTATTAATTTAAAATGGCAAGTTAAATATATCTCACAGTGGTAATATTTGCAAAATGCATCATTGAAACAGTCATGATGAAATGTCTATAAGTTTAGATTTTGCCTGTCTTACCTTTTAGTACTCACTGGTTATATTCTTCTGTGCATCCTAGTTTTTTTTTAATTAAAAAGGAACTAGAACAATTAGACAAAACAATTGACTAATGAAAATATAATGCAAGTTGTTTTCCATAGGTTGAAGAGAATTGCAAAGTCAGTGAACTGCCCCTGATGAAAAATGGAGTTACAGTCAGTAAGGACCTCAATGAAGTCAAAGTGTCAAATCAAAATGGAGTGACAGTATCATGTGATATACAACATGATGTCTGCAGTCTGACTCTTCCTGGGTGGTACCATGGTCAGTACTAGGAATATTTGTACGTTAAATTATATCTATAGTGTCAGTGTGCTCTGTCCATTTGAAGGGAACTTTATGCTGCTTGAATTATTTGTGGTGCTCTTTTATCAGGTGTGGACATCACTGGCTAGGCCAGCTTTTGCTGCTGATCCCTAATTACCCTTCTGAAGGTAGTGGTGAGCTGCTGCTTTGAATTGACAATAGTCCATGTGGTTGTAGATGCTGTTAGGAAAGGAGTTCCAGGATTTTGACCCAGTGACTCTGAGTGACAAAATATTTCCAAGTTAGGATGGTGAGTGGTTTGGAAGGGAAGTTGCAGGTGGTGGTGTTTTCATGTATCTGCTGCCCTTGACATTCTAGGTGATAATGGTCATGGGTTTGGAAGATGGTGTCTAAGGAGCCTGGTTGAGTCACTATAGTGCAGCATGAAGATGGTATACACTAATGCCACTGCGAGCTGGTGTGAGCAGGATTGAAAGATGATGGATGTTTTGCTAATCAAGCGGGCTGCTTTGTCCTAGACAACAAGGTGCAGGGCTGGATGAACACAGCAGGCCAAGCAGCTTTGTCCTGGATGTTTTCAAGCTTCTTGCGTTGTTAGAGCTGCACTCATCCAGGCAAGTGGGGATTATCCCATCACACTCCTGACTGGTGCCTTGGTAGATGGTGAGCAAGCTTTGATAGAATTTTAAGTACACTGTAACCCGAACTTGTAACCTTTCCAGGCCAGAAATCCCAAATTCGGAGAGACCACTTGTCTACAATTGTTCTGAACAGAGAAGTGGCAAGCTCCCACTGCCCTGAGGGAGAAAAGATCAAAGTGCTCTTTAACCTCAGGAGAAGCTCTTCCAGTGAGTGCTAAGTGGGCCCACAAACTCTTGCACCAACTAGATGCAGCGAGAGGCTAGCACGTGCACCTCAGAGACTGACTGACATTTACAGATTGATGGCAGGTCATGTGGCCGAACTGGGGAGTGAAGTACTAGCTTCAGGTTTTGTTATGTCGCTGGTCCTGTCTGCCTGGTGTACAGGCTCCTTATCTTGGTCTGATGGCTTGCTGCACAGGCTGTGGCAACCAGGTCAAACCTGGAAGTGGGCACAATTACTGTATGCATGGGGAGGAGAAAGAGGGAGAGAGACGGGGCATAATTACTGTCTATGGGGGAGAGGGTAGTACTTACTTTGTGCGGGGAGAGGGAGGAATTACTTTGTGTGAGAGTAATTACTATGTTGGGGAGAGGTGTAATTACTGAGTCTGGGGAGGGTAATAACTATATGGGAGGAGGGTAATTACTGTGTGTTAGAGAGGGGTAATAGCTGTGTGTGAGGGGAGGGTAATAGCTGTATGAGGGGAAGGTCATTAATGTGTGTAGGGTGAAGGGGTAATTAATTTGTGTAGGGTGAGGGGTAATTACAGTGTGTAGGGTGAGGGGGTAATTACTGTGTGTAAGGGTAGTAAGTGTGTGCGAGGGGAGGGTAATTACTGTGTGTAGGATGAGAGGATAATTATTGTGTGTTAAAAGGGGTCACATTAGAAAGTAATTAGGGAAGGTCTGGTGTGGATTACCCAAGAATTTAGGATGGCTGCAAGTGTCTTCAAATCTCTGTATATAAATGCATTGGGACTTACTAAGCCTTAAAGAGCATTTATAAAGGAATGTATCACTTAGCTGCTGATGTGTTTATTCTGGACTCCTGTACATTAGCCTGTACTTGTCTGTTTTGGCATGTTTTCAGCTTGAGGTGCATATTTTTAATCAATTCATACATTTTTGGTTAAGCATTCTAAAATCATTCAGTAATCCAAAAAATTCCAAAATCCAAAAATGCTTTGGTCCCAAGCATTCCAGACTGGAGAGGTTGCTGTCTTTATCTTTCACACCATCCTGTGCCAATTAATTAGTGACAATTTTCCATAACACTGCTATGTCCATATGACACACTTTTAGGTGAAAGTACAAAATGCTAATTTTAATTTCACGTCTATTGCTTATTACTTTTTGCATCTTCTTTTGGTTTTACAATGTCTTTTTAGCAATCCTAAATTTGCTATTATGCTCATTGCAATTATCCTCCTTGTGTGATCCTGTTTTAGAAATTTGTTATCTGAACAGATATTTATTCTTAAAGTTGATAAATTTGGTTTACTTTTTAAATTATATTTTAGCCCTACCCACGTATGTGCATAAATTGTGAATAGATCATGGCAATTCTGAGGTTGCCCAGTGCAATACTATTAGGTTGAATCTTAATTTGAAATAAACAATATCTCTAAATCATACTTTGTGATATTATGATATGAACATAATGCAATTGTATCAAATTTCTCCATATGTTAATTTTACACAGATTAATATCTTCTTTGAAAAAGGGAAATAAAAGAGATTTGGTTAACAATTCATCAAACATTTAAATAGCAACAAAATTCAATGTAATCTCCAAACTACATTAGTCTTTCATTAAAGGATCAATTTTCCCAGTCTGCCTTTCAGAAATGACAGAGGCAGGGGTCGTCTCCAGGCTACAGCGTTGGTGTGGAGCTGCAGTGGGGCAGAGGCTGAGGTAGTGGCAGCTCCTGGAGTTGAGATATATGGGACAGCTGGATACAATTTGCGGCAGTGTCAAAGAGAACATGTCGTCTCTAGAGCCTGGATGTGTACAGTGAATTCTAGGAGGTTGATATAGTTGCTTGATTATATAGCAATCCCAATTGTGCCTGAATTGTACTGAAGCCTGGGCTACACAGTAGCGCGTAATGGACATTTGACTGAAACTTGGCCACTGCTGGGTTAGACTAGTAGATTTTGCATGAGGCTGGCACATGGGTGAGGCACAGACATTGAACTAGAATAGGTGAGGATGGCAAGCGTTCTTCAAGTTAAAAGATGGGACAGATAAACTGTTGGGTTACTTTTTGGAATTATGATTCGATTGTTTTTATGTTATGAATTATACTTTTTGAGCTATGTATTGAAGGTGGTGGCAACCAGCCTTGATAATATGTGATGGATTCCTGTCTGGTTAACTTATAATGGATTTGCTCTGTTTAATGAAATATGTTTAAAGAGAAAATGATGTGACTGTTTCTCTTTGGAATAATTAGATCACTCAGCTGATGAATCGAAGCAAAATTCAATCATAAGGTTTTACAATGATAAGGTCCTGTTTAAGCAACAGAAATTACTGTGTTGTAAGCCAAGGCCATTGAGCAATGTCAAAGTAGAAATAGTCAGTTGAAGATTAAACAAACACTTGGTCCAGGAAATACAAAAATTGGCCATGGTCTCAGCAACTTGACAATCATAATATTGATGGCGCGCTCAATGCAGGACATTTATAATATATGTCCTTGTGCAGATGAAATGGCATCTAAGAAACATTGCGTCATCGGAGCATATGGTTGGTAGCAGTGCTCAAAATCATACAAGAAATGTTGGCTCATAACAGAATAAATGTTCTTTTTATGTTCCAAACATCTGTAGAAAGTTTTATTTTAAAATTGTGGAAAGCTAAATGAGATAACATCCATGAATGGACCTGGGCCTCGTGATGTGAGATTAACTCACACCCATTAATTTCCATTCATGTTTATTCATATCAGCATCCAGCCAATACTAACAGTCCTGTGGATTGATAGAACATATGAACAGGGAGTAGCTCGCTCCGTTTAAGGCTAGTCTGCCCTGCTTAAAGGAGGAATGCATCAGAGTAGGGGTTGGCAGTGACACATGGACTGATTGTCAGCTGGGCAAATACTGAGGAATGGCACAGCATTGGGGAACCTGCACGCTCCCATGGTTGTGCAATTATTGTATTGTATGATATGGGAGAATGCAGGCTCCCAGGTTTCTAGGCATGGCGTTAGCAGAGGAAAGGAGGAGAGATGCTTCCTATCAGCAGGAGGTCATCCAGACATGCACTCAGACAAATGTGCAGGTCAAGTGGACAATGAGGTCAAAATAGTATATATGGCCTTCCAAAAGGTGATTGATAAAGTGCCACATCATCGGCTTTCCAGCACAGTTGAAGTCCATGCAATGAAATGGATGGTGGCAGCGTGGATACTAAGCAGAGTGAGTGCCAGGAAACAGCAGCATTTCCTAAGAGATAGTAAGAACTGCAGATGCTGGAGTCAGAGAAAACACAGTGTGGAGCTGGAGGAACACAGCGGGCCAGGCAGCATCAGAGGAGCAGGAAAGTTGATGTTTCAGGTCGGGATCCTTCATCAGAAATGGAGAGGGGGAAGGGAGGAGGGAAATAAATAGAGAGGAGGGGTGGGTAGGTGGGATGTTTGTCATGAAGAGAGCGCCCTCTACCTCCTCCAAAACTTCCAATTCCCAGGCCCCCAACACCTCATCTTCACGATGGACATCCAATCCCTGTATACTTGTATCCCCCACGCAGATGGCCTAAAATCCCTCCGCATCTTCATCTCCCGCAGGCCCCTCCACCGACACCCTCATCTGCTTAACCAAATTTGTCCTTACCCTTAACAACTTCTCCTTTAACTCCTCCCACTTCCTACAGGGGCCCAAACTATACCTGCCTCTTCATAGGATACGTGGAACGGTCCCTTTTCTGCTATTGCACTATCCTCCACCTCTTCCTCCGCTACATTGATGACTGTATCAGCACTGCCTCGTGTTCCCGCGAGGAGCTTGAACAGTTCATCAACTTTACTAACACCTTTCACCCCAACTTCAAGTTCATCTGGACCATCTGTGATACCTCTCTCTCCTTCCTGGACCTCTCTGTCTCCATCTCTGGTGACCGCCTTGAAACTGACATCGATTTCAAGCCCACCAACTCCCACATCTACCGAGACTACACCTCCTCTCACCCACCTTCCTGCAAGAATGCGATCCCCTACTCCCAATTCCTCCACTTCTGCTCCCAAGATGGGGCATTCCATTCCCGCACATCCCAAATGTCCTCCTATTTCCCGGGACCACAACTTCCCCCACTCCGGTGATCGAAAATGCCCTCAACCGCGTCTCTTGCGTTTCCTGCACCTCTGCCTGCACCTTTGCACTTCTCCCGGGGAGAACGTGCAAACTCCACACAGACAGTCGCCCAAGGGTGGAATTGAACCAGGGTGCCTGGCGCTGTGAGGCAGTAGTGCTAACCACTAAGCCACCATGCCGCTCTAGTCCTCCCAGCTCTTAAAAGAAGTGGCTGATGAAGAAGTATGTGTATTGGTTGTATTTCTCCAAAATTCTGAAAAGATTCCATCGGATTGAGAAATATAGATTGTGATTCCTCTATTCAACAAATGGGGTACAGAAAGCAGAAAACTACAGGCCAGCTAGTTTAACATCTGACACAGGGGAAATACTGGAATCTTCTATTTAGGAGGATATTGCATGGAACTTAGTAAATTTCAATGAAATTGGCAGAGTTTACATAGTTGTGAGATACGGAAATCATGTTTGACCAACTTATTGGAATTTTTTTGATGAAGAAGCAACGTGGATAAAGGGGATATGCTATACTTATATTTCCAGAAGACATCTGACAGGACGCTGCATGGAAAGGTACTATGTAAGATAAGACCTCATAGTATAGGGGGTTGTATAATAGAGTGGGTATTTGTATGATCTTTTGATCTCTCTGCCTATAAATTCTGTGTCTGTGTGCTTTTCTTCACTTCACTTGACAAAGGAGCAGCGCTCCAAAAGCTTATATTTCAAATGAACCTGTTGGACCATAACCTGGAGTCATTAGGACTCGGCCAGCTCTGTCAGTAGTGCTTCTACTGAGCCATTCTTAAGGATGGACATGAGACCAGCCATTGTACATTTTCTTCCCTTTCTTTCCCTTTAAGTGCTTCCTCCAATCGATGCTTAAAATAGATGAACATGAATTCATCAGCTAAGGGAGGGCAGTAGATGGTAGTCAGCAAGAAGTTTCCTTGCCCATGTGTGACTTGATTTCATGGGTTTCAGAGTCAATGATGAGGACTTCCAGGGCAGCTGCTCTTCAATGTATACCACTGTGCCTCTACCTCTGCTGGGTCTGGCCTAACAGTGGGACAGGACATATCCAGAGCAAGTGATGGTGATGTCTGGGACATTGGTCTGGAGAGAAAGTTGCTCCATATTGTCCTCCATATCACGCACAGTTTCCCCCAGTGAAAGTCCTGGTATGTCTTCCTTTTCTTTGTTCTTTCATGGGATATGTGTTGGCGAAGCATTTGTTCCTCATCCCTAATTGCCCTTGAACTGAGTGACTGGCCGAGCCATTTCAGAGGGCAGTTCACACGTTGCTGCGTGTCTGGAGTCACACATAGGCCATACCAGGAAAAAATGGAAGCTTTCTTAAAGAAAGGAGATGATCATTGCTAGCTTTACGTTTGAGATGTATTAATAGAATTCACTTTCCACCAGCTGTCACCATGTTTTCTTTGTTAAGCAGTTTCTCTACCTTTGGGAAGCACAGTGGTAGTGTCCTTTCTCAAAGCTAGAAGCTCTAGATTCACTCTAGAACTTGATGACCAAGGAACGTCTATTCACAACGCAGCCGAACAGAATGAGTTCCAACCTGCCAGTCCTCCCAACATACACCAATGGCAAGCAGGGAGAACCAGGCATATTCCTGGTTACCCAAATGATAGACAGAACATTGGAGCCTCTTGCCATTACCACCCATAACTCCAGACTACAATGTGGGTATAAATGTTCATGTTGCCACAGGAACACAAACTCAGTAAGTGAAACAGTGTAACACACCACTGCTACTCCTCCTGCCTATTTGTCCCTCTCAATGCTTTCTAACAATGTTATACCATGTAATTTCTGGTCCCAGCCATGTATCGCTAATAAAAACCGAAAGAACTGCGGATGCTGTAAATCAGGAACAAAAACAAAGTTGCTGGAAAAGCTCAGCACGTCTGGCAGCACCTGTGAAGAAAAAAACAGAGTTAACGTTTTGGGTCCGGTGACCCTTCCTCAGAAATTGTGACCCGTAGTTATTGACACACAAACTAGTGGAAACAGAATATCCTTCTTTATCCTGTCAAAATTGTTCATAATTTTGAACACCTCTGCTCCTGTCCTCCCCTCACAATTTGTATCATTGAGCCTGTATTGTCTCTCCATGTTTCTTCTGCCAAAATGCGTTACCTCACATTTCTCTGCATTGAAATTCATCTGTCAGGTGTCTACCCATTTGGCCAACTTGTCAGTGTCCTTCTGAAGTCGCTCAGCACCAACCTCGCAATTCGCTATTCTCCTTAGTTTAGTATCGGCTGCGAATTTAGAGATTTTGCCCTCAACACCCATCTCCAAATTGTTTATATAAATCAGAAAGAACAAATGTCCCAATACTGATCCCTGGGGAACACCACTTTCAACTCATCTCCAGTCTGAGCAATGCCTATCTATACCTACCCTCTGTTTCCCATCTTTTAGCCAACTTCTAATCCGAGCTGCCAAGGACCCAACAATACCCAATATTGTTTCAGAGATAGTAGGAACTGCAGATGCTGGAGAATCTGAGATAACAAGGTGTAGAGCTGGATGAACACAGCAGGCCAAGCAGCATCAGAGGAGCAGGAAAGCTGACGTTTCGGGCCTAGACCCTTCTTCAGAAATGAAGTTTTCAGAATTCAGAAATGAATTCTTCAGAAATACCCAACATTTCTAACTTGCTAACCAATCTGCCATGTGGCATCATGTCAAGTGCTTTCTGCAAGTCCAAACATACAACATTCACATCACTACCTTCATCACTGCCTGTGTTAGCTCGTCTTTCACACAGCAGCTTTAGTTATGTTTAATTCTCCTGCTCCCACATTAATTTGTCCATGGTTCAGGCAACAAATTTGGAGATTATTATAGTTGTATTTTAATTTGGAACGCAACTCCTGATATAACAATTCACCAAGGCTCCGTAGACAGCATCTCCCAAAAGCATGACTGATACTATCTAAAAGGACAAGGGCAGCAGATATATGGGAACACCACCACCTGCAAGTTCTCTTCCAAGCCACTCGCCATCCTGACATGGAAATATATCACCGTTCCTTCAGTGTCACTGGGTCAGAATCCTGCAACTCTCAGCATTTGTACTGCAGCAATTCAACAAGATAACTCACCACCACCTTCTCCAGGGCAGCTAGGGATGAGCAATAAATATTGCTTAGGTAGCAATGCCAATCTCATGGACAATAAAACATCCCTTAGCAAGACACCCTCCTTGATCTCACTGGTATTATTTGTTCCAATATGAAACTTTGTTATCTATGATTACAAACGGATCTTGAACAACTGGGCCAATGGACTGAAGAGTGGTAAATGAAGTTTAATTTGGATAAATGTGTGGTAATGCATATTGATAAAACAAGCAAGAGCAGGACTTATACAGTTTATGGTAGAACCCTGGGTAGTGTTATTGAATGGAGACCTAGGGGTTCAAGTACATAGTTCTTTGAAAGTTGCACCACATGTAGACAAGGTGGTTAAGAAAAAAAAAAAGCAAAAGAACTGTGGATGCTGTAGATCAAAAACAGAAGTTGCTTGAAAAGCTCAGCAGGTCTGGCAGCATCTGCGAAGAAAAGAATCAAAGTTAACGTTTCGGATCTGGTGACTCTTCCTCAGAACACGGGTTAAGAATGTGTTCAGCATGTTTGCTTTCAATGTTCAGACAATTGAGTAGAGGAGTTGGGACATTGAAGTTGTACATGATATTTATGAGGCCACTTTTGGAGTACGCTGTACAGTTCTGGTCACCTTGCTGTAGGAAGGACACAATTAAATTGGAGAGGGTTCAGAAAACTTTTGCCAGGATGTTGCCGGGACTGGAAAGTTTGAGTTGTAAGGAGAGGCTGGATAAGCTGGGACTTTTCTCACTGGAGCATGGGAGTTTGCAGGGTGACTTTATAGAGGTTTAAAAAAATCATGAAGGGCATAGATAAGGTGAATAAAGGGTCTTTTCCCTAGGGTGGGCGAGTTCAAAGCTATGGGACATATTTTTAAGGTGCAAGGAGAAAGATTTAGAAAAGACCTGAGGGGCAACTTTTTCACATAGAGGGTGGTTTGTATGTGAAATGAACTGCCAAAGGAAGTGGTGGATGCAGGTTCAATTACAACATTTAAAAGACATTTGGATAGGTACGTGAATAGGAACAGTTTAGAGCGATCTGGGCCAAAGGCAGGCAAGCGGGACTTGTTTAGTTTGGGACACTTGGTCGGTGTGGACTGGTTGGACTGAAGGGTGTGTGCTGTATGACTCTATGACCCTATAACTGCGTTTACTCCCATCCATTTCAGGGTCCTGTCCACCCTCTGGGATATCCCTCACCCTGATACCGTACAACAGGCAACAAGATTCATGTTTTTGGCTGCAGAGGATGCTATCGATCTCCCTAATTCTAACTCACATAGCATCATTGCAAAGTTATATCAGTGACTTTTATTATTAAAAGTGTCACTTAGTAATAAGCTGACCACTTGCTAAAGCATTGCTGATGACATAAAAGTAGTAATGCTAAGTGAAAGAAATAACTAAAATGAGTTTATTAATCTTTTAATAGATGCTTTCCCCTGTTATTTGTAGGCTTATCAGCTGGTCTGTTTGGAACAAATGATAATGAAGCTGGGAATGAGTTCACACTGCCCAATCACTCTCAGACTGAGAATGTGGAAGAGTTTGCGCACAAGTGGCAGGTAAGGGATTGACTGCAGCACATTTTCAGAACCAATGATGAAATTGTTGGCCAGAGTGATATGCAAAGGTAACTTACTGCAACCCATGAATGAACTTAGAAAGCAGTTTTAGTCCCTCTTCACCCATACATACATGAAAAATGAAGCAATCAGGCATAACTAGATCTATAATTTAAAGAAAGTACTTCATACAGCCATAAAGCAGTGGGCAACAAATAAAAAAACATCAACACCCACCTTCTGTCAAAAAACAAACAAAAATGAGTCAAACAGGGACAGTTATTTGCAAGTGATTGGAGGCAATTTTAACTGCAACCTACCTTCCTAATTGAAGGATTCATTGACCTGGTTGTTAATTTTAGGAGTAAAACAAAAGATTGTTTTTAAACAACATTCCTTTTTTACCTCGATTACATATCAAGAACAGCAATCTGAACCTTACACTCAACCAAGGTTTGTTACGGAGGGCATGTCTGGATGTATTGTGCTATAACACCAAGCTGGGCTGTTCATGTTCAACTTTGTGCTAGCATTGAGTACCATTTTGTATCATGGACATCTCCCTAATACACTGAATTGGCTCTGTACATTATAGGGTTTGAGACAGTTGTTCTGCTAACACATCAAAGACCCACGAAAAAGATTCTGTTGTCGAGTCACCTGAAATCAGGTCATTGATGATAAGAAATGCTGTTGGTGTTAACAATTCCATGTATTTACTCCAGTGAGCAACAAAACACTTAGAAAGGAGCGTTAATGGAGGGTCAAGCTTTCAGCCTCCTGCCAATTTGTATTCTTGGATTTGTCACAGTAGAATGTGAAGCTGTCACATCTTTATCAAGATTTCGGACGAGTGAACGCATAGTGGTATTTATGTTGTATCACGAATAAAAGCCCACTGCAACTTCTACAAAACATTTGATCAAATAAAGATTGCTTCCCCTGTTGTTTTGCAGTCAATCAAATGTTCCTCCCTTGTTAGCACTATGGAAGCATAACTGCTGTGCTAATAACAGCTAATCACAGCATGTAGTGTCTGATAAACTCACAGGGATGTGCATTTTAAGTATATCTCCTATATTTGTAATAGATTGATGCACCCTGCCGTACCACAGGCAAGAAGGTCAAGCTATGCTTTGGCAGTGCTTTTCAGTACATCTGCAAAATATTGTTCAAAGGTCTCTACTCACCGCTGAGAAATTGTTTCAGAGTGGTAAGTGACTGTACAAAATTTCTCTGTTTTATGGATCTTGAGATTTAATGAAGGTCTTCTCACTCCTAAACAGCCCTCTCCAGTAAAGGATACAAACGCTAACAAGGCAAAATTCCCAGGTGCCACTATCCCAGCAGTTAGACACCTCTAGCAAACACCTCAGCCCTAACTAGCTGGATAATCTGATGCCTCCTGCTGTCTTTCCTTAACCCATGGAGAAATGGGGGTGCATAAAACAAGAACGTACCAGGTCCTGTAGCATCCAGGCTGTCTCTGGACCGCATATTGGGACCTTGTTACTCCCTTCAGCAAGGAAATGCACCTCATCTCACTGGCCTCTTATCCCATGCTGGGTTCCAGTGACAAGAGTTTTGCAGAAGGTGGGAGCCCCTGTACTGGAGGGGACCGCATCTGAGACCGATCCCCCGAAAGCTCTTAGCAAATCCAGTCCCTAGACAATTTCCAAGGAATTTGGTTGTACATGGGTCTGAAAGAGTTAATATCTGAGTGTCTGTCATCAATGCTACCCACTTGGGTGGCACAGTCACTCAGTGGTTTGCACTGCTGCCTCTCAGTGCCAGGAACTCGGGTTTGATTCCACCCTCAGGTGACTGCCTGCATGGAGTTTGCATATTCTCCCAGTGTCTGCGTGGGTTTCCTCTGAAAGTCCAAAGATGCGCAGGTTAGGTGAATTGGCCGTGGGAAATTGCCCATAGTATCCAGGGATGTGCAGGCTAGGTGGATTAGCCATGAGAAATGCATGGTTACAGGCGTGGGTCTAGGTGGGATGTTCTTCAGAGAGTCAGAGTGGACTCAAAGGGCCGAATGACCTGCTTTCACACTGTAAGGATTCTGTGATTCTATGTGATAACATCTGAGGGACAGACGGTTAGTCTGACACTGAGTGAAGAGATATCAGATGTTTCGAGAATGACAGCAGCACTCGGTGAGGTTCATATGTAAAATGGATGTAGTTTTCAGCGATGCCCGTGAGTCAGGAGTGCACTGCTTTTCTGGAATACGTAGCTTTGCGTAATTAAGTATAATGAGTATGATGCATGAGTGCCTGCTAAGATCAATAAGTTCAGCACAATGTAGTCTTCAGGATACTTTGAAAGTAACTAATTGTCGCTACCTTGTGAATGTAGCAAGAGAAATAGCGACAGGAAGCTTTTAAAATCTGTATCCGTATATCCATGCTCATTCGTATGAAAGAGTATGGAATGGGGGGACATTCCAGAGCAACTGTTTTGGGGTGCGGGGGGGGACGCAATAAGTGCTGGCCTAGCCAACAACACCCACATCCCATAAACAGATAAAAAAACTTCAGGACCATGCATGAGAAGAAATTGCAAACTAGAGTAAGAAGAAAGTAGATCAGTCAAATCACAGTCGGACTGTAATCTAATATAAATAATGGACTGTTATAAATTTATTGGGAAGAGTTAAGATTAAAACCATCATGCAAATCCACGGTTTCTTGTTAGTAAAGGATTTTATTCTGCAGGTTCATTTAAAAAGTGATGAATTGCACACTGTTAGTACAAGTGCCATAATGGTGTTATAGTAGAAGAGTGTGATTAAACATATATAATATAGAGTCCTGGAGGACTTTTAATCATTTGCTGACATTCAATTTCCTGCAAGCGACCCTACTTTACAATTTATAATGTTATAGTTGATATCTCTAACTCCATGTTGAAGCCATTATTTTTAATGTCTCATTATCCTGTTTTAACAAGCAGTATTAATCAGACTCTTGAATGTTTCTCAGGCAACAACATATCTTCAAGGTAAAGAATAAAATAAAACATCCTCATGACGGCAAGAGGAATTCTTGCCAAAATCCTCAAAATAAACTCAACCCACCTTGTTTTGTCCATAATTATAAAATAAAATGGCTGTGATACTGAGATTTTACACCTGCATGACCAATGAAAGATGGATAGAGAAAAAGATGTAGCTATTTCCTCTTCACTCTGACTTTGATTTTTATTCAATTTGAATAAATTTTGAAAATAAAAGTAGCTGTTGCGAAGGAACAGGTGAGGAAGAAGAGTATGACAGTCGGGGAAATGTAAAGTCTTCAGATCTTATTTCATGATGACTATGTTGGTTAACAATGAATGTCCCACATGGTGAAATGTGTGCATTTCTGCCTCTTTTTTTTTAGGTCGATCCAATTCCATTCTATGACATGTGCCTGAGTGATATGTGTGAATCCTCGGACCTCCAGCCAGGCTGTAACCTCGCAGCTGCCTTTGTCCACTTATGCAACAGGAATTTTGTCCCTCTGGAAATTCCGTCACAATGTGGTAAACATGGCCAATTTTCAGTTGAACAGTTGATAAAAGCAATAATGTCAAATCTGGGAAGTACTGTAATAACCGGGCTTTTATTTTCTGCCTTGAAAGCTAAAAGCCTGGCTAATAGCACCGCATGTTTAAAGTGATAATTGCAACTTTACACTTTGTAATTGTATGACATTTTTCTGTAGTGTTCTGTACTCACATTGTTTTCCTCCTTACAGTGGCTGACAAGGACAGTGACACCATGCAGAATGATGACGTGGTAGATACTAGACAAAGACTAACACTGAAACCAGCTGATGTCCTCTTTATTATTGAGGAAAGAGACTGTAATAAGCCCATTGTCATGAAACTTCCTTCACTTATTAACTCATTAGTTGGAACCTTCAAAAAGCAAGGTACTTTTCTCTTTCTCATACCTTATTAAGCACTTTACAAGGATGTTGCCAGGGTTGGAGAGTTTGAGCTATAAGGAGAAGCTGAATAGGCTGGGGCTATTTTCCCTGGAGCATCAGAGGCTGAGGGGTGACCTTATAGAGGGTTATAAAATCATAAGGGGCAAGGATAGGGTGAATAGCCAAGGTCTTTTCCCCAGTGTAGGGGAATCCAAAACTAGAGGGCATAGGTTTAAGATGAGAGGGGAAAGATTTAAAAGGGACCTGAGGGGCAAATTTTTCATGCAGAGGGTGGTATGTGTACGGAATGAGCTGCCAGAGGAAGTGTGGAGGCTGGTAGAATTAAAACTTTCAAAAAGCATCTGAATGGGTATGTGAATAGGAAGGGTTTAGAGGGATATGGGCCAAATGCTGACAAGTAGGACTAGATTAATTTAGGATATTTGGTCAGCATGGATGAGTTGGACCAAAGGGTCCATTACCGTGCTGTACAGCTCTATGACTCTGTGATTCTATGACATGGCTGGCTTGCTTCTTGAAAGCAAGAACAGGAAAGGGTGCTGAAAGGGCAGCTGGTAAGATGCCGAGACCAATACTGGGGGGGCAATGAATGAAGAGTCAAGATCCAATATTTAGATGTTGCTGTTGCATTATCAGAACTGAAGCTCAGGAGTCTCAGGCTTTCATGATAGATTTGTTGCTGGCATCTGCAACCTCCTGGAGCAAGAGCTCTTTTGCAATCTGCCCAGTGGACATGCATCCGCCAGTGGGCATCAAGGTGCCCATCACTGGACGATGGCCAACTCCCCTGCCTTTCCCCCAAGACTGTGTGTGCCCTTGTCTCCTGGAAGAAAAATAAACAAAGAATTGTGAGTATGAGGAATGGATTATGTGACGAGTTGGGCAGGCCGCCGTTGGTCAAGATTGAGCATGGGGCATGGGTATTAGATGCCAACAAGTCCAATAGTGAGTGTTGACAGTGCAGAAGGAGAAGTCAGGACATGCCTGGAGATGGAAGGAACAGGACATGAGAAGTGACGGCCTAGTGGTATTATCACTAGACTGTTAATCCAGAGACCCAGATAATGTTCTGGGGACCTGGTTTCAAATCCTGCCATAGCAGATGGTGGGATTTGAATTCATAAAAATCTGGATGACCATGAATCCATTGTTGATTGTCAGGAAAAACCCATCTGGTTCACTAATATTCCTTAGGGAAGGAAACTGCCATCCTCACCTGGTCTGGCCCACATATGACTCCAGACCCACAGCAATGTGGTTGACTCTCAACTGCCTTCGGAGCAATTAGGGATGGGCAATAAATGCTGGCCTGGCCAGTGATGCCCTCATCCCGTGAATGAATAAATAACGTAAAGAGAAAACAACATTTGGTCAGGTTGCAGGCCAACAATTTTTGTTTTGTTTCAGTTCTCCAGCATCTGTGGTTCTTTGATTTATTTTAGTGGAACATTTATTTTGTTTTGGAAATGAGTGTGACACACTTCCCTCTCATGTGGTGTAATACACTGTCTTCTCATACAGTACAAATGTTGCCGTTACTTTGGCATTCCTGTGAATTGACCTGATATGTGCAATATAAAATGTTCTGAAAAAAAATTGCCCATTTTTCAGCAATACTGTGCTAACAAACAATGATAATTTAAATTATGAATGTGAAAATTTCAGACAAAAACAGGCAGAGCCTATTATCTCAACCACTTCCTGCTCTGGCGACCCAGCAATGCAACCTACATGTTTAAGCTGGATGCAATTCTGATGGAAATGGCTGAATTTCTGGGCCAGGAAAATAGTCTTGTCATTTCTAAAAGTGCAACACTTTGACAGGGAGAGCAATACAATACAAGCCAGTGTAACAACTTTAATAAAGGTGGCACAGTAGCTCAGCAGATAGCACTACTGCCTCACAATGATTAGGGACCCGAGTTTGATTCCAGCCTTGGCAACAGCCTGTGTGGAGTATGTACATTCTCCCCAAATCTACGTGGGTTTTCACCAGGAGTTCTAGTTTCCTCCCACAGACCAAAGATGTGCAGGTTAGGTGGATCGGTAATGCTCAATTGTTCATAGTGTGCAGGCTAGGTGGATTGGCCAATGGTGATACAGGGTTACAGGGATAGGGTGGGTTTAGGTGGGATGCTCTTTGGAGGGTCAGTGTGGACCCAAATGGCCTGTTTCCACATTGTTGGGATTCTATAATGTATCTTGGAGTTTATCATGACATAGTGATTATGCTGTACATCTTGTTATTTATTTTTAAGTAATATTATTCAGAAAGGATAGCACCAATGATATTGCTGCTAACTTCGCATCTCATCTGTCATGAGAATATTTCCCAATTTGTCTTTTCTCCCCAGGAATCATGGATGTGAAATTCGGTTTCATTGGCTTTGGCGATGAAGGAGTTCATGAGCCGCACCTCCTCGCTGTAAAGAGAGATAACTCATCTTCATGGCACTTGGAAAAGGAGCTGGGGTGAGGCTGTGAAATGAGTCAACTGTGGTAATGAAACACTTTTGAGACCATCACTACTGCTAAAGGGAACTCTTCTGGAAAATAAAATATAGTAGTATTCTATTAACGTAAAGTGATGGAAGGGTGTCATCAACAGTACTATCAAACAGTATCTCCTCAGCAATAACTTGCTCAGTGACACCCAGTTTGCATTCTACCAGGGCCACTCAGCTCCTGACCTCATTTCAGCCTTGGTTCAAACATGGACAAAACAGCTGAACTCCAGAGGTGAGGTGAGAGTGATAGCCCTTGACATCAAGACCGCATTTGACTGAGCGCGGCATCAAGGAGTCCTAGCAAAACTGGAATCAGTGGGCATCGGGGGACAAACTCTCTGCTGGTTGAGTCATACCTGGTACATAGGAAGTTAATTGTGTTTGTTGATGGAGGTCAGTCATCTCAGCTGTAGGACATCTGTACAGGAGTTCCTCAGGGTAGTGTCCTAGGCCCAAACATCTTTAGTTGCTTCAGCTGCTCCATCATAAGGTCAGAAGTGGGGATGATTGCTAATGATTGCAATTTCACACTTATTGAAGCGGTCCCTGTTCAAATGCAACAAGATCTGGACAATATTCAGACTTAGGCTGACAAGTGGCTAGTAACATCTGTGCCTTACAAGTGTCTCTCCAATAAGAGACAATGTAATCACTGCCCCTTGACATTCAGTGGTGTTACCATCACTGAATCCTCAGGTATCAACAACCTGGGGGTTACCAATGACCAGATACTCAACTGGACTTGCTACATAAACACAGTGGCTACAAGAGCAGGTCAGAGGCTAGGAATACTGCAGCAAGCAAATCACTTCCTGACTCCCCAGATCCTGTCCATCATCTATAAGGCACAAGTCAGGAGTGTAATGGAACACCCCCCCACTTGCCTGGGCGAGTGCAGCTCCAACAACACTCTTGATAACAACAAAGCTTGATACCAGCCAGGACAAAGTAGCCCGCTTGATTGGCACTATATCTACAAACATCCCACTCCCTCCACCTCCGATGCTCAGTAGCAGCAGTGTGTACTATCTACAAGATGCACTGCAGAAATTCACCAAAGATCCTTAGAATGCCCTTCCATATGCATGACCACTTCCATCTAGAAGGACAAGGGTAGCAGATACATGGGAACAATAACACCTGCAAGTTCCCCTCCCAAGCCACTCACCATCATGCCTTAAAAGTATATCCCCATTCTTTCACTGCCACTGGGTCAAAATCCTGGAATTCCCTTCCTAATGGCATTGTGGATCTGCCTATTGCATGTGAACATCAGCGGTTCAAAATTGCAGCTTAGCACCGTCTTCTCAAGGGAATAGGTAATAAATGCTGGCCCAGCCGGTGATGCCCACATCCTACAAATGATTTTTTAAAAAGTGTCCCATTTTGCCAGCATAAATGGTCCATTGGGAACATCCTTAAAGAAGATTTTGTTTTTGTTAGATAATACTATTTAATGGTACTAGGCATTTTAATGATGTGTACGAATTAGGATGCCATGGTGGTTCAGTGGTTAGCACTGCTGCCTCAAAGCTCCCAGGACCCGGGTTGAGTTCGAGCCTCGGGCAACTGTCTGTGTGGAGTTTGCACATTCTCCCCGTGTTTGCCTGGGTTTCCTCCCACAGCCCAAAGATGCGCAGGTTAGGTGGATTGGCCGTGCTAAATCACCCATAGTGTGCAGGGATGTGCATGCTAGGTGGGTTAGCCCAGGGATTGCGAGGTGCTGGGTCTGGGTTCAGAGGGTCGGTGCAGACTTGATCAGCCAAATGGCCTCTTCCTGCACTCTAGGGATTCTATGAAATCACTTCAAAATCTTGAATGATTAAGGTAAAGCTTTACTGTATTATCAGTTTTGTGCTGTGGTGACCTTTAATGGGGCGACTGTCGATCGTTAGTTAACTCATCAAGATATGATGGACTTGTCCCATGACATGTAATCAGTCTGCAAGGAGCAGCCAAAATTAGATGGACTATACTTAGCACCTGGAGGACCGTACTTTTAAATGGTCTTCAGAGAGCCAACATTATTGTTTCATCAATTCTGGTACATGATTGGAATGTTTATATTCTCAGCTTTTAATAAGGAGTTTTGCGGCATTGTGGTAGTACTCCAACCTCTGGTCTAGAAGGGCTATGTTCAATTCCCTGCCGCTCTGGAGTTGTGTCATAATATGTCTGGACATGTTAATTAAAATGAATTTGTTTTTGATGAGTGCAAAAAGCTATCCGTCACTGGGAAGGTGCAGTCAGATGTACTGCAATCCATACAGTCTCCATGGTAATCTCACACTAGATCAATTCAATTCTATGACTTTTTTACCCTACCTGATGAATAAACAATTTTGCCCTGATATTCTGTCTGCAGCCTCCTGTAACAGACCCATAAAAGAATTAGGCTCAAAGGCATTAAAATAGCCTCTAATGCTGTTTTGGGGGAATTTCTACCAACAAATGATCAACACAAACCCCTTGTCTTCGCACACCTCAGAGGCTCCCAAACACTTAAGGCCTTTCTCTGATTCTTGTCACATTTCAGCATAGCTTCTCATTCAGAGCTCAGTCTCTCGCCTACAGTACAGTTCAGGCCTCCACTTCCACCTCTTGATTTATTTACTGCTCCTTCACTAAATAAGTCCTGTTATTTAGAGTCATAGAGTCATACAACGTGGAAAAAAGACGCTTTGGTCCAATTCGCCAGCACCAACCAGGCATCCGAATCTGACCTAGTCCTATTTGCCCACATTTTTTATATAAGACATAAGGCAGAAATTAGGCCATTCGGTCCATCAAGTCTGCTCCGCCATTCAATCATGGCTGATAAGTTCCTCAACCCCATTCTCCCACTTTCTCCCCGTAACCCTTGATCCCCTTGACAGTCAAGAACCCATCTATCTCAGTCTTAAATGTACTCAATGACCTGGCCTCCACAGCCTTCTGTGGCAGTGAATTCCATAGATTTACCACTCTCTGGCTAAAGAAGTTTCTCCTTAACTCCGTTCTAAAAGGTCTTCCCTTTACTCTAAGGCTGTGCCCTCAGGTCCTAGTCTCTCCTACCCAGGCCAGGAGCATTTGGTCCATTTCCCTCTAAACCTTTCCTATTCATGTACCCACCCAGATGCCTTTTAAATGTTATAATTGTACCAGCCTCCTCCACTTCCTCCAGCAGCTCATTCCATACACTCATCACCCTCTATATGAAAAGGTTACCCCTCAGGTCCTTTTTAAATCTTTCACCTCTCACATTAAACCCATGCCCTCTGGTTTTGGATTTCCCCACCCTAGGATAAAGACCTTGGCTATTTGCCCTATCCATGTCCTTTATGATTTTATAAACCTCTATAAGGTCAGTCTTCAGCCTCAGCCTCCAGGGAAAAAAGCCCCCAGCCTATTCAGCTTCTCCTATCACTTAACCACAAGAAGTTAGCCTTAACTTGGCGAGCCTGATTTTATGATTTCTGGAAGTACAAATTCAAGTATCATCATAGGGTCATACATCACAGAAACAGACCCTTTGGTCCAACCAGTCCATGCTGACCGTAATCCTAAACTAAACTAGTCCCACCTGCCTGCTCCTGGCCCGTATCCCTCCAAACCTTTCCTATTCACGTACTTATCCAAATGTCTTTTGAACATTGTAATTGTGACCACATCCACCACTTCCTTGAATGTCCCCAGAACATTAACTTGGGGTTCTGGATTGCTAGTCCAGTGACAACACCACAAAGCCACCACTTCCCCAGGCTGCACTAGAGGGAGCCATACGTGAATAAGGCAGTATTATTTAATTGGATTAAACTTCCAATCTGCCTACTCCTGGTTCAAATGAAAGCAAGTCCTACAATGGGAATCACTCAGGAGATAGAGGTACCATGGATTGATTATGGTTTGAATCTGACACTCTGCGGCCCACATGCTAAATAAATGGTAAATGTACGAACAGCCACAGACCTATGTACCACTAGAGACAAGATTTCCAGGACAGCCTCCCCCTCCTCACTGCACCCAGCGGATAGAATTGTGAAAACGTGAATAGAACTGATCAATATTTGCCCCTTTGGAATTTCTTGTGTGATCAGAGTAGAGGTGAAGCCTGGAGGATTTGGTATTCTGATTAGGTTCATCACTAACTAGGGATTGGATAGAAGAGATAGTAGGAACTGCAGATGCTGGAGAATCTGAGATAACAAGGTGTAGAGCTGGATGAACACAGCAGGCCAAGCAGCATCAGA